GTCTGTTGTCGCGGGAGACACAAAACATACACATAGAGCATGTACAGTGCATTCGGAAAGTATTCAGACCTTATTTTTCCACATTTTATTACATTACAGCCTCATTCTAAAATGGATTAACACACAATACCCCATAATGACAAAGCATAAATATTACATTTAAATACAGTACCAGTCAAAAGGTTGGACACACCTACTCATTCCAGGGTTTTTCTTTATTTTTACTAACTTCTACAGCGTAGAAATAGTGAAGACATCAAAACTATGAAATAACACATATGGAATCATGTAACCAAAAATGTGTTAAAGAAATCAAAATATATGTTATATCTTCAAAGTAGCCACCCTTTGCCTTGATGACAGCTTTGCACATTCTTGGCATTCTCTCAACCAGCTTCATGAGGTAGTCACATGGAATGCATTTCAATTAACAGGTGTGCCTTGTTAAAAGTTAATTTGTGGAATTTCTTTCCTTCTTAATGCGTTTGAGCCAATCAGTTGTGTTGTGACAAGGTATACAGAACATAGCCCTATTTGGTAAAAGACCAAGTCCATATTATGGCAAGAACAGCTCAAATAAGCAAAGAGAAACGACAGTCCATCATTACTTTAAGACATGAAGGTCAGTCAATACGGAAAATTAAGAACTTTGAAAGTTTCTTTAAGTGCAGTCTCAAAACCCATCAAGCGCTATGATGAAACTGGCTCTCATGAGGACCACCACAGGAAAGGAAGACCCAGAGTTACCTATGCTGCAAAGGATAAGTTCATTAGAGTTAACTGCCCCCCAGATTGCAGCCCAAATAAATGCTTCACAGAGTTCAAGTAACAGACAAATCTCAACATCAACTGTTCAGAGGAGACTGCGTGAATCAGGCTTCATGGTCGAATTGCTGTAAAGAAACCACTACTAAAAGGACACCAATAGGAAGAAGAGACTTGCTTGGGCCAAGAAACACGAGCAATGGCATTAGACCGGTGGAAATCGTCCTTTGGTCTGATGAGTCCAAATTGGAGATTTTTGGTTCCAACCGGCGTGTCTTTGTGAGACGCAGAGTAGGTGAACGGATGATCTCCGCATGTGTGGTTCCCACCGTGAAGCATGGAGGAGGAGGTGTGATGGGGTGCTTTGCAGGTGACGCTGTCTGTGATTTATTTCGAATTCAAGGCACACTTAACCAGCATGGCTACCACAGCATTCTGCAGCGATACGCCATCCCATCTGGTTTGCGCTTAGTGGGACTTTCCAGTTGAAGCTGGTTGAGAGAATGCCAAGAGTGTGCAAAGCTGTCATCAAGGAAAAGGGTGGCTACTTTGAAGAATCTAAAATCTGAAATATATTTTGATTGGTTGAACACTTTTTTGGTTACTACATGATTCCATATGTGTTATTTCATAGTTTTGATGTCTACACTATTATTTTACAATGTAGAAAATAGTTTAAAAAATAAAGTAAAACCCTTGAATGAGTAGGTGTGTCCAAACTTTTGACTGGTACTGTAAGTATTCAGACCCTTTACTCAGTACTTTGTTGAAGCACGTTTGGCAGCGATTAGAGCCTCGAGTCTTCTTGGGTGTGACGCTACAAGCTTGGCACACCTGTATTTGGGGAATTTCTCCCATTCTTCTCTGCAGATCTTCTCAAGCTCTGTCAGGTTGGATGGGGAGCGTTGCTGCACAGGTCTCTCCAGAGATGTTCGATCGGGTTCAAGTCCGGGCTCTGGCTGGGCCACTCAAGGACATTCAGAGACTTGTCCTGAAGCCATTCCTGCGTTGTCTTGGCTGTGTGCTTAGGGTCGTTGTCCTGTTGGAAGGTGAACCTTCGCCCCAGTCTGAGGTCCTGAGCGCTCTGGAGCAGGTTTTCATCAGGGATCTCTCTGTACTTTGCTCCATTCATCTTTCCCTCGATCCTGACTAGTCCTGAAACACAACCCCACAGCATGATGCTGCCACTACCATGCTTCACCGTAGGGATGGTATTGGCCAGGTGATGAGCGGTGCCTGGTTTCCTCCAGACGTGACGCTTGGCATTCAGGCCAAAGAGTTCAATCTTGGTTTCATCAGACCAGAGAATCTTGTTTCTCATGGTCTGAGAGTCCTTTAAGTGCCTTTTGGCAAACTCCAAGCGGGCTGTCATGTGCCTTTTACTGAGGAGTGGCTACCGTCTGGCCACTCTACTCTAAGGCCTGATTGGTGGAGTGCTGCAGAGATGGTTGTCCTTCTGGAAGGTTCTCCCATCACAGAGGAACTCTGGAGCTCTGTCAGAGTGACCATCGGGTTCTTGGTCACCTCCCTGACCAAGGCCCTTCTCCCCCGATTGCGCAGTTTGGCCAGGCGGCCAGCTGTAGGAAGAGTGTTGGTGGTTCCAAACTTCTTCCATTTAAGAATGATGGAGGCCACTGTGTTCTTGGGGACCTTCAATGCTGCAGACATTTTTTGGTACCCTTCCCCCGGATCTGTGCCTTGACACAATCCTGTCTCGGAGCTCTACAGACAATTCCTTCGACCTCATGGCTTGGTTTTTGCTCTGACATGCACTGTCAACTGTAGGACCTTATATAGACAGGTGTGTGCCTTTCCAAATCATGTCTAATCAATTGAATTTACCACAGGTGGACTCCAATCAAGTTGTAGAAACATCTCAAGGATGATCAATGGAAACAGGATGCACAGGAGCGCAATTTCGAGTCTCATAGCAAAGGGTCTGAATACTTATGTAAATAATCTATTTCTGCTTTTTATTTTTTATAAATTTGCAAAAATGTCAAAAAACCTGTTGTTTTCGCTTTGTTATTATGGGGTATTGTGTGTAGATTGATGAGGACAATTTTTTACTTAATCCATTTTAGAATAAGGCCGTAACGTAACAAAATGTGGAAAAAGTCAAGGGGTCTGAATACTTTCCAAATGCACTGTTTTGGCCAACAATTGGAGTGACACTCACACGCTGGAAATAAGCACTTTCCTTTACTGGTGCTATAGAGAGCGTTGTATGTGTAGTCTTTTTCCCACAGCAGTTGACCAGCTGAGAGTTTTGGGTCGTGCTTAGCAATTAGCAATTAGCAATTTGTTTTGGGGAGGGAGGAGGTGATAGAGAATTGGCAACAGCTGTCTCAATGTCACTTTAGTCCATGCCAATCTGTCCATACAAGATGGGCAGGGACTCTGCTGTCCTAGCTTCAGGGGGAAGCTAGGACTTGATATCATAAATAGGCATATCAGACAATAAGACATGCTGATACGTAATATAAAGATAATGGCAGTCTCTGGTTTAGTAAGAATCAGTGTCACTTGTGACAAGCGCATGCAAGCATGCGTAAAGGTGAAAGTGTGTTCCTCTGTCACTGCAGATGTCTATCTGTGGTCTACCAGGAACCACTCACCCACCCACCCACACACACACACACACAACTGATCTAGATATGACTCAAAATGTACTTTTCCTTTTCTGCATATATTTGAATTGATTACACATTACTTTGAAAAACTAAGAAATAGGACAATTTGATATGTGTGTGCGCGCTCCCTCCCCAGTCATAATGTAAAACTAAACAGTGAATACCTGTTGAGTCAGTCACAATGTAAAAAGTGTAGGAGTGAAGAAAGTGGATTTTGACCAATCATACTTTGGCAGGGATTGGAAGACTAGTCAAGATCGAGGGAAAGATGAACGGAGCAAAGTACAGAGAGATCCAGAGCGCTCAGGACCTCAGACTGGGGCGATGGTTCACCTTCCAACAGGACAACGACCCTAAGCACACAGCCATGACAACGCAGGAGTGGCTTCTGGGACAAGTCTCTGAATGTCCTTGAGTGGTCCAGCCAGAGCCCGGACTTGAACCCGATCGAACATCTCTGGAGAGACCTGAAAATAGCTGTGCAGCGATGCTCCCCATCCATCCTGACAGAGCTTGAGAGGATCTGCAGAGAAGAATGGGAGAAACTCCCCAAATACAGGTGTGCCAAGCTTGTAGCGTCATACCAAAGAAGACTCAAGGCTGTTATCGCTGCTAAAGGTGCTTCAATAAAGTACTGAGTAAAGTGTCTGAATACTTCTGTAAATGTGATAATTCAATTTTTTATTTTTAATAACATTTCTAAAAACCTGTTTTTGCTTTGTCATTATGGGGTATTATGTGTAGATTGATGAGGACCATTTTTTAATCATTTTAGAATAACGTAACAAACTGTGGAAAAAGTGAAGGGGTCTGAATACTTTCCAAATGCTCTGTATTAATGCCTTTCGAGCAGAAGGACACTTAAGAGGGTTTTCCGGAGGGTTTTCTTAGTGAAGTGAAACTGCCCCATGATGCGCTCAACTACTAGGATTGTTGCATCCTGATGTCATCACAAAAGAGCCATATTAGATTCTGAATAATGTCTGGGGCTGGGGAGCAGCCCCATATTACAAGACAACGGACACACCTCCATTCTCTATCTTGGCTCTTCTTCCCTATCGTCACGTCTTTTCTTCCTCTCATTGAGTTGCGTAAATAAACAGAATACAAGAATGAATGGCACTTAATTCTTGAATTTGAAATTTAAACACGTGAACTACCCCAACCCTGCATTCTAGATTATTAGGGTTGATTACCTGTCTGAGTGTTCCATGGTACAGAGTAGAGACCTGCTGACATGCGTAACATTACAGGTTAGAGACTTCCTGTAGTAATATCTTTCTGTTTCTGTCCCAAATGGCACCCTTTTCCCTAGTGCACTACTTTTGACCAGAGCTCTAGATAGTGCACTACTTTTGACCAGAGCCCTGGACAAAAGTAGTGCACTATGTAGGGAATAGTATCATTTGGGACTAAACAATATCTTTGACTGGTAATGCAATATCTTTGACTGGTAATGAAAAGGAGAACGGGGGAGGAGATAAAATGAGAATATAAATGCTGGTGCATGTAGCATCAGTCAGACAAAACAAGTAGCCTACCAACTTCAGCATCACTCAAGAGAGTCACTGGACACAGCACCAACAAACAATTAACTGGAACATGACTTCTACACACTGTAAGTCTGCCGTCACACTATTCTACCGTTCTCCCTGGTCAAATAAACTGGGTTGTATTTTATCACTCACTCTCCCTCCGCTCTTGCTCTCCTCCTCCTTTCAGATCTCTCACTCCTCTCAGTGCTCGTGGTGTTGGTAGTTAATGGGAGTCCCGTGCCCAGCGCGCCCTCTGAGCTCCCGACGTCCGGATGGACCTCTGGAGAGGAGCTCGCGGTAGAATCGTTCTCCGGTGAACCGGGCGCGCCCCCGAAATGGAAGAAGGTAATCAAGCTGCTCATTCAGGAGGTGATCAACTTCCGAGACCAACAGGTGAGTTGTTTTTAGATTTACTTTTGATTGTATTATAAATGGCTCTTTAAACGTTATAATTGAAAACAACAATACTAACATTGAAAATAATAAATTAAACCAATCTGAAAAGTATAACTTTTATTCCTCCTTGTGTTGTAGTTTGTGGAGGAGTTTCAGAAGCCTGTGGAAGAGATGTCATCATTCCTACAGTACCAGGTCCCCTCCATCCCCACACACCTCTCCAAGACCCCCTGCTCCACATCAAACTACAACAAGGTAAAGATGAAGTTGAATGAATGAATGGCTCAGACCTGTGTCTGGAATTCAGTCCAAATCATGAAGCCAAGGTTTCCTTTTGTGATCAAAATGAAAAATCCTATAAATGAAACTGTGAGGTTGCAACATGCAGACATCTTTACTGGCTGACATTCGGAGTCTGGTTTCTCTCCATGTTTCTTCCATCTAGAATCTAGGGAGTAAAAAATCAATTTTTGATGAATTGATTGACAGTGTTTGTTGTCCCCTCTCCTATAGGAGGCATGTCTACAGCAGATCAGTCATGGTCTACAGGTGTACCAGGTTCTTCTCCAGCACCTTAAGGCTGAATACCCACAATCCACCCTGCTCCCCTCTGCCATGCACCAGACTACTGTCCTGATAGGGCTGGTCAAAGACAAGGTATGTAATAGTAATATTATGTTATAATACTACTTAAATACCCTCATAATACTACTTAAAGGTGCAATCCGCAGTTGAAACAACAACAACCCTTCTCACCACCACTGTTTCGGTAAAAAGCTGAGGGATGGGGCTGGAGAAATGTACCCACTATCAAATTCATAGACAGAGCTATGGATGCAAGGACTGACCATCCATGATATCTAAATGAAATGTAATCACTTTTTTTAAATTTATTTTTACAAACATTGGAGTACAAAATGGGTATATATATATAATGTATTTATAGGTCCTAAAATGGATGTAGCAAATGCAGATTGCTCCTTTAAATACCCTTTTCTTTAGAAAGTTGACTTTCATTGTGGTCCATGGATAGATTTTCCCAGACTTGCTTTAGTTCCTCCAGATGCCTAGGATTTAGCAGTCTTGTGGCACACAGATTACCTAATGTATTGTCTCTTTCTCCAGATGAAGGCTGCTGAGGTAGTAGAGGACCTGTCTGCCAGTGAGAGGGAGCGTGTGCTGGGTGAGGTGTCTACAGGGACAGAGTGGGAGAGGAAGACTAGCGTTCACGCCATCCTTAGTGAGCTACGTCACTTCCTGGTCGACACCAAGATAACCCTCTATAGCATGGGGAAGAGGGGCAAAGGCTGGCAGTAACCATGACAACACCATGGTGGGAAGAGGTGTGTTAGATCAGGCCTGGAGGAAAAACCTGCACTGATGTGTCTTATTCTCTGAATCGGCTGTTTATTTTTAGTTATTTAATGTAATACTTGACTTAACTTGAAAACGGTCAGTTATTTATATATTTATTCATGTATTTATGGTTGAGATGAAAAATGTATTGAATTTATTTAAAAATTGGATTAATTTATTTGATCTCGAGAAGCTTTGTGGATCTAACTTTCTAGAAACTTTTGATACAAATATATATTTAATATTATTTTTATAGCAAATAGTGTTCTTTTCATACAAATGGATTTTTCTAATGATGACATGTTGATGGATTTCAAGCACAGAATTACATTTATCTCTAAGTGCCTTTACAGTACATTAGTCACTGCATTTCATTGTGACTACTACTAGTTTGATGGTGGTTGTACCCATCAAATGTCCCATTAACAATCACCCATATTAGCAAACTTATTTCATTTCAAACTTCACATTTCTCTAGTATAGACTACTTATCGTAATGAATGATCTCAGCAAAATGCCTGCGATAAGTGATCGGTGTCGATAATTTTCAGTCCATCGTCCCAGCTCTAACTGTGACAAATGTTTTGGATATAAAGAGGAATAATAAATGGTATCTGAGAATAGAGAAATGTGTTGCTCCTATGTTGTTCACCAAACATTGTTTCAACCAGATGGTTATTCTCACAACATGTTGTCATCACAACAAAGCATTTCAATTTCCACTGATCGGTAGGTGAATTGACCAAGCAGCAGAGTGCGAATTAAGTGGGGTCTCAGACCCCCCGAATGAGAAATTAGTCCCCCTAAATTACAGGGATGCATAAATTAATTAAGGCTACAAGAGTGTGTGTACAATCGCCGAATGTCATTACACTTGTTGGTGTTTTGTAACAGATGTCTCTTTACATTAATGGCGCGAGTGCACAGTACACAGTTTGGATGCTGGAATTATTTGAGTGGACGAACATGCGCAGGGGGCCTACTTTTTAAAGTTATATGTTTGAAACTAGCTAGGTTTCCATCCAACTGGAGACAGATTTCATTTTCACACCAATGGTGTGTTTTTCACTTAAGTTTTCATGTACTGAATAAAAATCTAAAGTTCAATGAGTTTCCATTGCATTGTCAACTTTACCGATAGTTAAAAGCAAATGTGCCTACACTGGTGTTGGTACATGTGCTCTAGCCAACAGCTCGCAGATACAGTGCGGGTAGGCTCGTCTGCATGAGAAATTGATGAGGGGAAAATAAATAACAAATCTACACACAATATCCCATAATGACAAAGCATAATTTATAATTACAATTATTCGGACCCTTTACTCATTATTTTGTTGAAGCACCTTTGGCAGCAATTACAGCCTCAAGTCTTCTTGGGTATGACACTACAAGTTTGGCACACCTGTATTTGGGGAGTTTCTCCCATTCTTTTCTGCAGATCCTCTCAAGCTCTGTCAGGTTGGATGGGGAGCGACACCGCACAGCTATTTTTAGGTCTCTCCAGAGATGTTCGATCGGGTTCAAGTCTGGGCTCTGGTTGGGCCACTCAAGTACATTCAGAGACCTGTCCCGAAGCCACTCCTGCATTGTCTTGGCTGTGTGCTTAGGGTTGTTGTCCTGCTGGATGGTGAACAGTCGCCCCAGTCTGAGGTCCTGAGCGCTCTGGAGCAGGTTTTCATCAAGGATCTCTCTGTACTGTCCTCCGTTCATCTTTCCCTTCATCCTGACTAGTCACCCAGTCTGTGTTGCTGAAAAACATCCCTACAGCATGATGCTGCCACCGCCATGCTTCACCGGGGATGGTGCCAGGTTTCCTCCAGACGTGAAGCTTGGCATTCAGGACAAAAAGTTCAATCTTGGTTTCATCAGACCAGAGAATCTTGTTTCTCATGGTCGTAGAGCCCTTTAGGTGCCTTTTGACAAACTCCAAGCGGGCGGTCATGTGCCTTTTACTGAAGAGTGGCTTCCGTCTGGCCACTCTATCATAAAGCCCTGATTGGTGGAGTGCTGCAGTGATGGTTGTCCTTCTGGAAGGTTCTCCCATCTCCATAGAGGAACTCTGGAGCTCTGTCAGTGACCATCAGGTTCTTGGTCACCTCCCTGACCAAGGCCCTTCTCCCCCGATTGCTCAGTTTGGCCGGGCGGCCAGCTGTAGGAATAGTCTTGGTTCCAAATTTCTTCAATTTAAGAATGATGGAAGACACTGTGTTCTTGGGGACCTTCAATGCTGCATAATTTTTTTGTTACCTGTCCCCAGATCTGTGCCACAATCCTGTCTCAGCGCTCTATGGACAATTCCTTCAACCTCATGGCTTGGTTTTTGCTCTGACATGCAGTGTCAACTGTGGGACCTTATATAGGCAGGTGTGTTCCTTTCCAAAGCATGTCCAATCAATTGAATTTACCACAGGTGGACGCCAATTAAGTTGTAGAAATGTCTCAAGGATGATCAATGGAAACATGACGCACCTGAGCTCAATTTCGAGTCTCATAGCAAAGGGTCTGAATACTATTTCAGTTTTTTTAAATAAAATTTGCAAACATTTCTAAAAACCTGTTTTCGCTTTGTCATTATGGGGTATTGTGTGTAGATTGATGAGGGGAAAATATAATTTAATCAATTTTAAAATTAGCAGTGGTGAAAAAAGTACCCAGTTGCCATACTTGAGTAAAAGTAAATATACCTTAATAGAAAATGACTCAAGTAAAAGTGAAAATCACCCAGTAAACTACTACTTACAGTTAGAGAGTGCATACATTTTCATACTGGCCCCCCGTGGGAATCGAAACCACAACCCTGGCGTTGCAAACCCCATGCTCTACCAACTGAGCTACACGGGACTTGAGTAAAAGTCTAAAAGTATTTGGTTTGAAATATACTTCAGTACCAAAAGTAAATGTAGTTGCTAAAATATACTTAAGTATCAAAAGTAAAAGTATGAATAATTTAAAATTCCTTATATTAAACAAACCAGACAGCACAATGTTATTTTGTATTTATAGATACAGTGGGGGAAAAAAGTATTTAGTCAGCCACCAATTGTGCAAGTTCTCCCACTTAAAAAGATGAGAGAGGCCTGTAATTTTCATCATAGGTACACGTCAACTATGACAGACAAAATGAGAATTTTTTTTCCAGAAAATCACATTGTAGGATTTTTACTGAGGTGATCTTCCTGTCTGGGTTGGCGCCCCCCCCCCCCTTGGTTTGTGCTGTGGTGGAGACCTCTGTGGGCTATACTCGGCCTTGTCTCAGGATTGTAAGTTGGTGGTTGGGGATATCCCTCTAGTGGTGCGGGGGCTGTGCTTTGGCGGAGTGGGTGGGGTTATATCCTTCCTGTTTGGCCCTGTCCGGGGGTTTCTTCGGATGGGGCCACAGTGTCTCCGGACCGCTCCTGTCTCAGCCTCCAGTATTTATGCTGCAGTAGTTTATGTGTCGGGGGGCTGGGGTTAGTTGGTTATACCTGGAGTACTTCTCCTGTCTTATCCAGTGTCCTGTGTGAATTTAAGTATGCTCTCTCTAATTCTCTCGTTCTCTCTTTCTCTCTGAGAACCTGAGCCCTAGGACCATACGTCAGGACTACCGGGCATGATGACACCTTGCTGTCCCCAGTCCGCCTGGCCTTGCTGCTATTCCAGTTTCAACTGTTCTGCCTGCGGCTACGAAACCCCTACCTGTCCCAGACCTGCTGTTTTCAACTCTAAATGATCGGCTATGAAAAGCCAACTGAGAGACCTGAGCCCTAGGACCATACGTCGGGACTACCGGCCGTGGTGACTCCTTGCTGTCCCCAGTCCGCCTGGCCTTGCTGCTATTCCAGTTTAAACTGTTCTGCCTGCGGTTATGGAACCCCTACCTGTCCCAGACCTGCTGTTTTAAACTCTAATGATCGGCTATGAAAAGCCAACTGAGATTTATTCCTGATTATTATTTGACCATGCTTGTCACTTATGAACATTTTTGAACATCTTGGCATGGTTCTGTTATAATCTCCACCCGGCACAGCCAGAAGAGGACTGGCCACCCCTCATAGCCTGGTTCCTCTCTAGGTTTCTTCCTAGGTTTTGCCTTTCTAGGGAGTTTTTCCTAGCCACCGTGCTTCTACACCTGCATTACTAGCTGTTTGGGGTTTTAGGCTGGGTTTCTGTACAGCACTTCGAGATATTAGCTGATGTAAGAAGGGCTATATAAAATAAAATTGATTGATTGATTGATTAATACAGGTAACGAGTGGAGGACAGAGGAGCCTCTTAAAGAAGAAGTTACAGGTCTGTGAGAGCCAGAAATCTTGCTTGTTTGTAGGTGACCAAATACTTATTTTCCACCATAATTTGCAAATAAATTCATTAAAAATCCTACAATGTGATTTTCTGGATTTTCTTTTCTCAATTTGTCTGTCATAGTTGACGTGTACCTATGATGAAAATTACAGGCCTCTCTCATCTTTTTAAGTGGGAGAACTTGCACAATTGGTGGCTGACTAAATACTTTTTTCCCCCACTGTAGCTAGGGGCACCCTCCAACACTCAGACATAATTTACCAACTAAGCATTTGTGTTTAGTGAGTCCGCCAGATCAGAGGCAGTAGGGATGACCAGGCATGTTCTCTTGATAAGTGTGTGAATTGGACAATTTTCTGTCCGATTAAGCATACAAAATGTAACGAGTAACGATAGCTAACAAACTTTGGTACATTGCGCTGTTCCGTAAATTTCACCTTATTTTAGCGCCCCAAAAACGTAATACTTCCAGGTCAACTGTAATATGAATACCATTGTAAAGCAGTTTCTCCCCTTTCCAGCAAAATCAATGCCGAGACCTTCATGTTGCCCGTCTCTGCATGATTGAAGGCGGCAATGGAGCTCCGCCGGGGTGTTTTTAAAAATTGCGGGTGGGGAAGCGTAAACTACTGCGTGATCGTGAAAGGGGGAGATATGTGGGGAAACTGCTTTTTTTCACCCGATTTGTCCAATTTATCACCACTAAAATGTAAATAAAACACTATAAAGAGTTTATATAATGTCTCATTACATACCTATTTGAAGGTTTGTGTCGAATTTGAATAGGGTTTTTAGGGTGGCGCTAAATGTATCTTCACAATTAAACTGTGGCTGTCATTACCATGTCAACAAACGCTTGAATAGAAACGTAGTTCACACCCCGGATTTTGACGCCAACACGGTCGCTACAGTCCAATTAGTTTTCATTGCAGCCTCGTTTGAATGCCGCGGTTGCGCAAATGTGTACGGATTGGGGTTAGTCACCGTTACTTTTGGGTGTCAGGGAAAATGTATGGAGTAAGAAGTACATTATTTTCTTTAGGAATGTAGTGATGTAAAAGTAAAAGTTGTCAAAAATATAAATAGTAAAGTACAGATACCCCCAAAAACTACTTGAGTAGTACTTTTAAGTATTTTTACTTAAGTACTTTACACCACTAAAAATAAGGCTGTAACGTAACAAAATGTGGAAAAAGTCAAGCGGTCTGAATACTTTCCGAATGCACTGTAAGTTATTTCATCTGTAGCCTAATAAAACTGCATGTTTTCCCAAGTCGTATTTGGAGGACCATATTTACATTACATTTTAGTCATTTAGCAGACGCTCTTATCCAGAGCGACTTACAGTTAGTGAGTGCATACATTATTTTTGTTTGAGTATTTTTATTTTTTTCATGGACCACACACCATATCATCACGTGACTCCAATTTTACCTCGATATGATGGTTATCATATCAATATTTGCACATTAAGGCGTTTCCACCACCATTTCTCGCATAATTAATTTACATTTTAGTCATTTAGCAGACGCTTTTATCCAGAGCGACTTACAGTTAATTTGACCGACAAAACGATCCCACCTTGTCTAGCTTATTTTGTTTTGTCGACATTTGGAAAGTTGACCGACAAATGTTGTTTCCATCAGGCCAGTCATGACACTTTTTATCCGACATGTACTTTACTCGCATAAAAAGGTTGGATGGAAAACTGGTTAATAAGATGAAAACATCATTACTGGTTGTGTTCATGAGAAATTAAAAAGTAAATGTTTTTACACAGTTTAGTTGTCTTTAGGCTACTATTAGGCCCATAAAAATGTATAGGAGGTTCCATGGTATAATTCGCACTCAAAGGTGATTTATAAACAAACTCAGGTCCACTTCCAACCAACAGGCAGACATTTTATACAGGATCATTTAAAGTAAACAGACAAACACAGATCCATGACCAAATGACAAGACAACAAGGTTTTACATGTTTTCAAACTGAGAGGAAACTAAATGAGAGCGAAACGGTCCATCACACAGCAGTAAAGGTGCAGTTTCAGAATAAGATGTCCATCATGCCATTTGGTGTTCAGAGCTTCAGGTCTCCGACCCAAACTGAGTGTAGTGACAAAGAAAGTTCCAACCATCCTATAATATATTGGCCAAATAGAAATTGGTGAGGGAAAGATGGCGTCCATTTCCATGGTGACAGCTGGGAGTCACATGACCATGTTTGGAGGAGGTGATTGACCGGGTCAGGGTTGTCCTCAGCCCCACAGCAAACTGGAAGAGAGAAAACAAGCTCAGAGGTCATATTTGTCTGAATGGTATGGCCAGAGACGGTAGAGAAAGCGAGACACCCCACTTGCCCCAGGGCGAGACATCTCACTGGCAAAACATTTCTGGTCGGGACAATAAGTTGACCAGAGCCAGCTATTCCCTCTCTCGCGTGAGCATGCCAGATATTATGGAGGAACCATGAGCTCACGCAGGAAAAGCATTCTCCCGAGTGAGCGGAAACGCCCACTTACACAGACAGGAACCATGACCATTTCTTTCAATGGTAAACGGCCTGAGTAAACTATCTTATTTATGGTATTGCTACCTATTCCCTATATAATGCACTACTTTTGACCAGAGTCATGACACCGTATTTCCTATATCAGATGGACAAACCACAGACAGACACACAGAGACGGACAGACATACACAGCGTACCTCAGGATGTTGGGCTCCGGCATACCAGGATCACCCCCTCGGGCGAAACCTGTCAATCAAAAACAAAAGAGAGCAGAGATGAAGAGAAGCAAATTGTTGAAGAAACATTAGTTGCACTCCTGAGCTTCGTTTTTTCAAAGCCTGTGTAACGTGACATCTGTTCGTATCTGAGCGGTTTTCCAATAAAACAGTCTCCATCATATCCTCTGACTCAAACACAGGTGACGTAGTTATCTAGCGTCAGTAGCGTGTTCCTGATAAGGGGTGAACATGCGTGTTGCGTGGCCAGCTATTGACGCGTCATAACATTCCGAACTGGAGCTTCAGTTGGGCAGCTTTGGGATTTCCCCTACCACCTTCCTCCACCCCTCTCTCTCCCTCCCTCTCGCTTTCCTCCTCTGTTTCCCCCATCTCTTATCCCTTTTGGCCAGCAGTTCTCTCTGTGGTCCAATAAAGATGTCAGAGAAGGAAACGGAATGTTGGAACTGACTACCCTTATAGCTAAGACATATTGCAAAGATGAACGGCTAAAAGCTGTGCGTGTCAACGAATGGAGGCGATTCAACATCTAGAATTGTCGTGAAATTAACAGATAACGACAGCCGATCTTCCGGTCAAAAGCGATAGGACAGCCACCCACTGCTTCTGACTGTTCGTCATCACGGTGTGTTTCAGGGTTGCGTAAATAGTAGGCGTTGGATTTGTTAATTTAAAATTCAAATCACTTCCTGAATTGATTGACTTAAATTCGAACTGACCCCAACCCTGGTGTGTTTAGTCTCCAATGCCTACTATTGACCTGAGAGAGGGGGGAGGGGAAAAGAATAGCAGCAATGCTCTAGGAGTGGACTCATCTTTAGTCACATTTCTGTTTCTGTAACACTTCATTCACTCCATTCATTCATGCCACCACATTACATCAACCTCCTCATTCCCGACACACTGCTGACATTCTGGGTTTCCCAATCACTTTCTCTGAAGATAGTTAGCGTGTATGTGTGTGTACTGTGTAGCAATGCTAGCTTGTGGCAGACACTCAGTTTCCCTTGTGTAATTATCTCCCTCCTAGAGAAGCTGTAACCATTTCCTTCCTACCCTGGAGCTAAATGTAACTACTGGTCAGATACCGAAACTGTCCGGGTCCTCTGTGGTCTACCCTGGGCTAGGTGTGGTCTCCTACGTCTGTGGTTAGCATTAACATTATCCCGGCCTGTAGCAAGTTGATGACAATAGCAATTTGCACTGGTCTATGAATACAGGTCATGATGCACCCCCCCCTCAGTTAGCACCTAGAGAGGGGGACACACTTGGAAAGTAGGGATGCAGTTAGAGGGAGATGGGTAGAAAGTGAGAAGGGAGTAGGAGAGGAGGCAGAGAGGGTTGGAGAAGAGGAAGGAAAGATGTAGAGAGAGGGGTGGAGGGACAGAAGGCAGAAAGTCGGCCTCACAGTCTCATGATGAGGTAGCCCTGGCTGCGACTTGAAAATCAGTCTCACCCTCGGCCCAAGAAGGAATTTCCTATTGGGCTAAAACAGCGTTTCTCAAACTTGGTCCTGGGGACCCCAAGGAGTGCACATTTTGGTTTTTGCCCTAGCACTACAGAGCTGATTCAAATAAGGGTAAATCCATTTACATTTTTAGTCGCCTCTGTAGCTCAATTGGTAGAGCATGGCGCTTGTATCGCCAGGGTAGTGGGTTCGATCCCCGGGACCAGCCATACGTAAAAATGTATGCACACATGACTAAGTCGCTTTGGATAAAAGCGTCTGCTAAATTCTTCCCATATTTGCATATGTTATAGCTATATTATTATTATTATTAGTCATTTAGCAGACACTCTTATCCAGAGCGACTTACAGTTAGTGAGTGCATACATTTTATTTTCATACTGGTCCCCCGTGGGAAACGAACCCACAACCCTGGCGTTGCAAACGCTATGCTCTACCAACTGAGCTACACAGGAATCACTTTTTGAAGGCCCATTTTGATTTGAACGAAATCTTCCATACCCATTGTAGAAGTGCTCAGAAAGTGACTTTTTGGACCTGAATGCCAAAACATTCAGGAGATAATGGTGCTCAATGTTGACCCATTTTGCATACCCCACCATACCATAAGACATCCATGTCTTCATCACTGGAAAATATAAATGGTTGAGATTTCCATAATTTAAAGCTTACAAACAGGGTTGTAAAAGCATTTGATAAGTTCTGGGGGCGGGGGGGGGAAATGATTTTTTTCCCCATATAAAAATGGACATATGTTATAGCTTAGACCCTATTTTACTTCATCTGAGGTTTTTGTGTTGTGCCCGCCATCAGTTGAGACGCAACCTGCTCTTCAATACAGTGTGGGTGTCATGTTTTGGCTGATAAATGTACTAAAATGGGAATCAAATTGTATGACATGACTGTAAGTCGCTTTGGATAAAAGCGTCTGCTAAATGGCATATTATTTATTATTTAAAATGTATGCACTCACTAACTGTAAGTCACTCTGGATAAGAGCGTCTGCTAAATGACTAAAATGTAAATGTAAACTTTAAAATGGTACCACAAAGATGGGCGGAGGTCCACACATCAGAGAATGTTGACTTGAATGGGAATATCTGTGGTTTTAAATTATACCGTCAATCCTCCATAGGAAACCTATTGAAATCATAGAAATATAGATCATAGAATAGACATGACCATTTAAGTTGACATTCGATGTTGAGTGGACTGGCTGTCATCTAATTAGAAGTAAAAATGTTGATTCAATTAAAATGTCAATGGTGTATCAGCTAAATTGCAGTGGTCTGAAGGGATGGGTCCATTCTATGAAGTATATTTCTATGATTGAAATGACGCATAGTTTTCAAGAGCATGTGTCAACTGGCACAACACAGAAACCTGAAATGATGTGAAATAGGGTCTAAGCTACAACAACAAAAAAGCTACAACAACAAAAAATCTGAGTTTACACGTTTTTAGATAATTGACATTAAAGGTTTAAAAATGACATTTGTTTTTTAAATAATAAAATAGTTTAAGAACACTAAGCTTTTAAATTATATCAAACTCAACTGTTTATCTTTTCCAGTGATGAAGACATAGGTATCTCATGGTATGGTGGGGTATGTGGGCACTTTTTATCTCCTGAATGTTTTGGCCTTCAGGTCCACGTCTTCCATGGCCAAATGTATGGAAAGTTGTGTTTAAATCAAAAGGGATGCTATCAAAAAGTTATTGAATTCAAATGTATTTACCCATTGTCAACTCATCAAGCTTTGATTCTTTTTTATCAGCAGTGTAGTGCTAGGGCAAAAGTTTGAGAACCGCTGGACTTATGGTTAAGACTTTGGTTTGTCACGTGGGAGACCACAGATCTCACCCGAGAAACATGCAAAAGTCGTACACACACACCGACCAACAGTGGGAGTCCCAAATGTGTGTTTTGCCTAATTTTTGTTAGCTACTTTCGTTTGACAGGTGGGGTATTCCTGCGGTAGCTGATTCAGCGAATGTCTCACTGGTTTCGTTTCCCCATTCACACCCCTGGCTATGATGACTGGGTGTGATTTAGCCGTTATTTCGACAGGGAATCCATGTGTCTCACTACGGCCACAAATCTCCATAAATGTGGGGACGTAGTTTAGCTAAAATTAGCTAACTGAAATTGGAAAAACATACAGCTGATTATGCAATAACAATTGCATGCAGTGGTCGCATTACACAAACGAGGTTCCCCGAATTTGAATTTGTTAATCGTAACCAAATCTCAACCTTGCTAGCTATAGCTAGCAACATACCACGTCAGCACAAATAATTGGACATAGCCCCCCCATGCCCGAACTGCTAGCATGCTAAGCTAACCAACTAGCCCCCGTACTGACCCAGGTAGAGCACCGTGGGAATGAAACCCCAGCGGATGACGAACTGTCCGGCCTGGAATACCGTCTGCAGCCGCTGCTTGGTCTCTTTGCTGAGCTTCGCCATGGTAGACAGGTAGCTAGTTGATTCACTGGTTCTGGCTCTGAAGGACGTGAAAAATCGAAAGTCGACGCATGGCCGTAAAGCGAGGCAGGTGGTTTTGAGTTTTTGCGACAGTTGGTACAATCAGAAATGTGACGAGCGCCACTTTGTGGACGCAATGGGAAATGTTAATCTGCTCCAAGCAAACTCACACTTCTCAAATGAACATTACGCTTAAAATGATCATAAATACATACTTTCACTCTGATTTTTTGGCTTGAGAGCTAGGCCCATGTCAGGATGATTGTTTTTACTTTTACTATCCATGTGTTCTCACAAGGATAGCAAAACAATGAAAATTCAGACATGTGGGAAGAGGAAAAATGCTATTTTAGGCTTGGGTTTAGGGTTACAATTAGGTTTAGGCTTAGGTTAAGGTTAGAGGTTTAGGAAAATAGGATTTTGAATGGGAATAAATTATTTGGTCCCCACAAGGATAGTAAAATAAATGTGTGTGTGTGTGTGTGTGTGTGTGTATGATGAAGAACAGGGTCAGACATATAGTGAAATATAGAACAACTTTATTCTCAGAGAGAGTAGCTCTAGCAGTGAGTTATCTTCAGACAGAAAGGCCAAACCAACAACTGAAGTCCAAAAACAATATGTACAGATTCATGACATGCAGTTAAGCAACATAATACAGAAACATGATGATTGTTATTGTATGAATATAAAACAGATCTAGAACACTGACAGAATGATAGAACACTGGTTCTAGAACAAAGGTTCCAGAAGGGCAGACTTTATTCTGCATTCAGATGTCCAGTAGGAAACAACAGTGTTGTCTGATGACCTACGGATACCCAACACTGTTCTCTCCATCTGCACTGCAGTGAACTTCATTGCCACCAAATGGAGAGAGGAGTGTGACTTTCGTGCAATCGTTTTGACTTAAATGTTCCGCCAGTCAACAGTGCGCCTCTCCTCAAAGGTTGCGTGTTCTTTATGTCTGTATCCTCAATTTCCATTATGCTATAAAGCAGGTGATGATGAACCAGAGAACAGACAAACACAGTAAAGTTCATGTTAACATCTAATAAAAATAATCTACCAATCACTCAATAAAGATCAACCAATTAAACACAAGATTACTATACTGACACTTCAGAGTGGGAGGGGATTGGAAGAGAGGACAGTGTTTACAGGCCTAATCCCAAACCAACCCCTATAAACCTATTCCCTAGCTTGTATAGGCCTAACAATATTCCCTAGCCCCTATACCCACTACTCCTAGGCCTAGGGGTGTGTTCGGGATGGTGGTGGTGTGGTTTGGCCATCAGGCACATGTCATGTAGGGTTGGGTTGGTTTGGGTTCTTGTGCTTTAACACTATGGAGATTCAATACAACTAGAACAACAACTGTCTCTCCCTCCCTCTCGTAGGAAAATACCACATTTATAACCACTGTCTGCCGTACATAGAACACCACAGTTAAAGATAGACGCAGCAATATGACATCAGAATCGACAACGGGGTGACTTCCTGCTTACGCATATCAATACCGTAAGCAGGTAGGCACCCCACTGCGTTTGATATATTGTTGCATCTATATTTAAAAACCCAAGTCTCTGTCATAGGAAAATACCACAGTTTACATCATACAAACAGTTTATACATTATCATACAACATAACAAACCCGCCCCAATACATTTATTGATCAGAAACATAACAACCCCAATCAGCTTGTTTGATCTGATCAGAGAGAAAATAAAGATAAATATTGCTTCTAGTAGGATGACATCATCAATCAATACTTTTCACATGTAAACATGAAAGACTTTAATGATTATTTTTGGTTTCTATCATTTTTGCAGTCTGTCATTTAATCATTTCGTGGGATGCAGAATTATTCAGACTGGATGAATAAATAGTTGCTATGGCACCGGGCGTGTGGAGGTCACATTGTGTTAGGTTCATTCAAACACTAGTCACTAGGGCCTATTGCATGATGTGTAAGGAGGAAAGGGGGGCATCTTAAAAGTTTCACTAGAGACTGTAGTTATTTTCATTTTGTTTTTGGGAGTATCACACCTTGTTCATTGCAGCATTCAACAACCTTTATTCTAAAAACAGTCGCTAACGCTCGCATGCATTCACACTCACACAGTACTTGCCCGCTGATGTGGGCGTGGTCAGGAGGGATGTACAGAAAGCCAAACAGGACAAACAAGAGTCTTTTAAATACTCAATTTCCAAACCCTCTCAGAAAACAGTTGTAGTGAGTTACTGCGTCCACAGTCTGCAGATCTGTCAGGTGGTTCTGTAGTTCCAGGGCAGAGGGATGGACCCAGGCTCCCTGCTGTCTCACACCAGGCTCTCGCATTGGAGAGAGAGGAGGGGGAGGAGAGAAGCCTGTCTCTGGAGGGGGCAGCTGTCCTACTGAAGAAGAAGAGGGAGAGATGAAGAACGGTATGGAGAGGAAAGAAAGGGGGATGGTGAGGAGAGGCGGGGGATAAGAGGGAATGTGTTCCAGTTCTACTGGCAGGCTTGGAGTACAGGTCACAGGTCACAGGTACAGGGGCATGGGGTTAGAGGGTTGAGATGGGGGTGAGAGGTCAGGGTTCACAGGTCGCTCCTAAAGTGCACGCTGATGCTGGGCGAGCGCTGGGTGTGTTTGGGGGTGGGGCTTAGATAGCCTAGCTCCTCCTCCTGCAGGCTGCCACTGCACGAATAGCGGCCAGCCTCTGGGTTGCCACGGATACCCCCAGTGTTGTTTCCCTCGAAGGAGCGTGAGAACACGGCGCTGGCCGTACGCGATAGGCTGCTCAGTGCACTGTGGCTCGGCCCCTTGGGCACCGATTGGCTGGACGTCAGCGTCAGACGTTTGATTGACAGATCCAGGTTCTCGCCCAGGGTCTGCCCCCCTGGAGGACAAGCCTCCTTCTCCTTATGCGACCATCCGCCTAGATGCCACTTCCTGCTTCCTGTCTTGGCCCCTCCCACCCCAGGGGTAACACTGTTGCTGATAGTGATGGTGGGCGGAGTCAGGGAGTCTGGGCCGGCCCCTCCTGTAGGCCACACCCCTTCGTCCACTTCAGAGATATTCATCAACTCATCCGGGGAACCCAAATCCACTGCGTCTAGAGAGAGAGGAGGGAGGGAGGGAGAGCCAGAGAGAGAGGGGGATGAAGAGGGGGGAGGGAGAGAGAGGAGTTAGTTATCATTAAACGACAGACAGTAGAATAGTAGAGCAGGCTACAGGACAGGACAGGACAGAGGGTTAGCCAACCAGCAGTGGTTGAAGTGGGCTGGTGCTGACCCTGATAGTGAATGAAGGCACCTTTTTACATTCCACTTCAAGCAGTGGTTGCCATTCAGCTGTACTACGTGTGATAACAGTTAGTGGTGCTACGATCAGTTAACTTACCAGGTATCACCAGTTAGCAGTTATCTGAGGTCAGCAACAGGCAGAGGTCAGGGCAGCAGGAGTTGCAGAAAGCAACACACATACCCACCACACACACACACACACAGCTAACAACCCTCATCTGACAACTAGCTACTATCTTATACTAGCAGACAGACAGATAGGCAGGTCCTTCAGACACACTGAACTGATATACATAATGAAATTAAAACTAAATAAATACTGGGGAAGAGACCAATGGCCATTCCAGAGTTGCCTATCCTCCTCAGCTGCTGCAGCTAACCAATCAGGAGAAAGCAGTCTGTCTCCCCCGGCAACCCAGTGATGTGTTGGAGCTAGGCGTTTTAGAGACCAAAATACCTCCACACACACACACACACACACACACACACACACACACACACACACACACACACACACACACACAGTGAATGGAGAACAGATGGAAAATGGATGGAGTGAGTGATGAGGAGGAAGAAGACGGGATCTCACACAGCAAATCGGAGGAGAAATCGGAGGACATATCAGGAAGCAACGCATCGCGACGAAAGTTAGTCAGCCAACCAATCAGCCGTCATGCTTAGAGAAGACCACGCCTCCACACACTGTTACCTAGGTTACCCCGGGGATGGGGAGGGTCTTAGTACTGGGCCCTCCCTGCGGAGGAGGGCCCAGAACCCTCGTCCACCAATCGCCTCACAGACTTCTGCCTCCTGACCTCCTGACCCCTAGGACTTGGGTCGTGGGTGGGGCTGACCTCTGAGGCTGACCCCAGTGGCTCAGGCTCGGGCTGGGTTAAAGGTCGGGGGTCACGGGGTCGTAGAGAGTCTCCGTTGGGCATCGTCACACTGATCTCTGGGATGGATGACCCTTGACCTCCAGGGGTCGCCGGGTCACTGTCTACACTGACCTCCTGGGACTCTGGGGTCATGGAGATGGAGACAGATATAAAACACAGATACACAGATGAGACACACACACACACACACACACACACACACACAGATGACACAAAAAATCCTAGACAAAATCATGATGATCACACAGTATACAGAGTATAGTGATACTGCAAATGCAGACTGTGACAATGTACATGCATGTATAATAATGCATACAGTAAACTATGCAAACAGATGAGACCGTGATCATGTATAGACAGTAAACATGTATAAACATAATAACGTGTCTAGGTAACATGTATAGACAGTGATAATGTCTAGGTAACATGTATAGACAGTGATAATGTCTAGGTAACATGTATAGACAGTGATAATGTCTAGGTAACATGTATAGACAGTGATAATGTCTAGGTAACATGTATAGACAGTGATAATGTCTACAGAACAATATGGAGACAGATGAGCAGTGATGTAGTGAATGATGAGTAACTAAATAAATGTCCTGATGTGGAGAACCCATGGCATGCTGAACTCCGGGACAGAGTAGTCAGTAGAGCTGGGTGGGAAGGATCTGGTACTGATGCCCTCTTATTGCAGACAGACAGCCTAATGTCTATAATCACTAGACTAGCTACAGAGAATTGGCCAGATACCCTACTGACTCTAGGTTAGCGTTTCTAAACCCAGTCCTCTGTATGTATGTATGTATGTATGTGTGTATGTATGTATGTGTGTGTGTGTGCCTTACCATGTCTTTTCCAGCGGTGTCCTCTGATAGAGAGTGATGTGACTGCATTCCGTGAAATCCTACAGGACGGAATTCACATTCAATTATTAGTAGTTCAAAAGAGATAAACAGGAAAAATCGATATAAAATGCTGTCTATCAAAATCATCACCATCCATCAAAAACCAATATTGATCAAATTCTTACATTAAACTGTTATTGAGTGCAATGTGAAAATCCAAAATATAATTTTCCACTAAAAAATAACGATCAATCTATGAACCTATAACTATAGATCAAAATGGATATGGGTAGATATAGAGAGTATATACTGTATGTACCTAGAGGAAGTATACTGTGTAGAGAAAGTATTCACAGCCCTTGACTTTTTCCACATTTTGTTGTGTTACAGCCTGAATTTAAAATGGATTACTGACCTACACACAATACCCCATAATGTCAAAGTGGAATTATGTTTTTTGAAATTCTTACAAATGAATTAAAAATGAAAAGCTGAAATGTTTTGAGTCAATAAGCCTTCAACCCCTTTGTTATGGCAAGCCTAAATAAGTTCAGGAGTAAAAATGTGTTTAACAAGTCACATAATAAGTTGCATGGTCTGTGTGCGATAATAGTGTTTAACATGATTTGTTAATGACTACCTCATCTCTGTACCCCACACATACAGATAATTGTAAGGTCCCGGAGTCGAGCAGTGAATTTCAAACACAGATTCAACCACAAAGACCAGGGAGGTTTTCCAATGCCTCGCAAAGAAGGGCACCTAATGGTAGATGGGTAAAAAAAAAAAAAAAAAGCAGACATTGAATATCCCTTTCAGCATGGTGAAGTTATTAATTACACTTTGGATGGTGGATCAATACACCCAGTCATTACAAAGATACTGTACAGGCGTCCTTCCTAACTCAGTTGCCGGAGAGGAAGGGAACCGCTCAGGGATTCCACCATGAGGCCAATGGTGACTTTATAACAGTTACAGAGTTTAATGGCTGTGATAGGAGAAGACTGAGAATGGATCAACAACATTGTAGTTACGCCACAGTACTAACCTAATGGACAGAGGGAAAAGAAGGAAGCCTGTACAGACTAAAAATATTCCAAAACATGCATCCTGTTTACAACAAGGCACTAAAGTAATACTGCTAAAAATGTGGAAAAGCAATTAACTGCTTTCCACCAGACACAGAGATTAAGTCACCTTTCAGCAGGAAAATAACCTAAAACACAAGGCCAAATATACACTGGAGTTGCTTACCAAGAAAAGTGAATGTTCCTGAGAGGCCGATTTACAGTTTTGACTTAAATCTACTTGAAAATCTATGGCAAGACCTGAAAATGGTTGTCTAGCAATGATCAACAACCAATTTGACAGAGCTTGAAGAATTTTGAAAAGAATAATGGACAAATGTTACACAATCCAGGTGTGGAAAGCTCTTAGAGACTTACCCAGAAAGACTCACAGCTATAATCGCTGCCAAAGTATTGACTCAGGGGTGTGAATACTTATGTACTGAACAAAAATATAAAGGCAACGTGTAAAGTGTTGGTCCCATGTTTCATGAGCTGAAATAAAAGATCCCAGCAATGTTCCATAGGCACAAAAATCTTATTTCTCTCAAATGTTGTGCACAAATCTGTTTACATCCCTGTTAGTGAGCATTTCTCCTTTGCCAAGATAATTAATCCACCTGACAGGTGTGGCATATCAAGAAGTTGATTAAACAGCATGATCATTACACAGGTGCATCTTGTGCTGGGGACAATAAAAGGGCACTCTAATATATGCATTTTTGTCACACAACACAATACCACAGATGTCTCAAGTTTTGCTGACTGCAGGAATGTCCACCAGAGCTGTTGCCAGAGAATTGAATGTTTGGCAGTATGTCCAACTAGCCTCACAACCACAGACCACGTGTATGGCGTCGTGTGGGCGAGTGGTTTGCTGATGTCAACGTTGTGAACAGAGTGCACCATGGTGGCGGTGGGGTTATGGTATGGGCAGGCATAAACTACGGACAACAAACACAATTGCATTTTATCGATGGCAATTTGATTGCACAGAGATACCGTGACCTGATCCTGAGGCCCATTGTGAGGCCCATTTTTTTTAAGTATCTGTGACCAACAGATGCATATCTGTATTCCCAGTCATGTGAAATCCATAGAGTAGGGTCTAGTGAATTTATTTCAACTGACTGATTTCCTTATATGAACTGTAACTCAGTAAAATATTTGAATTTCTTGCATGTTGCGTTTATATCTTTGTTCAGTATAAATGAGACATTTCTGTATATCACTTACACAAAAAATAAAATAAAACAAATCATATTTTTTATTATGGGATATTGTGTGTAGATGGGTGAGAGTGATAATAAATGTAATCCATTGTGAATTCAGGCTGGAACACAACAACATGTGGAATAAGTCAAAGGGTATGAATACTTTCTGAAGGCACTGTATATACACACACATACTGTATGTACCTAGAGGAAGTATACTGTGTAGATATAGAGTATATACATACCTAGAGGAAGTAGGAGTGATCTCCACCTGAATGCTGCGTGCTCCTTCTTTACTAGCGCCAGTTTTTAGTGCTGCACACTGTTGGGACGACTTGATGGCATTACCCACCTAAACAACACACACAATGTTAAGTATTGACAACAACCACGGGATGCCGTGTGTGTGTGTGTGTGTGTGTGTGTGTGTACACGGTACTGTTGAACAACCGCTGCCTGCTGTTTGATATAGTAGCAGCCTTCAGGATTACAGATTAACATCTCAATGTTTTAACACTGTGGGATTACAGGCACCACACACTCTGGTGACATGACATGGGAGAGGTCGGTGTCCTGGCACACACCTGTGTGTGTTTGTGTGTGATGTCACCCACCAGTAGAGCTTCAGGGAACAGTTCTAGCTGAGCTCGGTACAGAACATCATCCAGTGCCTTGGAACCCAGGTCCATCTCCCCATTACACCTGGAACACACGCGCACACACAAACTAATCAACCCTCTTGTTCACAGGGTTGGGTTCATGGTTAAAATCAGGCGTCGGAGGTTAGGGATACTGTGTGTGTGTTCTCACAGTGCATAGTGTATCCCAGTGAGGAGTTGGACCAGGAACTCAGAGGTGACGGTCAGACGAGAGCTGATGCCTTTATACCTCCTTAGCTGTTGCCGCGGGTAACCACAGATACACACCCTGTAGACCAATCACACAACAGAGAATACAGTCATTCAACCAATCACAGTACAGTCAACCAACCAGAACACAAATGGCAAGCTTTGAGAAACATTTAAAAATAAATTAAAGACCAGTACGATTTCAAAAATCCATACCATCCATAATATACTGTTATGTTTTGATGGGTTATTTTTTGAAGGCAAAGAACTCTATTACTTGTATATAACTGTATTACTTCAAGCAGCCAGATTCCTCTAAGTTAAAGCGGCACCTGCCTGCATGTTTTTAACCAGTAGAACTGCAGTGAGCTGATCACCTCTCCGTGCCTCTTTAGCTCAGTGTTCATCACACTGATGCTCAACCACAGCCTGCAGATTAACAACTCCTCAGACAGAGACCTCGTGTGTGTCCCAGGCTCTCGGGAAAGCGCTAGTATCTTCGCCCAGTTCTCCGCTAAAGTCTTTAAGAGGATCAAATAAGCGGATGCTGGCAGGAGAGTGTGTGTGTTACCTGGAGCCGAGCTGGCAGGAGAGTGTGTGTGTTACCTGGAGCCGAGCTGGCAGGAGAGTGTGTGTGTTACCTGTAGCTGAGCTGGCAGGAGAGTGTGTGTGTTACCTGGAGCTGAGCTGGCAGGAGAGTGTGTGTGTTACCTGGAGCTGAGCTGGCAGGAGAGTGTGTGTGTTACCTGGAGCCGAGCTGGCAGGAGAGTGTGTGTGTTACCTGGAGCTGAGCTGGCAGGAGAGTGTGTGTGTTACCTGTAGCTGAGCTGGCAGGAGAGTGTGTGTGTTACCTGGAGCTGAGCTGGCAGAGGGACTGCAGAGATGAGGAGGTCATGTAGCTGAGAGCTGCATTGTAACACAGCAGCAGGAAGGTCAGCACCTCGAACCTACACACACACACACACACAATGCAACGTTAAAACAAACCAAGATTTTCTGCACTACAGCAAAATAGCCATAAAACGAATATATCACAATGCAGCCCAGCTCCAATTCAACCATAACTCTCTGTCTGACCTGTTCTGAGCCGTGAAGGTTTCTCTCTGTAGGTGAGGCCCGCTGTACACCACTCTACTCAGCCCATGATTGGCTAGAGCCCCTTCCGTCAATGCCAGGGAGCCAATGGTGGAGGGCTGGGGGAAAGGTTTATTCATATTATTATCTTGATCTATAGAAAGTTATTTAAGGATGGTCATGGATTAGAAACCTTCATCTAGGGAGGATTTAATAGCTAGCCAACTCCATCCATATACCATTGTTCATAGAGAAAGACTGACTTGAAAGGTGTACTTACCTCGTGGTAGACTGAGGGTTTGGAGAGGGAGGGGACAGTGAAAGAAAGGACTTTACTCTGTCCATCCTTATCTACAATCTCCTACAGAGAGAAAGAAAGAGAGAGAGAGAGAGAGAGAGTCAGTGTGTGAGTGAGGGAAATAAAAGCAATTTTAAGAGTGCGCCTTAAAGCTCTGCAGTGTCTGAGTGATGTCTGTCTGTCTGTGAGTGTGTGTGTCTGTGTGTGTGTGTGTATGTGTGTTTAAAGGCCTGTTAGGCGATGTCAGAGCTGTTAATGTCAGGATGAGTAATAGCTGGGACAGGATGCTGAATGACAGCTGACCTACTCTGCTATTCTGAGAGAGAGAGAGAGAGAGAGAGAGAGAGACAGTGATAGAGAGAAAAAGCCCTAATTGCTATGCTAACCCCCCCACACCCTCCTTAGTTGTGTGTGTGTGTGTGTGTGTGTGAGTGAGACTGTGGGCGTGTTTTTGAGAGAGTGTGCATCTCACCAGATTATATATCCCCAGTAGCAGGGCCTCTATACAGCCAGAGGTGTGTGGGTCCCTGGCTGCAGACGGAGCCAGGAGGAGGGACCAGAGCAGCTCAGGGAGGAACTGGAGCACAAACCGCTGCAGCCGCGGCTCTCCGCTACGATAGAACTCAAACAACTGGTGACACACTGGCTCCAACAGCTAGAAGAGAGAAATAGAGGAGAGGGTTTGAGGGATAGTTCACTTTTATAAGTTTTAGCTTAGTTTTGTTATATACCTAGGTTGTTGGTGTTTCATCAGCTGGATATTTAGTCCAGAAGCTCCTGGCGAGCATTTTTGCAGAATGTAGCAATGCTAGTGGAACCGGATTGCATCAGTGTGTGCATTAACGTTGTACGTGCGTGTGTGTAGTACGTACGTCACTATAGTTCTCTCTGATGACTTTGTAGAGCGCTGGGACCAGGGAGCCTTTCTCCTTCAGAGACGCTGCGTAGCTGGACACAGCACTGTCAGGGAGGGTCTATACACAATCACACAGATCAACACTCTGTACCCGGAGCAACCTTGAAATAACAGGTAACTATGTGTGTACTAAACACACACATCTACATTACCGTTCAAAAGTTTGGGGTCACTTAGACATTTCCTTGTTTTCGAAAGAAAAGCAATTTTTTTGTCCATTACAATAACATCAAATTGATCAGAAATACCGTGTAGACATTGTTAATGTTGTAAATGGCTATTGTAGCTGGAAACGGCTGATTTTTAATGGAATATCTACATAGGCATACAGAGGCCCATTATCAGCAACCATCAGTCCTGTGTTCCAATGGCACGTTGTGTTTGCTAATCCAAGTTTATCATTTTAAAAGGCTAATTGATCATTAGAAAACCCTTTTGCAATTATGTTAGCACAGCTGAAACTGTTGTGCTGATTAAAGAAGCAATAAAACTGGCCTTCTTGAGACTAGTTGAGTATCTGGAGCATCAGCAATTGTGGGTTCAAATACAGGCTCAAAATGGCCAGAAACAAAGAACTTTCTTCTGAAACTCATCAGTCTATTCTTGTTCTGAGAAATGAGGGCTATTCCATGCGAGAAATTGCCAAGAAACTGAAGATCTTGTACAACGCTGTGTACTACTCCCTTCACAGAACAGCGCAAACTGGCTCTAACCAGAATAGAAAGAGGAATGGGAGGCCCCGGTGCACAACTGAGCAAGAGGACAAATACATTACAGTGTCTAGTTTGAGAAACAGACACCTCACAGGTCCTCAACTGGCAGCGTCATTAAATAGTACCCGCAATACACCAGTCTCAACGTCAACAGTGAAGAGGCGACTCTGGGATGCTGACCTAGGCAGAGTTGCAAAGAAAAAGTCCAGTGTCTGTGTTCTTTTGCCCATCTTAATCTTTTATTTTTATTGGCCAGTCTGAGATATGGCTTTTTCTTTGCAACTCTGCCTAGAAGGTCAGCATCCCAGAGTCGCCTCTTCACTGTTGATGTTGAGACTGGTGTTTTGCGGGTACTATTTAATGAAGCTGCCAGTTGAGGAGTGTATGTTTGTGTACGTTTGTGTGTGTGTGTGTGTGAGAGAGACAGTGATAAGTAGTGATGTGTGTGTGCTGACAGACAGAGATACAGTGAATACTGATGATGAGACAGTGACACTGGCTCTCCCCTAACACACACACACCAGGGTTTCCGTTAGGAAAATGTGGCATCAGACATTTGACCGGCAGAATTGAACTTACTGGACCCATATGAATTGGGTGCATAACATGATTAGGGCGTCCATCCACAGTGCTCAGTGAAAGAAATCCCATTTATATTATGGTAATGCATCTTAAAAGAACATGCAACTTGAGGATGCAACCACGTGCTTCCTTCTTACCGAATTCTGATGCATACTTTAAAGATGTTAGAATGTTAGAATAACTGTCCACATTTTCCTCAGCCAACAAGATGAGTAACGAACAGCAAAATCACTAGCCTATCTCAATCTACTAGCCCCCATAGTAGAAAATATATATTCTATTGGTCAGCTTGTCGTTCTGTGCGAGAAAGAAATAGCCTATTCCAAACAGACTCTGGGACAGATGTGGGACAATAGATCCCAAAATTCACATAACCAGTAGGCCTAGGCTACACCAAAACATCTTTAAAAAACAGTCTGATGCAACAGATCAGAGCGTTTAGCTTCAAATGTTGATAAACTCTTATTTCTTCACAGTATAAGCGCAGCAATGCACACACGGCAGCAGGCTATGCGCGAATGTTTGTTCCATAATGCAATTAGAGGGAAAACACAGTTGTCAAAAGCACATCGCACATGCAAGCAGTTTCATGTTACAGAGACGAAAATATCAGTTAGAAATTTAGAAAGGGGGAAGATCCAAAGATGCTATAACTAGCATTGGTTGCCAATATGACTAGGATGGAAGTTTGGATACTAGACAATGAAAGTTGATTTGAAAACCAATAGAACATGAGAGAAATAGGCTACTGGTTTCAATGGCATATGGAAGTCTTTAGAAAATAATTGTGGCTAGGCTACTTTGAGGCATGCCTCATAATATGAAGTAAAATGTTCAGGTTTCAAACTATTAAGAATATGTTTTCAAAATGCATACTGCCTCCAGCTCATTGTAAAGCGGTGTGTGATGAACTAAAGCATGCCTACCATTGCCCATGTACTTGAATGGCGAATGGGAAGCGAGCTTCAATTACCAGTTGAGAAATAAAAATAGTATATATTTGTAATCGTGGCCATCAAAACTGTTTTAAACATGCAAATGCATTTGCAATTGTTGTGTAATGATTGGGCTTATAAAAGCAACGAACAAGCTGTGATGAGCTGTAGCAGCAGCTCTCGCGCTGTCTGACAGATAAGATACATAATGACTAACAAAAATACACACCAATTTAATTCCACTAAATTATGCAAATTAACCTGTAGACCGATAAGACTGGTCAAATGTATTTAATCAATGAATAGGCCAAAAATCATTATTTTGCAATGGGATTTTTTCCCTTCTCCTGGACAATTAGCCGGCACCAATTTTCATTTTTTTTTTGGGGGGGCAAAAGCCGTCTATTACCGGCTAACGGAAAACCTGACTGACAGACACACACACACACCTTAAACTCTGACAGCCACTCCTCCACCACTCCTTGGTCCATAGCCAACATCTTCCCTCATCTGCTGCTGTGGACACACCTATACCTGGGAAGCAAAAAGAGAGACTGTTGTTAATACACTTACAGACAAACAGACAGACACACAATCCAAAGTCCATCTTTCTTTCCCTCCCTCTCCCTTAGTCACAGCTTCACACAATCTCTGCTGTTTCTCACCTCTCTCATTATCAACAGCACTCTCCCTCGCGCTCTCTCTTTATAATGTTACTTCAGGCTCTCCCGCAGTTACATAAGAGTGTGTGTGTGTGTGTGTGTGTGTGTGAGTGAGAGAGAGAAAGGGAGGAAAACAGTGCTAAGCCCCCCACTCCCCCATCCATTTCTCCATCCCTCCCCCTCCCACCTTGCTCTCCTTCCATCTCTCCCCTCATGGATTAAATATGTTTGTTCAATACAATGAAGTACAGCACTACATTCACATGTGACGTCACACAAACACGACACATTGGTCTGGTTCCACGAGACCACACACACACACACACACAGCTCCTTGTATGGTATAAACAGAGCTAGATGAATCATGTAAATATCATCCATCTACAGTGTGTTTCCATGAGCTCAGATCTGGCCTACTAGTCTAGAACACATAACGACCAAACGTTGACCATGGTAACGGCGGATCACCCATCTAACTATACTGAACAAAAATATAAATGCAACATGTAAAGTGTTGGTCCCATGTTTCATGAGCTGAAATAAATGATCACAGAAATGTTCCATACGCACAAAAAGCTTATTTCTCTCAAATGTTGTGCACAAATTTGTTTACATCCCTGCTAGTGAGCATTTCCCCTTTCCAAGATAAATCCATCCACTTGACAGGTTTGGTATATCAAGAAGCTGATTAAACAGCATGATCATTACACTTTTTCTGTGAGAGCTTCCCATGTCTGGAATACACTGCCATCAGACACACATAACTGCACTACATATCACACTTTCACAAAATGCTTGAAGACATGGCTAAAGGTCAATCAGATTTGTGAACATGGTCCCTAGCTGTGTGTTGCCGCTTTTCATGTATGTTGTCTGTAACTTGTGAGGTGTGGAAACACTTTGTTGCTTTTATGAATTTTGTCTTGCTGCTTTTTGTTCTATGTTGCTCGGTCTGTATGCTACGTCTTGTTTGTCCTATGTTGCTATGTCTGTATGTTATGTCTTGTTCTATGTTGTTATTGTCTATATTGTAATTGTTTTTAATAACCTGCCCAGGGACTGCGGTTGAAAATTAGCCGGCTGGCTAAAACCGGCACTTTTACTGAAACGTTGATTAATGTGCACTGTCCCTGTAAAAATAAACTCAAAAAAATAAAAAATAAAATAAAAGGTGCAGCTTGTGCTGGGGACAATAAAAGGCCACTCTTAAATGTGCACTTTTGTCACACAACACAATGACACAGATGTCTCAAGTTGAGGGAGTGTTCAATTGGCATGTTGACTGCAGGAATGTACACCAGAGCTGTTGTCAGAGAATGTAATGATCATTTCTCTACCATAAGTCATTTTAGAGATTTTGGCAGTATGTCCAACCGGCCTCACAACCACAGACCATGTGTATGGCGTCGTGTGGGCGAGAGGTTTGCTGATGTCAACGTTGTGAACAGAGTGCCCCATGGTGGCCAGTGGGGTTATAGTATGGGCAGGCATAAGCTACGGACAATGAACACAATTGCATTTTACCGATGGAAATGTTAATGCACAAAAATACGGCTGGTCAATATTGCCCAAAACCAAACAGGAACGTGAGCGTGTGTGTGTATTCTAAAATTCACCTCCACTTTCACAAAACCTGTTTCAAAGAGCCTGCCAACCAGTTCTAGCTGCAATTACAAACACTCCATTCAATGTCTCATACACTCCATTCACGGTCTCATACACTCCATTCACGGTCTCACACACAAACACACACTGACCTCTAGGTTCCTACCACAGAGCTTAAAACAGGCAGCCTCTCCTCATAATCCTCTCTATTTAAACAACACATTCCTCTGCTAGTTTACACTTCTAATCCTCTGTGTGTGTCGTGTTGTGTTTTGTACGAGTGGTACAGTAAGCCCAAACAAGAGTAGCAGCCAAACAAACACAACCTTAAACATCAATAGGCCAGCCACACACACTCCAGGTGGATGCTAGCTCCACAGTAGTAGTTTCTGCTCCATCGATCACAGTACCAATACCATCACCTTGTCCTATACACACAGCCTATCAGAGACAAGCTAACACACAGCACAGCCAATCACATACACTGGCTAACTGGAGAACAAACTAATCTGAATCAACGTTATTACACAACACACACACAAACACTACTTACTGCGCTGTCAGCAGGATATCTTTTATCGCAAGACTGTATACCAACGCACACAGAACAGACACATCCACTCCTCCCAGACAACTCACTCACTATGACGTCTCTTTCCAATACATAGGCCAACTCACGCTGATGCGTCCCAATTCTCTGTCCTTTCTCCCAAAGTATGCACTCCTCCCCACCCCACGCAGTTAAAAGCAATGGGTTGGTGTAAGCAAGGGCTAATCGTGTTCAAAGCAAGTTTCCACCATATTTCTTACACCAGTCCTTTTCCTTATAAATCCAGGATGTGAACAAGTTCTGTGAAAATGGACAGGGCAAGCCAAGGGCTCCTCTGGCATGTTATCAGACCAGAGCAAAAGCTAGGAAGTGAACGGACCAATCAGAACACCCTGTTTTGGAGAGAAGAAAGAGCTGCCGAACCGCTTTTTCCTGTGTTGCGGGGTAAAACACACACTAATGGCAGTCATATAATTGTGCCATGCCCTAGAGGAAACAGAGAAGAGAGAAAGAGAGCGCTGTAGCCCAAATGAGCTGAAGGAATGTCCTGAAAATAGTCTATATTATCCCCAAACGACATTATCCTCATACTCACTCACACGAGTACACACCCAATCCTAGCAGATCTCCCTCTCCTTTGTAAATAATGCCCCTGCTTTCCTAACCTCTTACTTCCTCCTGGACTTCCTCTCCTCATCTCTCAATCCCCCTATTCTGCAGAATCTGAAGCCCCCCCCCCCCGCAGTAGTTTCTCTGCCAGCAGCAGTAGTATGCCTAACTCTGTTATTAGTAGCTGTGTGTGTGGTCTGATAGCTGTGGGTTCTGAGAGAGAGAGAGCTGACAGGCTGGAATCCTCTTATAGCAGCCTACACTCCTTTTCTCTCTCCCTCTTTGACTCTCACTCGCTTTCTCTCTCTTCATCCCCCTCTGTCTCAGGTAACTATAGGCTCGGATCATATTTACAGAGAGCTCTCTCCTCATACTGCTGTTTGGCAAACTGTCCTATCATTCTGTATAGCAGAGGGACTGTGTGTGTGTGTGTGTGTGTGTGTGTGTGTGTGTGTGTGTGCGTGTGCGTGTACACCATCCTGCAGAGGTTCCACTGCATTAGGGCACACACACATACACACACTGGTGAGAGCCGTGTCTAGGGCTTTACTGAGGAAAGCTGCGTCACATGTCAGTTATTGCAAAAAATCTGAACAATGCATTACTCAACCTACACACACACACACCACACACACACACACACACACACACACACACCCTCTAGGTTGTGTGTGTAACAGCAACATTAATAATAAAACAAAGGATTTTAATCAAACATGCTTGACAGAGCAAACACAGACACAACTGACTAAAGCCTCAGGTACACACTCACCTAACTTATGTCTATGTGGTGTCCACCGCAGATCGATCCTACAGGACTATTGATCAGTGTACAGCCACAATATCCACCGGCAGAAACACTATGCAGTAGATAGTAGACCATCACTATAAACATCATCATCATCATTTAGCTACATCATGTGGAGACTAAACCACTGATTGACTGAAAAGGGTAATGCTTGAAATTAGACTAGGTGTACTTGCTAGCTAGCTGACCAGAGGACGAGCTGAGGGACAAACTTTTTGACAGCAGTCTGGCTAAGGAAGCTACTTGTCCTGGGCTTTTCAGGCCAATGACAGCTAAACTAGCTAGCTAGCCTGCTGGCCAACGTAGTCACGGAACTAGGTGCAAATTGTGAGTTTCACTTCACGCCTGTCAGTTGCCTAGCTAGATGCTATCTGGCAAGATCCTTCACTTCCCACACAGCTTCGCAAGTCCGGTCTACAGAAATCAACAAGCTCGCTACCTACCTACTGTAGCTATCTAACTGTTATCGCAAACTACTTTGTGTGAGGTCACTAGTAGCAGATCTAGCTATATGCTTCCGAGCTCGACAGAATCTCTAGCCGACTCAGTCAGGTTTCAAACTGAAAATGTGCATGCAGAAAGCGCTCTCCAAGAAGACGAACTAGCTAGCTGCAAAGTTGTTTGTTTACTTACTATCATGCTATCTCAGGATTTCCTTTGTCTCCAAGTCCGCTATTGTTCCGTCCGAAGAAATAGGTAGATATCAATTACTCCTTAAAGCCACTAGCTAGCTAAATCATTAATCAACATCAAAACCTCAATTTTCATTTACTCCCACCGCTCGCCAACACTAGTGTGAACTCGAGAAGGACTAATTCGGAATGGCAGGCCTGTATACCAATGGTTAAGCAGTATAAAAGTAAGAACCGCGCCTCCAGAAATAGCGACCAATTAAGTTTGGTGTAGGGGCGTGACATAATAATTTTCACAAATAGGGTAGATCGTCGCTATCATCGCTGTTTGACAGTCAGATCATGGGCATAGTTATATGATTTATGACCTTTGTGTTTTAGCTATCATATCGGATACTTGTAATGAAACTTTGATATGTGATTTTAAAAGGGAAAGTATCCTATGTTGTCAAAGCTTTAAAGGGTATGTATTTATAATATGCTGGATTGTATATTGTATGGTTATTACTGCAGGGCCCATTATGTCATTTTATAAAGAGGAAGAATATAACGGTAGACCTGTAATAATAATTATAAACTGGGTAGTTCGAGCCCTGAATGCTGATTGGCTGACAGCCGTGGTATATCATGTAAATCGCTCTGGATAACAGTGTCTGCTAAATGATTAAAATGTAAGAGCAGCCCTTAGCTGTGGTATGGGCCTTATTGGTTAATTATATAAGGTTGATATAATAATTAACCTGGGAAAAGCCTGTCTGCCAGTCTCAGTATGAGGTGCATAGCTAATGGCCATGCAAAGGTTATGGATGCAGAAAAACAGTAGGCCTTCAGATAATTGCAGTACTTAACATTTGAACTAATACATTATGTAAGTTATTGACTGGCATGTCCTAGTCCACAGTACAGCAGCAACATATCAGTAGCAAAGCTTTTCCTTCCATCCTCTCATCTCCCTTTTTTCCTCTCTTAACACACACACACACACACACACACACACACACACATCTCTCTTGCTCGCTCGCTCTCTCCCTCCCTCCCCTAACCCCCCACACAGTCTCTCCCTCCCTCTCCCTACCCCTCCCTCCATCCCATTCTCCTGCTGCAGGGTCCTGTCAGTACCAGTAAGGAGTCTCTGTGTGCTAAGTGGTGGTTGTGATGTGTGGAATATATATTTTTTATACTCAGCTATGTCACTCAAACATATTCATTCAAACCTTAAGACACTAACAACAGTGTGCAGGTTTAATTTGTTATAAAATGCAATAACATACAATATTAACACAGAAAAAACACTAACATGATCTCTAACATCGATAGTGGTTTAATCAACACAGTGTTTGATTAGATTAGGATTTAGATTAGGAATTCCTGTCCAGAATACATCAGGATATATCACAACTAATTTCTCTAACATGTTTATAGACATACTCAATATACAGTGGGGGAAAAAAGTATTTAGTCAGCCACCAATTGTGCAAGTTCTCCCACTTAAAAATATGAGAGAGGCCTGTAATTTTCATCATAGGTACACGTCAACTATGACAGACAAATTGAGAAAAAGAATTCCAGAAAATCACATTGTAGGATTTTTAATGAATTTATTTGCAAATTATGGTGGAAAATAAGTATTTAAAAAAAGTAAAAAAAAAAAAAAAGGACAGGAAGAGGTCTCTTTTGAAAAAATGTTTTTATCTCAACGAAACTAACCTGGTTAAGTGAAGGTTAAATAAATGAGAGAGAGAGAAAAGAAGGGCATGGCTCTGTTATGCCTATATGTGTGAGAGTGAGTGTGTGTGTGTGTGTGTGTATGCATGCGTGTGTTTGTGTGTGTGTGTGTGCGTGTGTGTCTCACCTTGCTCCTCCTTGATCTTCCTCACACACCTGGTCAGAGTCAGGGTGCTGTCATTGTTACAGTCATAAGTGCGGCAGAGAGATATGATGCGTTCCTTCATGATATCATAGCTCTCCTGTTGTTGGTTGAACGTCTCGGCCACATCAGAGAACCGCTGGTCCAAGTCCTTTAAACCCACACGCTTCGGGACAAACTGACCACTCCGACTCACTGAAACACACACAGTCAATAACACACACATACACACTTGTAATTTGATGGTAATATGTGTGATTGAACCTGTGGGTGCTGGTCGAGGCTGTCTGGCCGACTCTGGCTTCTCTGATTCTGGAAGCTTGGGGTGCAGTAGGGGCAGTCTCTGTAACACACACACGTTCCACAATGTGTGAGTGAGGTATAGGGCTGGTTATACAAATCCGATCAATGTCTAATACTGTAACAACATACCTATTCTATTCAGTAGTCCGTGCTTCATTCAGTTGGTAATATTGTGGCATAACACTTCCTGATGCAAAAACATGTAAGTCGTGTTTTGTCATACATTAAGTGCACTATTGGCTTGCTGTACACATATGTTTTTTAACACGCCTATTTGAAAGTAGCCTAATGCATGTGTGATTATAATGTGCTTGTATGTATCCGATTCCACAAATGCCTCCCTCAGGAGAAAATTGTTCTACTTGTTACTGTAAACAAACCCAGACAATAAATCATGTTTCTTTCCTGTTCTCATATACAGTACCTCGTCCGTGTCTTCGGAAAGAGAGACACAGCGGCAACAGAATAGCACAGACATTGTCGCTGAAATAAATGATCCCGAGACGCGACAGTTAATCCCTGCAATCAATCTCTCTTTATTGTTTGTGACAAGCTTTCTCTTTCTTTCTCTTTATCCAGGTCAATCCATCGCTTCCCTGCATTCCTGGTGACGTCACCTGTCATGGGACTTGCGGAAAAGTTTTGTAGCTGTACTACAATAAATAGGTCAGGTGCACCCAACTTCTACCCCGGAACTGTACAGGTGAAATGCATAGCTATACGTTTCATCATTCAATAGTAGACAACACAGACATTTGACACGTCAGCTCCGTCTTTTTCGGTAGTGCATTTATGAAACGACAAACGGTATGCTGCCTGTAAGAAATACACTTTTTCCCATTCAAAATGAAAACAGACAAGCGGAGGCGGTCTTTAAACTGACGCTAGGGGGCGATATTTGACAGCCGCTGACACTGAATCTACCACAATATTTGTTATGTTCCTCTGGGTACCAGCTCATGTGGGAGTAGAGGGGAATGAGGAAGTGGATATTATTGCCAAGCAGGCTCTTAACCATCCTAATGTTGAGATAGAATTGTCAATCAGTAAAGCAGAAGCCAAGGGATTAATAAGAACAGTGGTTAAAAATATGTGGCAAGAGTTTTGGAATAGGGAGAGCAAGGGAAGACACCTCAAATCAAATCAAATCAAGTTTTATTTGTCACTTACACGTGTTTAGCAGATGTTATAGCGGGTGTAGCGAAATGCTTGTGCTTCTAGCTTGACAGTGCAGTAATATCTAACAATTTCACAACATATACCCAATACACACAAAACTAGTAAGGAATGGGATTTAAGAATATATACATATATGGACAAGCAATGACAGAGCGGCATGGACTAAGATACAGTAGAATATTATAGAATAGAATGCAGTATATACATATGAGATCAGTAGTGCAAGATATGTAAACATTATTAAAGTGACTAGTGTTCCATTTCTTAAAGTGGCCAGTGATTTCAATAGGCAGCAGCAGCCTCTAATGTGCTAGTGATGGCTATTTAACAGTCTGATGGCCTTGAGATAGAAGCTGTTTTTCATTATCTCGGTCCCAGCTTTGATGCACCTGTACTGACCTCGCCTTCTGGATGATAGAGGGGTGAACAGGCAGTGGCTCGGGTGGTTGATGTCCTTGATGATCTTTTTGGCCTTCCTGTGACATCGGGTGTTGTATGTGTCTTGGAGGGCGGGTAGTTTGCCCCCGGTAATGCGTTCGGCAGACCGCACCACACTCTGGAGAGCCCTGCGGTTGTGGGCGGTGCAGTTGCCGTACCAGGAGGTGATACAGCCCGACAGGATGCTCTCAATTGTGCATCTGTAAAAGTTTGTGAGGGTTTTAGGTGCTAAGCCGAATTTCTTCAGCCTCCTGAGGTTGTTGCGCCTTCTTCACCACACTGTCTGCGTGGGTGGACCATTTCAGTTTGTCGTTGATGTGTACGCCAAGGAACTTGAAGTGTTCCACCTTCTCCACTGCGGTCCCGTCGATGTGGATAGGGGGGTGCACCCTCTGCTGTTTTCTGAAGTCCACAATCATCTCCTTTGTTTAGTTGATGTTGAGTGAGAGGTTATTTTCCTGGCACCACACTCCCAGAGCCCTCACCTCCTCCCTATAGGCGGTCTCGTCATTGTTGGTAGTCAAGCCTACTACTGTTGTGTCGTCTGCAAACTTGATGATTGAGTTGGAGGCGTGCTTGGCCACGCAGCCATGGGTGAACAGGGAGTACAGGAGGGGAGTACAGGAGGGGGCTGAGCACGCACCCTTGTGGGGCCCCAGTGTTGAGGATCAGCGAAGTGGAGATGTTGTTTCCTACCTTCACCACCTGGGGGCGGCCCGTCAGGAAGTCCAGGACCCAGTTGCATAGGGCGGGGTTCAGACCCAGGGCTTCGAGCTTAATGATGAGCTTGGAGGGTACTATGGTGTTGAATGCTGAGCTATAGTCAATGAACAGCATTCGTACATAGGTATTCCTCTTGTCCAGATGGGATAGGGCAGTGTGATGGCGATTGCATCATCTGTGGATCTATTGGGGCGGTAAGCAAATTGAAGTGGGTCTAGGGTGACAGGTAAGGTAGAGGTGATATGATCCTTGACTAGTCTCTCAAAGCGCTTCATGATGACAGAGGTGAGTGCTACAGGGCGATAGTCATTTAGTTCAGTTACCTTTGCTTTCTTGGGTACAGGAACAATCGTGGCCATCTTGAAGCATGTGGGAACAGCAGACTGGGAAAGGGAGAGATTGAACATGTCCATAAACACACCAGCCAGCTGGTCTGCGCATGCTCTGAGGACGAGGCTAGGGATGCGGTCTGGGCCGGCAGCCTTGCGGGGGTTATCATGCTTAAACGTCTTAATCACGTCGCCCATGGAGAAGGAGAGGCCACATTACTTGGTAGTGGGCCTCGTCAGTGGCATCCTCAAAGCGGGCGAAGAAGGTGTTTAGCTTGTCTGGAAGCGAGACATCGGTGTCGGCGACGTGGCTGCTTTTCTTTTTGTAGTCCGTGATTGTCTGTAGACCCTGCCACATACGTCTCGTGTCTGAGCCGTTGAATTGCGACTCCACTTTGTCTCTATACTGATGTTTTGAAGGTTTAATTGCCTTTCGGAGTGAGTAGTTACACTGTTTGTATTCTGCCATATCCCCAGTCACCTTGCCATGGTTGAATGCGGTGGTTCGCGCTTTTAGATTTGCGCGAATGCTGCCGTCTATCCACGGTTTCTGGTTAGGGTAGGTTTTAATAGTCACAGTGGGTACAACATCACCTATACACTTCCTGATAAACTCAGTCACTGTTTCAGTGTATTTGTCGTTCCTGTATAAAATCCAGGAAAAGGTGGGGGCAGGGAGGTCCTCAGACCGAGAGAGAAGGGAGGAAAGTGTAGTCACAAGGCTAAGACTGGGACACACAAGGCTAAATAGCACATTGAAATTGGTGGGGAAACATCCGACTGGGAGGTGTGATCATTGTCAGGAGGAGATGGAGACAGTGGAACATGTTCTATTTCAGTACCAGAAATATGTGAGAGAAAGGGAGTGATTGTTATTAGATTTGAGGAGTAATGGGGTTGAAGAGCCAGGATTAAGTGAACTGCTGGGGGAATCTTCAGGGGATGTAGTATTTAATTGTGTATTTCGTTTCCTTAGGGAGACGAGATTATTGGGTAGGATTTAGACCTTCACTGTCTCTGGTCCACACTCCAGTCCAGCTGGTGGCGGTAATGCACCTTAAAGTTGGTTGCCAACCGCCATTTAAAATCCACAGAAGAAGAAGAAGAAGATTCTACCACAACAGTAACCCGGAAGAAGAGCAAAATATAAGGAAGTTGAACTCCAGTCTAGTAGGTGGCGGTAATGGAACATATTGGATGCCAACTGCCATTAAACCTCATTGAAGAAGAAGAAGAAGAAGAAGAAGAAGAAGAAGCAGAAGAAGCAGAACCCGGAAGAAGTGAGAAAGTGAGCAGTGCCAAAGATACTCTGGCAGTCCTAGCTAACACATAAAACCAGAACCCACTTTTCTTAACTTCTTCTGTCAGCAAACTAAACCAATAATATAGCCCAGTGGTTTACTCGCAGCGAATCAACATCAAGATTAGTGTATATACGAGCTGGACATGCCTATGTATGTAGCTAGCTGCTGAACTGCACGCATTCTATATAGTTAGCTAGCTAAGTTAGCGTAATTACTATCTCCAAAACAAACAGGTTGTGCTGTGCAGTGGACTTTGGCAGCAGCAGTGGGAGTTCTAGCAAACGTTACTATTGCAAGCTAGCCAGTTTATACATACATATTATTATTGGTGCTTATTTGAATTTCCTGTCTTATTAGGCTATTGACAACCCCTAAGTTAACTAACGCTACACCTAATTTAGTAGCCAGCAGCTATGGCCAGCACCAGCATGGCTTCTGCAGCTGCAACAGGAGACAAACCCTCAAGTTCGGGTTCTAAGAAGAAGATTGAAAAGAAGTTGGCTTCTAAAGAGGAGTCCAGATTCCTGTCCAGTATCATGGGCGTCATGAACAACCTAAGGAAACAGGTGTGTGTGTGTGTGAGCGAGCGAGCGAGCGTGAGAGTGTGTGTCTAACAGTGTGTGTTTTCTGCAGGGTACTCTATGTGATGTGATCTTGGTGGTTCAGGGGAAACATATTCCTGCTCACAGAGTGGTCTTAGCTGCAGCCAGCCACTTCTTCAGCCTCATGTTTACTAGTGAGTACACTACACACACACACACACGCATGCACACTCAACTTTGTTGTAACTCTATCTCTTTCTCCCTTACCTCTAATAACACGTATTACACCAATGTGACACTTCTCTCTATCTCTCTCTCTCCATCTCTCTCTCTCTCTCCCTCAAGCCAGCATGATGGAGTCTACCAGTCACGAGGTGGAGTTGAGGAGTGCTGAGCCTGAGATCATAGAACTGCTGGTGGAGTTTGTCTACACCGCTCGGTAAGCCGCACACACACACACACACACACACACAAATGTCCATCCATATGGGACACTTTAGACACAAAACACACCCCATACTGTGTGTGTTTCAGTATCTCAGTGAACAGCAGTAATGTCCAGTCTTTGCTGGATGCAGCCAACCAGTACCAGATAGAACCTGTGAAGAAGATGTGTGTTGACTTCCTAAAAGAGCAAGTCGACGCAACCAACTGTCTGGGTAAGACCTGTCTAAATTCTATACATCTATAATAGTGTCTCTCAAATTCGCCTCCACACAAACACACACTCCTTAACCTCTGGCCTTTCTCTAGGTATCTCTGCTCTAGCGGAGTGTTTGGACTGTCCAGAGTTGAAGCTGTCAGCTGATGACTTCATACATCAGCACTTCACTGAGGTCTATAAACTGGATGAATTCCTCCAACTGAACGTCACCCAGCTCACCCAGCTACTGCACCAAGACACACTCACTGTCCGGGCCGAGGACCAGGTAACACACACATACACACACGTGCGCGTGAAACCACACACACACACCAGATACTTTACCATGTTGTCATTAATGTGTGTGTACATCACTGGCTCAAGTATGACATGTTCTCCCCCCCCCGTTTCACTATCTCCCTTTCTGTGTGTGTGTGTGTGTAGATCTATGAGTCTGCGGTGCGGTGGCTGAAGTATGATGTGTGTAACAGACAGAGTCACATGGTGGAGGTGTTGGGCTGTGTCCGCTTCCCTCTGGTGTCTAAAGCCTTCCTCTCTAAGACCGTCCAGGCTGAACCCCTCATACAGGACAACCCAGAGTGTCTCAAGATGGTCATCAGTGAGTAATCACACACCTGTATATGGGTCTTTCTATAAACTGGGGTACCAGTGAGGATTTCCTACACTGGGCAACTTATTACAGCTGTTGATAATAATCTGCAAAACATGTTCATGTCATTACATGAAGATATAGGGGGGATCATGGGTATATTCAATACAATTCACGGTTGGTGAATTTATCATGGTTGGTGCCTTGAAGGATTTGTCAAAAATCGTGTGACATAAAACATTACTTTTCTGGCCTTGCGTTTATGGCAGTGTAAATTATCGTTATATCATATATTAAGCATTAATCAGTTAAATTAGACATTGAACTTGAAGAATCCTGGATCTAGCCGTCAGTTATTTGTATAGAGATCACAGAAATGCAGTGTAACTACATAACATTTTGTGTCTCCCTATGTTACAGGGTGAAAACAGTTTTTATTGGCACACACAAAAGTCCAAAATAATAAATGCTATTGAAAATTAAAATGCTTCTAACCGAAAGAGTGACCTTACCTTGATACTTAAAACCTAAATCGATACTGTCATTAACGTGGTTCTTCAATAGTTATGCATAATACTTATTTAATTTTTGATCCGTTTTTGTCAGAGATGTGACCACTTTAGTTTGTTTCCTGCCGCTTCAATTGAAGGATGCTGCGCAGTTATGTGAAGTTATTATGATGATGACAACATCTCATGTTGGCTTCAACTTGGCTTTCCATACAAATCCTTCCATTAAAAAAAGAACCTGGTTTTTGGTCACTTTCTCGTTATAAAAACAGTGATGGTGAGATTAAGCTACTGCTATTCATGGCTTTATTATGTGTGCCTGCGTCAGCCACATAGGCTACAGAAAAATCGGCATGCATGCATCCAATCTATTTAGTCAGGCAATGTCCAAATTATTCTCTCAGATTTTAGAATGTAATAATAATTTGAATATCAAGGCCTAAAAAAATCATTATTCTTAAAGTGCTTTTTGGGGGGGAGGGGTGTTCTATATAAGGCCCTATACTGTATGGACAGTTATATAAATTATACAATTGTATAACATTGAGGTCCTTGAAAATTACAAATAAGGATCCACTTCCTGTTGAACGAGGGAGAGCTCGGTTTTTTTAAATTGTATTTTTTATATATATATATATATATTGGGCTCCCGAGTGGCGCAGTGGTCTAAGGCACTGCATCTCAGTGCTTGAGGCGTCACTACAGACCCCCTGGTTCGATTCCAGGCTGTATCACAACCGGCCGTGATTGGGAGTCCCATAGGGCGGCGCACAATTGGCGGTGTAGGCCGTCATTGTAAATAAGAATTTGTTCTTAACTGACTTGCCTAGATAAATAAAGGTTTAAAAAATCAATATATATATATACACATACACTACCGTTCAAAAGTTTGGGGTCACATAGAAATGTCCTTGTTTTTTGAAAGAAAATCATTTTTTTTGTCCATTTAAAATAAATACAGTGTAGACATTGTTAATGTTGTAAATGGCTATTGTAGCTGGAAACGGCTGATTTGTTATGGAATATCTACATAGGCGTACAGAGGCCCATTATCAGCAACCATCAGTCCTGTGTTCCAATGGTACGTTGTGTTTGCTAATCCAAATTTATGATTTTAAAAGGCTAATTGATCATTAGAAAACCCTTTTGCAATTATGTTAGAACAGCTGAAAACTGTTGTGCTGATTTTAAAGAAGCAATAAAACTGACCTTCAGCAATTGTGGGTTCGATTACTGGCTCAAAATGGCCAGAAACAAAGAACTTTCTTCTGAAACTCGTCAGTCTATTCTTGTTCTGATAAATGAAGGCTATTCCATGCAAGAAATTGCCAAGAAATGGAAGATCACGTACAACGCTCTGTACTACTCCTTTCACAGAACAGCGCAAACTGTCTCTAACCAGAATAGAAAGAGGAGTGGGAAGCCCCGGTGCACAACTGAGCAAGAGGACAAATACATTAGTGTCTAGTTTGAGAAACAGACGCCTTACAGGTCCTCAACTGACAGCTTCATTAAATAGTACCCGCAAAACACCAGTCTCAACGTCAACAGTGAAGAGGCGACTCCGGGATGCTGACCTTCTAGGCAGAGTTGCAAAGAAAATGCCATATCTCAGACTGGCCAATAAAAAGAAAAGATTAAGATGGGCAAAAGAACACAGACACTGGACAGACGAATCAAAGTTTGAGGTGTTCGGATCACAGAAGAACATTTGTGAGACGCAGACCAAATGAAAAGATGCTGGAGGAGCGCTTGATGCCATCTGTCAAGCATGGTGGAGGCAATGTGATGGTCTGGGGGTGCTTTGATGGTGGTAAAGTGGGAGATTTGTACAGGGTAAAAGGGATCTTGAAGAAGGAAGGCTATCACTCCATTTTGCAACGCCATGCCATACCCTGTGGACGGCACTTGATTGGAGCCAATTTCCTCCTACAACAGGACAATGACCCAAACTGCAAGAACTATTTAGGGAAGAAGCAGTCAGCTTGTATTCTGTATATAATGGAGTGGCCAGCACAGTCACCGGATCTCAACCCTATTGAGCTGTTGTGGGAGCAGCTTGACTGTATGGTACGTAAGAAGTGCCCATCAAGCCAATCCAACTTGTGGGAGGTGCTTCAGGATGAAATCTCTTCATATTACCTCAACAAATTGACAACGCCAAAGGTCTGCAAGGCTGTAATTTCTGCAAATGGAGGATTCTTTGACGAAAGCAAAGTTTGAAGGACACAATTATTATTTCAATTAAAAATCATTATTTCTAACCTTGTCAATGACAACATTTCCTATGCATTTTTCTACATTTCCTATTCAAACTCATTTCATGTATGTTTTCATGGAAAATAAGGACATATCTAAGTGACCCCAAACTTTTGAATATATACCCCCCCCCTTTTCTTTCACGATATCCAATTGGTAGTTAGTCTTGTCCCATCGCTGCAACTCCCCTAAGGACTCAGGAGAGGCGAAAGTCGAGAGCCATGCGTCCTCCGAAACACGACCCTGCCAAGCCGCACTGCTTCTTGACACACTGCTCGCTTAACCCGGAAGCCAGCCGCACCAATGTGTTGGAGGAAACACCGTCCAGCTGGCAACCGAAGTCAGCTTGCAGGCGTTTGGCCCGCCACAAGGAGTCGCTAGAGCGTGATGGGACAAGGAAATCCCGGCCGGCCAAACCCTCCCCTAACCCGGACGACGCTGGGCCAATTGTGCGACGCCTCATGGATCTGTGACACAGCCTGGGATCGAACCCATGGCTGTAGTGATGCCTAAAGCACTGCGATGCAGTGCCTTAGACCGCTGCGCCACTCAGGAGGCCGTACGTTTGTTGTTTTAAAAGTGTATTGGAAAGTTTCTTAGTTGCTAGCTAACTTTTTAGTTTGGATCCCGCGACGCAGTTGGCATCAGTTGCTGGGACTGCTACTCTCTGTCCAGTGATCCTCCCGACCAAGGCCGGGTCTAATGAGCTATTTGGCGTAGCAGCTAGCCTAGCTGCTAGCTAGCTGCCTATCAAGCTAGTGGGGTTTCTTGGCAGCTTGAACGCAGCCTGCGACGCGGTTAGCCATTGTGGCTGGGACCGCGGATTGTCCCGGGTTTGTGGCTGTCTAGATTCCTGCTGTTTGTTGTTTTCAATCTTCCCTGTGACCTGCCCTGTCTGGAACTGCGAGCAGTAACAGCGTAACCTACATTGCTAGCTACTATGACAAAGACCAAAGCCGGCGGGAGTACCGTTGAGGACAGTGGTCTCTCTCTATCACAGGTGAAGGATCTTTTAAACTAACAAAAATAGTTCTACATGCAGTTGTTACAACAACAAGAAAATAGCTTCAAGTGTTTTGTCCAAATACTGGTGGATTCAACTAATAAAGAATGGACGACCTGACCAGAGAGGTCCAGGACCTGAAGAACAGCTTACAGTTCTCCCAGGGTCAGCTCAATGAGTTGAAACAGTAGAACGGCAAGATGACAGCAATCTGTAAGTCATTGAGAGAGGACATCAGTTCTGTGTGTGAATCCATGAAAAAAATCAAGACGGAATAACATGGTTGTGGACGGAATTGCAGAATCTCCACATGAGACCTGGACGGAGTCTGAGGACAAAGTGAGGAAAATGATCTCTGAGAAATTGAAGATGGATCACAGGAAGATTGAGGTGGAGCGCGCCCACAGAACTGGAAAACCCACCACTGGCCCAGGTGACAGGCCCAGGTCGATAGTGGTCAAGTTCCTGAGGTTCAAGGACAAGGTAGCTGTTCTGTAAAGAGCCAAGCACTTGAGAGGAATGTATATCTTCCTCAACGAGGACTATCCTGAAGATGTGTGCCAGAAGAGGAAAGAACTTATCCCAGCCATGAAAGCTGCCAGAGCGCGTGGGGACATTGCTTACATCCGCTATGACAGGCTCATTGTCCACCCTCCCTCTCAGAAGCCTGGAAGGGATGAGAGAGCCAAGCCTATGGGTTCGTAGCTTCAACCCCATAGCACACACACACACACACCAATTGATTAATGGACTGCAGAATTTATATATTTTTTATCTTGCTTTGTTTGCTCTTTTCCATATGATGTCTATCTCTAATAAGCTACCCAGGAAAGGGCCGAAAATAGCCCATATTAATATATGTAGCCTTGGAAATAAGGTTCATGAAATCAATAACTTGCTAACATCAGATAACATTAATATATTAGCAATTTCTGAGACTCACTTAGATAATTCATTTGATGATACAGCAGTAGCAATACAAGGATATAACATCTATAGAAGAGACAGAAATGCTTATGGCGCAGGTGTTGCTGTATATATTCAGAGCCATATCCCTGTAATGCTTACAGAAGATTTTAAGTCAAGTGTTATTGAAGTGTTGTGGTTGCAGGTTCACTTGGCACATCTAAAGCCTTTTCTTTTGTGGTGTTGCAATAGGCCACCAAGTGCTAACATTCAGTATTTAAATAATATGTGTGAAATGCTTGATGGTGTATGTGATGTAAACAGAAAGGTCTACTTTCTTAGGGACCTGAATATTGACTGGTTTTCATCAAGCTGTCCACTCAAGAGGAAGCTTCTCACTGTAACCAGTGCCTGTAATCTGGTTCAGGTTATTAATCAACCTACCAGGGTGTTTACAAACACTACAGGAACAAGATCATCCACGTATCGATCACACTTTTACTAATACTGTAGAACTTTGTTCTAAAGCTGTATCCGTACCCATTGGATGCAGTGATAACAATATATTGGCTATATCCAGGAAAGGCAAAGTTCCAAAAGCTGGGCCTAAAATAGTGTATGAGATAATACAAAAGATTTTGCTATGACTCTTATGTGGATGTTGAAAATATTTGTTGGTCTGATGTGATTTAATAAGGAGCATCCAGACGCTGCACTTGATGAATTTATGAAATTGCTTCTTCCAATTATTGATAAACATGTACCTGTTAGGAAACTGACTGTTCGGCTCCATGTTAAGGCTCCATGTATGATGAGGAATTTAAAAACTGTATGGTCGAATGAGATGGGGCAAAAGGAGTGGCTAATAAGTCTGGCTGCACATCTGACTGGCTGACTTACTGCAAATTTGAGAAATTATGTGACTAAACTGAACAAAAAGAAGAAGAAACTGTATTATGAAGCCAAGATCAATGATATAAAGAATGATATATATGGTGGTCCTCTGTAGCTCAGCTGGTAGAGCACGGCGCTTGTAACGCCAAGGTAGTGGGTTCGATCCCCGGGACCACCCATACACAAAAAAAAAAAAAAAAAATGTATGCACGCATGACTAAGTCGCTTTGGATAAAAGCGTCTGCTAAATGGCATATTATATTTATTATATTATTATTATTATTATTATATTATATGATGGAAAACAAACGTTGAATTACTTTAAATTAAATTATGGGCAGAAAGACAAATTCAACTCCATCTTTCATCGAATCAGATGGCTTATTCATCACAACCATTTGATGTTGCCAATTATTTTTATGATTACTTCATTGGCAAAGTGGGCAAACTTAGGCAGGAAATGGCAACAACGAACAGTGAGACATCGTATTCCTGCATAAAGAAACAAATAATGAAAGAAAAGCATTTCAAGTTAGAATTTTGTAAAGTTAGTGTGGGAGAGGTGGAAAAATTGTTATCGATCTGAGCCTAGAGGAAAGTATTTGTCCTCAGGCCTGGAGGGAAGCCAAAGTAATTCCGCTACCCAAGAGTGGTAAAGTGGCCTTTACTGGTTCTAACAGCAGACCTATAAGCTTGCTGCCAGCTCTTAGCAAACTGTTGGATAAAATTGTGTTTGACCAAATACAATGTTATTTTTCTGTAAACAAATTAATAAGACTTTCAGCATGCTTATAGAGAAGGGCACTCAACATGTACTGCACTGACACAAATTACCTGATGATTGGTTTAAATAAATTGATGATAAGAAGATTGTGGGAGCTGTACTGTTAGATTTCAGTGCAGCCTTTGATATTATTGACCATAACCTGTTGTTGAAAAAACGTATGTGTTATGGCTTTTCAACCTCTGCCATATCGTGGATTCAGAGCTATCTTATCTAATAGAACTCAAAGGGTTTTCTTTAATGGAAGCTTCTCTGTCAAACATGTAAAGTGTGGTGTACCACAGGGCAGCTTTCTAGGCCTTCTACTCTTTTTTCTATTTTTACCACTGGCATTAAACAAAGCATGTGTGTCCATGTATGCTGATGATTCAACCATATACGCATCAGCAGCCACAGCTAATGAAGTCACTGAAACCCTTAACAAAGAATTGCAGTCTGTTTTGGAATGGGTGGCTAGTAATAAACTGGTCCTGAACATCTCTAAAACGAAGTGCATTGTATTTGGTACAATCCTTCCCTAAGTTTTAGACCTCAGCTGAATCTGGTAATGAATGGTGTGGCTGTTGAACAAGTTGAGGAGACTAAATTACTTGGCGTTACCTTAGGTTGTAAACTGTCATGGTCAAAACATATAGATTCAATGGTTGTAAAGATGGGGAGAGGTCTGTCCGTAATAAAGAGATGCTCTGCTTTTTTGACACAACACTCCAAAAAGCAAGTCCTGCAGGCTCTAGTTTTGTCTTATCTTGATTATTGTCCAGTCGTGTGGTCCAGTGCTGCAAGGAAAGACCTAGTTAAGCTGCAGCTGGCCCAAAACAGAGCGGCACGTCTTGCTCTTCATTGTAATCAGAGGGCTGATATAAATACTATGCATGCCAGTCTCTCTTGGTTAAGAGAGATTTCATCTGAAAATCCCAAATTGTTTGCATAGTCAACTTACACACAGCTCTGACACACACACTTACCCCACCATGGGTCTTTTCACAGTCCCCAAATCCAGAACAAATTCAAGAAAGCGTACAGTATTATATAGAGCCATTATTGCATGGAACTCCGTTCCATCTCATATTGCTCAAATAAACAGCAAACCTGGTTTCAAATAACAGATAAAGCAACGCCTCCCCTATTTGACCCAGATAGTTTGTGTATGTATTGATATCTAGGCTACGCATGCCTTTAAAAATGTTTTATGTAGTTCTCTCCTTGAGCTGTTCTTGTCTATTAATGTTCTGTATTATGTAATGTTTCATGTTTTGTGTGGACCCCAGGAAGAGTAGCTGCTGCTTTTGCAACAGCTAATGGGGATCCTAATAAAATACCACCAAAATAAAGTGCTTGAAAAAGTCCCCAAAAGTCCTTGAATTTGACTTGCCAATGTCTGTATGAACCCTGCTTAAAGGATGTATAGTCCTAGGCCGATGTTGTTGTATAGGTGGAGTTATGGGCTAATTTGCATATATTCACTTTTATTCCTCTAAGTACACATGTGGAACTGTATAAAAATATGTTTTATTTTTGTTTCAAAACATTTAGAAATGTTGATCCCAATGTGACACGTTGGCCCCATTATTGATGGGGGTGTGTGTAACCTGTTTTTGTGTATCTAGGTGGGATGCGGTACCACCTGTTGTGCCCAGAGGATCGTGAGGAGTTGGGAGAGAACAGTCGCCCGCGGCGTAAGAAACACGACTACAGGATTGCTCTGTTTGGAGGCTCGCAACCCCAGTCCTGCAGATATTTCAACCCTAAGGTACACACACCTACATGTGCTTCAACTCAAAGAACATTACGTCACTTAGACAGGGCCAGTCTGTAGTCCATCTGCTCATTCAAATATGTGGGGATGTTAACAAAATGGCTGAATCATTGGCTGAATCAGCCTTGGTTTCTCAAATGACTGCCTCGCCTGGTTCACCAACTACTTCTCAGAGTTCAATGTGTCAAATCGGAGGGCCTGTTGTCTGGACCTCTGGCAGTCTCTATGGGGGTGCCACAGGGTTCAATTCTCAGGGCGACTCTATTCTCTGTGTATATCAATGATGTCGCTTTTGCTGCTGGTGACTCTCAGATCCACCTCTACGCAGACGACACCATTTTGTATACATCTGGCCCTTCATTGGACACTGTGTTAACAAACCTCCAAACGAGCTTCAATGCCATACAACACTCCTTCCGTAGCCTCCAACTGCTCTTAAACGCTAGTAAAACTAAATGCATGCTCTTCAATCGAACGCTGCTTGCACCCGCCTGTCCGACTAGAATCACTACTCTCGACGGGTCTGACTTAGAATATGTGGACAACTACAAATACCTAGGTGTCTGGTTAGACCGTAAACTCTCCTTCCAGACTCACATTAAGCATCTCCAATCCAAAGTTAAATCTAGAATCGGCTTCCTATTTCGCAACAAAGCCTCCTTCACTCATGCTGCCAAACATGCCCTTGTAAAACTGACTATCCTACCGATCCTTGACTTCGGCGATGTCATTTACAAAATAGCCTCCAACACTCTACTCAGCAAATTGGATGTCGTCTATCACAGTGCCATCCGTTTTGTCACCAAAGCCCCATATACTACCCACCATTGTGACCTGTACGCTCTCGTTGGCTGGCCCTCACTACATATTAGTCGCCAAACCCACTGGCTCCAGGTCATCTATAAATCACTGCTAGGCAAATCCCCGCCTTATCTTAGCTCATTGGTCATCATAGCAACACCCACCCGTAGTATGCGCTCCAGCAGGTATATCTCACTGGTCATCCCCAAAGCCAACACCTCCTTTGTCCGCCATTCCTTCCAGTTCTCTGCTGCAAATGACTGGAACGAACTGCAAAAATCTCTGAAGCTGGAGACTCTTATCTCCCTCTCTAACTTTAAGCATCAGTTGTCAGAGCAGCTTACCGATCACTGCATCTGTACACAGCCCATCTGTAATTAGCCCACCCAACTACCTCATCCCCATATTGTTATTTATTTTGCTCATTTGCACCCCAGTATCTCTATTTGCACATCTTCTGCACATCTAGCACTCCAGTGTTTAATACTAAATTGTAATTATTTTGCACTATGGCCTATTTATTGCCTTACCTCCATAACTTACATTTGCACACACTGTATATAGATTTTCTATTGTGTTATTGACTGTATGTTTTGTTTATTCCATATGTAACTCTGTGTTGTCGTTTTTATCGCACTGCTTTGCTTTATCTTGGCCAGGTCGCAGTTATAAATGAGAACTTGTTCTCAACTGGCTTACCTGGTTAAATAAAGGTGAAATAAAATAAAAATGTCAAGTACGGGGTGTGTGTCCAGGACTACAGCTGGTCAGATATTCGTTGTCCGTTTGAGAAGCGTCGCGATGCCACAGCTGTGTTCTGGGATAATGTTGTTTACATCCTGGGAGGATCTCAGCTGTTCCCCATCAAGAGGATGGACTGTTACAACGTACTGAAGGACAGCTGGTACTCCAAACTAGGTACTGGAAAGTGTGTGTTTGTTGTATTAGTGACGGAAATTGGAGTAGTGCGACTTGTGTTGCAACACAGAAAAAGATGTGTGTGTGTGTGTGTTAGGGCTGGGTGATATGGTGAAAACCAGTATACCCCAGTATGGATGTTTATAATACCATCTATAAAGGTATTTTGATACAGTGCTAAATAAATTAAAAGTTCTACAAATTGGACTACTTCACTGCCAGTTTTGTCCTAGTTTGGTTGACTATAAAACCATCAGAATGAAGAAAGACCATTAAAACCACTTAGAATTAATTTGTCATTCTAGGGTCATTCACTATTCATAAAACATATTAAGAACTTTTCATATTCTGAAACTTTAAATACCGTCAAATACTGCCATGTGGTCTAAAATGAGAAAGATATTTTGAAAGGATATTTTGCCCATATCACCCAGCCATAGTGTGTGTGTGTTAGTTCTTAAATTTTCTCGTTTGTAAACTAGGCCCCCCTACACCACGGGACAGTCTGGCTGCTTGCGCCTCTCAGGGCAAGATCTACACCTCTGGAGGGTCGGAAGTAGGTGAGTTTCACTCTCACACACACTCACCGGAGGACAGGAAAGTATTGGGCTGATGGCTTATCTATATCAGCATTGTAGCGTAACATTGTATTGAAGTGTTTGTGCTACTTTCTGTGTGTGTGTGTCTCTGTGCGTCTCTCCCTCTAGGCAGCTCAGCATTGAACCTGTTTGAGTGCTATGACACGCGGTGTGAGTCGTGGCAGACCAAGGCCAGTATGTTGATGTCTCGCTGTAGCCACGGCAGCGTGGAGGCCAATGGGCTCATCTACGTCTGCGGAGGGTCGCTAGGCAACAATGTCTCTGGGAGGGTCCTCAGCAACTGTGAGGTTTATGACCCCGTTAAGGAGGAGTGAGTGTAAACACACGTATACACACACATACTCGCTCACATATACGTATGCAAACATACACACCATACTCCTCTAGTAACATATAAGTTAATAACTAGTTAATAAATGTGTGTATCTTCTGTGTGTGTGTTTTAGATGGCGGGAGCTGAGTGGGATGAGGGAAGCTAGGAAGAACCACGGTCTGGTGTTTGTCAACAACAGAATCTACGCTGTGGGAGGAATGAACGGACTGGGTACGGCGCACACACACACACACACTCTGTGGGGTATGTTTGGGGTATATTTATATGTGTGCGTGTGTAGGTGGGCTGGACTCGGTGGAGTTCTATGACATCGGCAGGAATAGGTGGCACATTGCCGCGGCGATGCCGTGGCGTGGGATGAACGTGAGGTGTGCTGCAGTCAGTGGAGTGATTTACGTACTGGCAGGTTTCCAGGGGGTCGGACGACTAGGACACATCCTGGAGTACCACACTGACACTGACAGGTACACACACACACATTTGTATAACATTTCCTGTGTGTGTTCTCTTATTTTTATCTTACTCCTTTGTGTGTGTGTGTGTGTGTAGGTGGGTGACGTGCAGTAAGGTGAGAGCGTTCCCCGTCACCAGCTGTCTGATCTGTGTGGTAGACACCTGTGGAGCCAAGGAAGAGGAGACTGAGTCAACACACACTCACACACTACCCCCATCGTCATCATCATCGTCTTCGTCCACAGCATAAGCCAGGATCTTTAAACTTTTTCATCTGTTGTGCTTTTATTTGGAGGATGAGAGCTGGTCAGTGTGTTATGAAACTGCTGTAGTGGAATCATGTTGAAGCTTCATATTGAAGAAATCATAGAGAACACACTCTTTGAGGCGAGGTGCTAACTAGCAGAACATAGAACTGGGAAAATACTAACATGAAAGTCACACAGTGATGATTGTCTTCAGACAGAAGCTCATTGTTAAAGCTACAGACGAACGACTGATCTAAGAGCTCTCAGCTGATACAGTTAGTCTCAAATAACATGTTTTTATCAGACCTGGGTCAAACACTGTCAAATACTTTTAAGTACTTGAAAGTATTTGAGGTGTGCTTGATTTAGATAGCACTTTTGGAACTATTCCATTGGTTGCATTTTACCGTGTAAATGAAATCAAGTACAGCTCAAGCATTTGAAAATATTATTCTGTACTATGTATTTTATGCTATTGTGTGGATTTGATTGTACTGTGTTTTATATTGTACTGTAATGAAATGATGTAATGTCAGAGGTTATAGAAGGAACAGCTGATGTCGTTAGGATTTTTACTACTGTATGTGCAGTGGGGAAAAAAGGTATTTAGTCAGCCACCAATTGTGCAAGTTCTCCCACTTAAAAAGATGAGAGAGGCCTGTAATTTTCATCATAGGTACACGTCAACTATGACAGACAAAATGAGAAAGAAAAATCCAGAAAATCACATTGTATGATTTTTAATGAATTTATTTGCAAATTATGGTGGAAAATAAGTATTTGGTCAATAACAAAAGTTTCTCAATACTTAGTTATATACCCTTTGTTGGCAATGACACAGGTCAAACGTTGTCTGTAAGTCTTCACCAGGTTTTCACACACTGTTGCTGGTATTTTGGCCCATTCCTCCATGCAGATCTCCTCTAGAGCAGTGATGTTTTGGGGCTGTCGCTGGGCAACACGGAATTTCAACTCCCTCCAAAGATTTTCTATGGGGTTGAGATCTGGACTCCAGGACCTTGAAATGCTTCTTACGAAGCCACTCCTTCGTTGCGCGGGCGGTGTGTTTGGGATCATTGTCATGCTGAAAGACCCAGACAAGTTTCATCTTCAATGTCCTTGCTGATGGAAGGAGGTTTTCACTCAAAATGGCCCCATTCATTCTTTCCTTTACACGGATCAGTCGTCCTGGTCCCTTTGCAGAAAAACAGCCCCAAAGCATGATGTTTCCACCCCCATGCTTCACAGTAGGTATGGTGTTCTTTGGATGCAACTCAGCATTCTTTGTCTTCCAAACACGACGAGTTGAGTTTTTACCAAAAAGTTATATTTTGGTTTCATCTGACCATATGACATTCTCCCAATCCTCTTCTGGATCATCCAAATGCACTCTAGCAAACTTCAGACGGGCCTGGCTTAAGCAGGGGGACACGTCTGGCACTGCAGGATTTGAGTCCCTGGCGGCGTAGTGTGTTACTGATGGTAGGCTTTGTTACTTTGGTCCCAGCTCTCTGCAGGTCATTCACTAGGTCCCCCCGTGTGGTTCTGGGATTTTTGCTCACCGTTCTTGTGATCATTTTGACCCCACGGGGTGAGATCTTGCGTGGAGCCCCAGATCGAGGGAGATTATCAGTGGTCTTGTATGTCTTCCATTTCCTAATAATTGCTCCCACAGTTGATTTCTTCAAACCAAGCTGCTTACCTATTGCAGATTCAGTCTTCCCAGCCTCGTGCAGGTCTACAATTTTGTTTCTGGTGTCCTTTGACAGCTCTTTGGTCTTGGCCATAGTGGAGTTTGGAGTGTGACTGTTTGAGGTTGTGGACAGGTGTCTTTTATACTGATAACAAGTTCAAACAGGTGCCATTAATACAGGTAACGAGTGGAGGACAGAGGAGCCTCTTAAAGAAGAAGTTACAGGTCTGTGAGAGCCAGAAATCTTGCTTGTTTGTAGGTGACCAAATACTTATTTTCCACCATAATTTGCAAATAAATTCATTAAAAATCCTACAATGTGATTTTCTGGAAAAATATATATCAATTTGTCTGTCATAGTTGACGTGTACCTATGATGAAAATTACAGGCCTCTCTCATCTTTTTAAGTGGGAGAACTTGCACAATTGGTGGCTGACTAAATACTTTTTTTCTCCCACTGTATGTGATGACCATGTTGCATGAAATTGAAAATAAACAAAGCTGGAACTGAACATGTTTTTTTTGGTTACTAATAGTAAGTAACTCTTACTATGGGCTGGTGGGGTTGCTATGGGGACATTGAAACTAATGATAAGAACAATATACACATCTTCATTGAGTTTACACATTTTATTAAAAACATAAGTAATCAACAGTTCATAGGCGCAATGTATTATGTAGACTCATATGCTGACATAAGCTGCTTGTTTAGATGGCATTAACTGCCGTAAAGGCCTCATTAAGGCCATACATATACATACTTTATATGTCCTAATTAAAAGGAACAGGCAGAGTTTTATCAGAGATAGCAAAGTTCATAGTTTAGAATAGTCATTGGAACGCAGCATTCCCTGAGTGGGTTTAAATCATATGGATTGAATGCTTTATAAAATAGTGCGCCTATACCACAGGCCATCTCTTTCTGTTCATCCCACTCCTCTCTCTAAAGCTGTGAAAAGAAGAATAAAGTTTATTTATGAGCACCATGTTGACTAGAAAGAAGGTAGTCTCCTCACCCCTATCGCTCTCACTCTTCATCCTCCTCAGTCATCAGTAGAGCAAACCTGTTGTTTATCTCCTGGGAGGAAGGGGCTCCTCCTTCTCCTCCTCCTCTCCCTCTCCCTCTCCCCCTCCTTCCATTCCCCCTCTTCCTCCTCCCTGATGATGAGGGTAGTGTATTTAGGGTGCAGTTCTCCAGAGCAGCCAGTAGGGAGCGGTATATATGCCCAGAGAGAGGAGCTGCAGCCAGGACAGACTCAGGAGAACAACCCCCTCTCAGACGTCCAACCAAACCATGGACCAGACTACCACTGAATAACCTGGGGGACAGAGGGACAGTATGGTTCAAACAGCGGTAGGGGCAGTATGTGTGTGTTGTGTGTGCGTGCGTGCGTTACCTACCATGCTGTGTCTGGTTCAGGCAGGGGCAGACACAGTAGCTGGTTCAAACTGAGCACGCTCCACAGGCAGGCCTGCCATTGGCTGAGGGAATGAGCCACGCCCACATCGAAACCCCGCCTGTCTCCTGGCCGCAGGCGAAGCTTCATCCACAAGTTCCGTTCTGCGGCTGAGTTAGAGAGAGAACTGGTTTAGTGTGTATGTGTGTGTACGAAAGACAAGACTGTACAACCAAATATTGGGGTCCTTTGCAATGTGATGTTTTTTTGTGGATCTAACTCAAGTATATGTGTTTGTGTGTTTGTGCACACTTATGCGTATTTGCATGTGTGTACACTGCCCCTACCTGTGTTCTGGTTCTGTCCAGGTTGGGTGTTCCGGGCCATCTCTCCATGGACCATGCCCAGCAGCAGAGCCTGTACCTGGGGTAGAGAGGGAAAAGGTCTGGCCTCTCTCCTCCAGAACCCAGTCACTCCAAGGGCCAGCCTGAGGTGAGGAGGTAGGGGAGACAGAGAGGACTCCTTCACCCCCAGAACATCATACAGCACCTCCAGCCGCACTGACACAGGAGCCTATAAAGAGAGATGGAGAGAGAGAGGGACGGTGGGTGGGGGATTAGTCAAATCAATAGGACGATGACACTATGGACAAAAAAGTAACAATCTTGGAAAAAAAGTAGAGGGTGACTGAGTGTGTTGTTATGGTTACCAAGCAGTGTGTTGATATTGTTACCTGCCAGTGTGTTGCTATGATTAACTGCCAGAGAGTGTTGTTATGGTTACCTGGCAGAGTGTCTCAAGGTGTAGCCTGGTTCTGGGGGTGCGTGGCTCCACCTGGCTCTTCCTCAGGTTCAGATCGTGTCTGTCGTACTCCTCCACACACACACTCACAGCGCTGTCACCCTCCACACCGCTAGGGGCGTTGTTCTCACCCTGACCGCTGCCTGAGGAAGGCTCTGCACCCCCCTGACCCTGACCTCTGCCCCTTCCCCTCCTCCCCCTCTGCCTTTCTCCCCTCCCCCTCTCACCCTGTCCCTCTACTTGGGTCTCCTGTCCACCTTGTCCCTGGACCCTGTGACCCTCTCCCCACCCCCTCTCTCCCTCTCTCCTCTCCCCCTGCTCCTGATTGGCCAGTAGGATCCCGTAGAGGGCCTGTCGTATGGCTGTGGCGCTGCAGTGGCTGCTGGGTAGTCGGCTGTTCTCCACCTGAGGGATGAGCAGCACCCTCCTGAGCTCCAGGACGTCCAACACCAGGGGGGCCATCGCCCCGCTCCCTGCGGCCCAGCACAGCCACTCTGGCAGCGGGCAGGGAGTAGCAGCCCACAGCCCCTCTGGCGACCTGGATGAGCCTCCAGAGAACCAGGTAGAGAGACGGCTCTGAGGGGTCAGATGGTACTCTTGCATGCCTGACCAGAGCACAGAACACAGGCCGGACTTCTCTCCTCCTCTCCATGCTCTTCCTCTCCCCATTCCTCCTCTCCCTCGCTCTCCTCCTCCTCTTTCTACTCCTCCTGTCAGTCTCCCCACCTCCTCCAGAGCCTCCTCAGGTCCAGGGAAGTAGGAGAGCCAGAGAAGGAGGCCCTCTATATGGGATGGGCTCCCTCCCCCTCTGCCTCCCCTCTTCCCTCCCGTGGTTAGCTGAGAGAGGAGTGTGTGTATGTGTTTGTAGGTTTGTTCTGTGGTGTAGTCATTCCCTGCCAGGACAGCACACAGCGGCAGAAGTTCCCGGTTCATTCCCCTAAAGTGCCGGCACAGCCCACTGACCGTGTAGCGCCTGGCTGGGATGTAGTGATTTGGAGGGGAACCGCCAACACTGGCCCATTGGAAGAACCGGAACGGAATATACCCACCTGGAAGTAGAGGCGGGAGAAAGGGATGAGAGAGAGGAGGGGGTAAGATAAAAACTGGAAGGAGACATCACTTCCTGGTCTGGCTCCACCCACCTGGCAAGTCAAAGATGTAAAAGTCGCTGTCATTGGTCAGAACTGGACAATCCCACTGATTGGCCAGGCAGGCAATCTCCCAGTCTGCCTCGGCGGGGCACTGGACCAACGGGACACCTCGCTGGGAGAGGACCTGAGGGAGGGACAGAAAAAAAAGAATGTGATGTGAAAAAGGAGAAGAGTGGTGTGTATGAGTGCGCCTGTATGAGTGCGCCTGTATGAGTGCGCCTGTATGTCTCTGAGTCCGTCTGTGTGTGTGTGTACCTGGATGAAGACGTGTCTTGTGAGGAGGGGGAGGACGGAGCCGTGTCGGCCACGGGACAGAGACTCAGCCTCTCGGATCTTACTCTGCAGCCGCTGCCTCAGGGTGGACAGCTTCTTATCACTGGGGTCCATGCCTGACACACACACACACACCAGGGTTTCCGTTAGGAAAATGTGGCACCGGACAATGTGACCGGGAAGATTGAAATTTTCCGGCCATTTGAGAAATGTATCAGACTCGGTGTCCACCCACGGTGCTCAGAATGACAGAAATCACATTTAGATTATGGTAATGCATCTTAACAGAACATGCAACTCATGTAATGAAGCAGACAATAAAACGTCATTTTCAAACATTTGCCAAAATGCAATTCACGGGAAAACACCATTCTAAACAGCACACCTGGGAAACACCACTCTAAACAGCATACCTGATAGCGGTTCCATATGTGACAGAGATAAAAACTTATAAAGAGGGAGAATTTAAAGATGCAACAACTAGAATAGGTAGCTAATATGACTTGGATTGTGCCGAAAGGAAGTTCATATGAAAACCAATAAATAAATAAAATCATTCAAAATACTTCACCAGAAAGCATCACTTAGCCACAGAGGAATCAAGGATTCTGTGGATTGTTTCAAATCAAAAGGTCGTAGGTCTATGCCTATTTGGGAAGTCCGCAAGTTGGGCAGCGCGCGTGGCAATAGGCCTAGTTGATTATTGAGTTGCGGCTGTCAGTGAAAAGCATCTAAAATATGTGTGAAGATAATGTGTCTTGAGTATAATTTATGTTGTGACATGAAGAAGGGGAGGGATGTGTGGCGAAGATACTGTATAGGCGAGTCTCTCTCCAGAATGGCTCAGCTGTCTCCCGCCAATTCTTGCGCATTCATTGTTTCATTGTGTGAATTGTTTGCCCTTTGATTATATATATTTTTTAATCAATTCTTCATTACTTATGTCACCAGTAGTTAATCCCCGTCATTTGGTTACATACATTTCTGTTAATGCATGTATTAATTACAGTTTTTACCGTTCTCATGCTCGGAGTGGAAATGTTTGCAGAGTTCACAGCCTGCTACACTTGCGAGAAACAAGTTTGGGTTTATTTCATAACCATCATTTACGAGATTTGTCAATTTTTTCATTGTCTTGTTTGGAGTGCTCGATGTGAGCATGTGTCTGGTTTCTCTGTCCTGATAATGTTGGGGGAGCTCGGGCGCCTGAGCATGCATAGAAGTACCTGGCCTGCTGCGCGGCAATGTAAGAAAGTGTTGTTGTTTTTTTTTACATCCATTGCGAATTATAATATATTAAAACTTTAGTTCCTCACAGTAAGCTATTTGAAAAATCTTTCCAACAATATCCCCCTCGATAATCACCAATCCTCGGTGTGAATGAGCAATGGCAGTTATAGGCCTAATGCTGCATTGGCCTATAGGCTATGAGTTCCATGCGTTCATTTCTTTAGCCGCCAATGGATCACGATCACGGTGTATCAATGTGTCCATACGGCAGAGGTTGGTGATCTCGCATTAGTTGACTTTACTTTTAGAATTGTATCATTTTTATTCCAATTTTTATGATTAACCAATGATTTTGAGAAACGAAAACTGTATTATTGAAATGAAACGGTTCCACGAAAATGTGCATATGAAAATCATAACTGGCACACAGAACCGTAGAAATAGTAGGATAAATTGTAAGCTTCCCCAAACTTCAAACTCACGCGCCGCCTATGAAGCCTTTATAAAATAATTGCCTCCACGTTTCCATGGTCAGATTTTGCCTATAGGCTTCTTTGAAGCAAGGTAAGACATGCCTCATTATATCAAATAAAACATTCAGGTTTCAAACAATTAAGTATGTTTTCAAAATGAATACTGCCTCCAGCTGACATTGTAAAGTGGTGACGCGCTGATAGCCTGTTGCCTGCACTTAAATAGTGAATGGGAGGCGTGCTTCAATTACCAGTTGAGAAAGTCGCTATTTTTAATTGTGAACCAAAACTGTTTATAACACGCGATTGCATTTAGAGTTGTTGTGCAATGAATTTTATTTTTTATTTTTTATTTAACCTTTATTTAACTAGGCAATTCAGTTAATAACACCCGCAAAACCCGGACGACGCTGGGCCAATTGTGCGCCGCCCTATGGGACTCCCAATCACGGCCGGTTGTGATACTGCCTGGAATCGAACCAGGGGGTCTGTAGTGACGCCTCAAGCACTGAGATGCAGTGCACTAGACCGCTGCGCCACTCGGGAGCCCATGAATGGGCTTATAAAAGCACATATTTTACTCCAGCAGTCACCAGCTGAGAAGCAGCAGGAGAAATCCCGCTCAAAATAGGCTCTGAATGCTGTGCACTTGTGATAGTTGTGTTGGATAAATAAGATACCAGATGACTAACCAAAATACGCAAAGGCCAATTTAATTCCACAAAATTATGCAAATTAACCTATAGACCGATAAGCATGACCCTCAAATGTATTTACATCGACTGGTATTTACATCAATTAATAAAAAGCATTATTTTGCAATGGGAAAAAATTTTCTCCCGGTCATTTTGGCTTGCAACAGTTTAATTTATCGCCTTGAATTTTTTGGGAGCGGCCAAAAGCCGGCTAACAGAAACCCTGACACACACACACACGCACACGCACACAGGCGCGCGCACACACACACACACACACACCATCATTGAGGGTCACTAGAGTTGATCATGATTTTCCTCCTAGTGGATTTTATTTATGGGGCTTCGGAGGTTACTGACAAGGCCGATCCGTGAGCCACAGATCCTGTTGCACAAACACACACACACCTCCATCCAGCACCACATATGGCTGTATGTTGCAGGCCTCCAGTGCAGAGATGAAGGTAGACAGCAGGGTGCCGAAGGCATCGTAGTCCCCTCCGTGTACCTGATCCAGTCCATGGTTTAGATAGAGCCTGAAGAACAGACTACAGCCATCTATCACAAGTCTGCTGTCTCTGAACCTGATGTCCTGGAACAAGCCCCTGTTACCCTCCACATAGCTGGTCAGACCATGGACACCCATCACATCATATATAGACTGCCCTGGAGGGAGAGAGAGTGAGGGAGAAAGAGAGGGAAGGAGTGTGGAGAAATGGGGTGGAGAGAGAGAGCTATAACGGTTCTTACAACCAATTTTACACGCATGTATACAGAGTTACATCAACACGATTAAAGTATAAACTTTGTACTCTTGTCTACACTACACAATATTGCTATTCTGGAGAATGTGTTCATCCTGATCTTGTTTAGAGGCTGACAGTGGTCAGGGCAAAACATATTTCCTGGAAAACATTAATGTGACGAAGCGCAGACCTTGCTGTGCAGTGTGCATAGCCTACTGTACTCACGTGAAACATAAAACGACACAGATAAATATGCACTACACATGCACTACATTAGATAAAAATCCAGACGTTGCTGTGCATATTGTATTGACGTGAAATATAAAATGAGACAGATAAATATGCACGTTAAATGTAATAAAACTCACCAGTTTCACTTCAAAACAACCTCCGCTATCAACATGCCAAGTTTACTTCCTGCTACGTCAGGACAGGAGCGCAAGGAAGCTTGGGAGATTGAGTTTATTCGTCAGACAGGAAGACGAGGACTTTCAAATCTAATTGCTAAATTCATTGTATAAAAAAACAACCCATCACAAAATAAAATCTCATTCCTGTAAATCCACCATGGCTACTCCCGCCTCCAGTAGTTGATCTAGAAGTGTTGGAGAGACTACAGAAAGATAGGGAGGGTGTTGATCCATCTGATTTGTTTAAGAGACGTCTGGATACTGTGTGTCAGGAATGGTTCAAAAGAGCCAAGGACAGGACATACTGGGTCAGCATTTGTAGTGCAGGAATATGGGGTGGAAGTCAGGAAACGTATTACAGATCATCTGGCTGTATATAAGGTGGAGCTGATGGCCATACTGTTGGCCTTGCAGTGAGTGGAGGAAGTCAAACAAGACAGAGTAGTTAATTGCTCTAATTCATGTGCAGTGTTAATGAGTCTCCAGTCCTTTAGCTCACGTAGCAGACAAGACCTGCTTTATGAGATGCTACAAACCCATGGCAGGACCCATGGCAGGATTAAACAGATGGGTATATAGATAAGATTTACTTGGGTCCCAGCCCATGTGTGTGGGGGTGGAGGGGAACGAGGCAGTAGATGAACAGGCTAAACAAACACTTAGTAGTGGGGATGTTGATGTTGATGTTGATGTTTCAATGAGCAAGGAAGAGTAAAAAAGACTGATATATTCAGTGATGGTGCAGAGATAGCAGGAGCAGTGGAATAGAGATAATAAGGGAAGGCATTTATTTCAAGTACAGAGGAAAGTCGGGGAGGGGAGGACGGCAGGAAGAGACAGAAGAGAGGAGGCTATTTTTACAAGATTAAGGGTGGGACACAGCCAGTTGAATAAGACATTAAATGTGATAGGAAAGCATCCAACAGGAAAGTGTGATTATTGTCAGGAAACAGACACTGTGGAGCATGTATTGCTACAGTGTGGGCAGTATCAGAGGGAAAGAGAGAGGATGAGATCTAGTATGAGGGAGAAGGGGATACAGGAAATTAGCTTAAATAGTATATTGAGTAGAACGTCATTAGATACAGTCTCAAATATTTTGTTATCTTTTTTAAGAACAACGGGGCTGGCAGGTAGGATTTAGTTTCTCCCTGTCTCTGGCCCACACTCCAGTACAGTAGGTGGCGGTAATGCACCATAACGTTGGATGCCAACCGCCGATAAACCCCACTGAAGAAGAAGAAGAAAATGTTGTTTTATTACTCTCACTGAAGATTTTATGTAAAAGAGATGTCTCCTTGCAAAGCATCAGTTCACTCTTCAGCTGGCCTTAGGGTGACCACATTTAAAATACCCAAATGCGGGACAGCAGGATGATTTTGCGAGACATTCGCGGGACAGTGTAGTCTACATGAATATTTTTTGTGTTGAGCACAGTCATTGGTGTTGAGTGAGCGCTGCAGCAGGCAGCTGAGTTTACTATAGCCAACACAGAAAGGTTAGAGAAACTGAGAAATAGGCCTAATCATTCAACAGTTTCGGGAGAGAGGATCGAAAGATGTGCTTTCTTTCTAGGTAGGCTATATAGCTAGGTCGTCCTGTCTTCCCGGGGAAGATCAAATAGGCTATGTCTGGGACGGTTCAAACAGTCTCTGGGACTGTTCTAGGACCATAGATCCAACATTCCAGTAGAGGCTGCTGAGGAGAGGACGGCTCATAATAATGGCTGGAAACCATGTGTTTGATGTATTTGATACCATTCCACCTATTCCGCTCCAGCCATTACCACAAGTCCATCCTCCCCAATTAAGGTGCCATCAACCTCCTGTGCAACATTCATACAACAAGGTATACTGTACATCAACAAATGTTCAAAAGCAATGAGGCTGATGCAACAGATCAGAACTTGTAGCTTAAAATGTTGATAAACTATTATTTATTCACATTATAAACACAGCAATGCTAACGTGGCAGTAGGCTATGCGCGAATGTTCCTAAATGCAATTAGCGGGAACACACCATTCTAAAAAGTGCACCACACATGAGAGCGGTTTCATGTAACAGAGGTGAAAATGTCCCTTAGAAATTTAGAGAGGGTAAATCTACAGATGCAACAAACAACACTAGGATTGTGAATGCTGACTGTCTCCACTTAGATTGCAAGGTGGGTAATGTGTGGTGGTATCAGAGCATTTGTATTATTATGTACTTAAATACGAAAACTCCATTTAGTATGGTATGTTATGTTCCGTATAGTATGTATTAATTTGTGGATGTCCATCACCCATTTCGTATGATATGTTACGAATTACAATTCATACAATATGTTAGGAATTTGCAAAACGTATGATGTGTTATGAATTCTAGCTAGGTGGCTAGGTGGCTAACGTTAGCTAGCTGGCTAACGTTAGCTAGGCTAGGGGTTGGGGTTAGGATTAGGGTTAAGATTAGCAGTTAGGTTAAAGGGTTAAGGTTAGGGGAAGGGTTAGCTAAAAGAGTTAAGGTTAGGGTTAGGGGAAGGGTTAGCTAAAAGGGTTAAGGTTAGGTTTAGGGGAGGGTTAGCTAACATGCTAAGTAGTTGCAAAGTAGCTAAAGGGTAGTAAGTAGTTGAAAAGTTTCTAATTAGCTAAAATGCTAAAGTTGTTCTTGATGAGATTCAAACTCGCAACCTTTAGGTTGCTAGACGTTCGCGTTATACGCCCACCCATCCACCCTGACATAGTTTTTGCCTTAAGTAACCATCTGTCATATGTAATCATAACAAACATAACATATCATACTAATTTGAGAGTCACTGATTTGTATTACTATGTTACGTCTAGTATATGAGACCAGGCTGCCAATACACATAGCCTAAAAGTCAATTTATGCTTGATCCGAAAATGTGGTCAGATGCTCGATATGGAGGGTGTGATGCAACTGCACTGCTCTGTGAAGTGCAAGTATGAATAACCTGTCTTCTGCAGTCGTCGTATCACCGTAAATGCTGCATGGCCAATGCAGACATCTGCGCCCTTTAGAGACATTTTATGCTTGAATCGAAAATGTGGTCAGAGGCGCCATATGGATGGTGTGATGCAATTGCTTTTGAGCTCCATACCGCATTGCCTTACAACCTGGAATTAAAATGGATTTTTTTTACAATGTGCAGGGCTTTGCATAGGACTGCTTTGACATGATTGGTTGATTGTAGGTAAGGGCTGGAGGTCCCGTATAAACACAAACTCACTTCCTTGACAACAGCTCTGCACTGCTCAGAAGCGCAAGAAGTATGAATGCCCTGACTTCTGGCCATATCACGGTAAATGCTGCACAGCCATTCAACCTAGGCTACACTTTTGCATGTAGGCTAATTATTTATGTTGGCTACATTTAGGCAAAATAGATTGAAATATGATTTAAATGTTGGCCTTTTTAGAATTAAAATGTGAATTTCTGGCTGAGTTGACATTTATCTATTGCAGTTGTAGGCTACTCTTATTAGTCTTTTAAATCACTGTGAATGACCTACAGTGCCTTGCAAAAGTATTCATCCCCCTTGGCGTTTTTTCCTATTTTGTTGCATTATAACCTGTAATTGAAATTGATTTTTATTTGGATTTCATGTAATGGACATACACAAAATAGTCCAAATTGGTGAAGTGAAATGAAAAAAATAACTTGTTTCAAAGAATTATACAAAATAAATAACGGTAAAGTGGTGTGTGCATATGTATTCACCCCCTTTGCTATGAAGCCCCTAAATAAGATCTGGTGCAACCAATTACCTTCAGAAGTCACATAATTAGTTAAATGAAGTCCACCTGTGTTCAATCTAAGTGTCACATGATCTGTCACATGAGCTCAGTATATATAGACCTGTTCTGAAAGGCCCCAGAGTCTGCAACACCACTAAACAAGGGGCACCACCAAGCAAGCGGCACCATGAAGACCAAGGAGCTCTCCAAACATCCCACAGAGCACCGTTAAATCCATTATTAAAAAATGGAAAGAATATGGCACCACAACAAACCTGCCAAGAGAGGGCCGCCCACCAAAACTCACGGACCAGGCAAGGAGGGCATTAATCAGAGAGGCAACAAAGAGACCAAAGATAACCCTGAAGGAGCTGCAAAGCTCCACAGCGGAGATTGGAGTATCTATCCATAGGACCACTTTAAGCCACACACTCCACAGAGCTGGGCTTTACAGAAGAGTGGCCAGAAAAAAACCCATTGCTTAAAGAAAAAAATAAGCAAACACATTTTGGTGTTCGCCAAAAGGCATGTGGGAGACTCCCCAAACATATGGAAGAAAGTACTCTGGTCAGATTAGACTAAAATTGAGCTTTTTGGCCATCAAGGAAAAGGCTATGTCTGGTGCAAACCCAACGCCTCTCAACACCCCGAGAAAACCATCCCCACAGTGAAGCGTGGTGGTGGCAGCATCATGTTGTGGGGATGTTTTTCCATCGGCAGGGACTGGGAAACTGATCAGAATTGAAGGAATGATGGATGGCGCTAAATACAGGGAAATTCTTGAGGGAAACCTGTTTCAGTCTTCCAGAGATTTGAGACTGGGACAGAGGTTCACCTTCCAGCAGGACAATGACATTTAAATGTCTTGGAATGGCCTATCAAAGCCCAGACCTCAATCCAATTGAGAATCTGTGGTATGACTTAAAGATTGCTGTACACCAGCGAAACCTGAAGAATGGGCAAAAATCCCAGTGGCTAGATGTGCCAAGCTTATAGAGACATACCCCAAGATATTTGCAGCTGTAATTGCTGCAAAAGATGGCTCTACAAAGTATTGACTTTGGGGGGGGTGAATAGTTATGCACGCTCAAGTTTTCAGTTTTTTTGTCTTCTTTTGTCTTATAATAAGCCATGCTACAAGCTATCTCGCTAGTTAACTTTTTAGCTATAGGCCTAAGCATTAATGTCATTGACTCGTTGTCGACATTTTATCCCTGATTTATTGAATGAGGGAATAATTTTATAAAGACAAAAGTTTTAGGTTATAATGTTGATATTTTATATCAAGGGTGATCAACCATCCTCCAGGAGAGCTACTGGGTGTGCAGGCTTTTGTTCGAGCACCGCTCTAATACACCACATTGTAGCCTAAACATCAGCTGCTCAACAGGACCTTGATAGGCAGACTCGGGTGTGTTTCAGGGCTGTCTCAAAAGCCTGCACACCCAGTAGCTCTCCATATGGAGGGTTGACCACATGTGTTTTATACAGTAGCCTAACAGTGCAGTTATTTTACTGCGTGGGGGGTTAAGTGCCTTGATCAAGGGCACAACGGCAGGAGATAGTAGGACTACATGGGATCAGAGAATAGCAGCCTTCTAGTGTCAATACCACATTTATGCTTACTTTTTCATGTAGGCTACATAGAGACACCACCAATTGTTGGTCATGGAAATTTGGTTAAAAGTCATGAAATTCCATCTGTCACAAATGTGTATGAACCCTTAACAGTCAATAATCAGAGGTCTCTATAGCATAATGTCATTTGGGAATTTCTGTGAACATAGTCTAATGGACTGACTTGAAAAAAAGCTGAATATCAAATTGTATTAGTAGTCTAGTGATTGATTGATTACATTTTAGTCATTTAGCAGATGCTCTTATCCAGAGCGACTTACAGTTAGTGAATACATTTTTCTTTTTATGCTGGCCCCCCGTGGGAATCGAACCCACAACCCTGGCGTTGCAAACGCCATGCTCTATCAACTCAATGTGCGCCGCCCATGAGTCTCCCGGTCGCGGCCGGCTACGACAGAGCCTGGATTCGAACCAGGATCTCTAGTGGCACAGTTAGCACTGCGATGCAGTGCCTTAGACCACTGCGCCACTCGGGAGATTAATAGTAGAATAAAACTATTTGAATGTAGCCTACTGGACCTAGTGGATGATGGATCGCCTCTATCTCTTTCATTTCCATCTTGCTCCAGAGGGATGGATGACTGGGACATCTGGCTGCCTGCCTGCAGCCACACATCAATTTACATTTTTTATTAAATAAAAGAAGCCAAAAAGCAAACTGTTGGGGCTTTTCGATTTTTATACTCCAGTTGAAAATACGATTATTTTAGAACAATGCTACTATTTCACAACATTGTGTTGACAACATTTAATAATAATGTTTTCTTTAAAAATAAAAAACGTTTTAACCATTCACTATCAATAGTTCTGATTAAATCATTTGGTGTGATTAACCAATAACAAAGGGAGAAATGCAGAGAACATGGTTAACCAATTTTACCAGTTGTATTTAGATTGAAATTATGGAGACACTTATTGGATAAAATTGGATAAATGTGGCAACTCCTCTCTTGTTGCGAAACATATTTTTTGGGCTAGTTATCAGGCCTTGTGGGCGGGTTTTAAGTGCAATAAATGTTATCTTGATCTGGCAACCCTGCTGATTCACAGCTGTAACAGCTCTTGAGCGGGCTAGTTTTCCACCCGTTATTATAAGGCGTTATTATGGCGACAACGTCTGGGGGACCCAACATCGGGGCTCCCGCGTCCAGCCAGAGTCCACACACCACCACAGCACAGCGGAAAAAAGACGGGAGTCCGTCCGCGAGGTACTGGGAGAGCCCCGACTCCCTGGCTCAGCTCGAGACGGTGCGACAGTGGATCGGGAAGCACTACAAAAAGGTGCGTGAGCTAACACTAGCGTAGCGGCTAACTATTTACATTGGTAACTATGGGCTAGTTAGCATAGCGGCTAACTATTGTTGACTAGATGAAAACTGCTAGCTAGCTAGCTTAGCAGTCTCTCGCTACTTAACTAGCTAACTACAGTACATTATTAAATACATTTGCTGTATGCCTTAGCTAGCTAGTTATCCAGCTGCCCGAGGTTGGAAGCTACTACTAGCTAACTAGCTAGGTAGTAAGATTGCAAGCTAGTAAGCTAGTAGCTAGCTAGCTAACTGCGTTACAATAGCAGAGTTGGGATCAATTTAAATTCGGAGTAAACCAAATTCCAATTCCAGTGTACTTCCTGAATTGACCCCAACCCTGTACAATAGCAACTGTTTATAATCTGCAAACAGTAACATTGTAACTAGCTTGCTAGGTAACTACTTATGTATGTTTCCAGCTGCTAAGGCTGCTACCTTCTGCTCCGTTATAACACTATATAGCTAGTTTTGTGCTCCGTATTTCCTAGAGTAGTGACTGCTGTGGACTGTATGATGTAGCAAGATGCTCAAGCTATACCAGATGTTCTACTGTTAGGTATGTCCTTCTGGATTACTGATTGTGTGTGTGTGTGTGCGCGAAGTATGTGCAGGCAGACTCTCCATCCTGTCAGGCACTAGCCTCCCTCACCCTTCAGCTGCTTCAGTTCCAGGAGGAAGTCTTCGGCAGACGGGCTGAAAATCCCACACTCACCAAACTACCTGTGAGTACACACACCAGGGTTTCAGTAAGGACAAGTGACCGGGAAGATTATAATTTATCAGACATATGCATTGGGTGTTCGTGGAAATTACCACCAGGGACACCTGAAGTCAATCTTAAATGAATCATTCTTTATTATCAGCAAGCTGGAGAGGTCACAGTCAAACTTAGATGCATAAAGTACCGGTCTGAAGTGAACTCCCTCGGGGCAGTCCCGTTAGATCTCTTATATACTGCTTAAACAGAAAAGTTACATAGGCATGGAAAATAGGATTGGTTCCTGCATGTGTCTGACTCCGTCTCCTATCTTAACTTGTATCTCCCGAGTGGCACACTGGTCTAAGGCACACATTGCAGTGCTAGCTGTGCCACTAGAGATCCTGGTTCGAATCCAGGCTCTGTCGTAGCCGGCCGCAACCGGGAGACCCATGGGGCGGCGCACAATTGGCCCAGTGTCATCCAGGGTAGGGTAGGGAATGGCCGGCAGGGATGTAGCTCAGTTGGTAGAGCATGGCGTTTGCAACGCCAGGGTTGTGGGTTCGATTCCCATGGGGGGCTAGTATGAAAAATAATAAAATAATGTATGCACTCACTAAGTCGCTCTGGATAAGAGCGTCTGCTAAATGACTAAAATGTAAATGTAAACATTTTCTGGGCGTTCTGCCAGATCATGTCTCCCCCCTCATATATTTACCAAGCACAAGACAAGATGAAAATTTTCAAGGCTGTCTCTTCACACAATAAAATCCATCACACTAACCCATTAGAGCGTCCACCCACGCAGCCAGCGCCATCAATAAACAAGGGAAATTGGCCAAATGAGCCACATTTACGTGTCCTTAAAAACAGCCTATAATATAACAAATAAAACAATTATTCCTTGTGTTTCGATGTGTAGCATATGCAAAACGTTATAGCCTATTGGTTTTTGCTTTGCTAAAACAATTTTCCACCTCACGGTTCAGCTGTCAGAGATTTGAGACCTAAATGCATCAGGGAATTGAATGCATAGGCCTATAGGCTTAGGTGTCCACTGTCTCTTTATTTTATCTTTATTATTTATTTAAAAAATAAATATAAAGTAAGAGAAGCTTAGGCCTAGCCCCAGAGAGAGAGATATACCAGTGACATGCTACGACACCAAAATGCAGTTCTTTCTCCTTGTCAGATAAGCCACTGCGTCTGCTATACAGATATAGGCGTACAGAAGGAGGCTAATTCATATTTTTTTAAGTCCGAATTTTAAAAATAAAGAGAATCATTATATTGTTAGATTATAGGACTAACTCTGGTAGGCCTAAAACATTCTTCCTAACCTCAAGTTCAACTGTCGGAGTCAGTTGGAGCGCCGGTGCGCACAGCCTTCATATTATAGGCCTGCAGTATAATAGGCTAATAGCCACACCACACCACACCAAGCCTTCACAAAAGATTCCAAACTTTATTAGGGTAATATCAAAAGTAAGTCAAGCCATTGCTTATAGGGAAAATACGAGCAGGATATTATATTGCGGCAAACACAACATTACAGTTGGAACAGAATGAAACAAAACACTTACGAACTGGTTTAAAACTTCACAAAAGTTTTGAACAGGCTACAGTATATTGCAGCAGTTACCAAGAAAGGCAAGTGCCTACCGTACACAACAAATGACAGCAATAGGCTAATGATATTTATTTTACAACAGGCCTACTTGTAACCCATCTTAAACTAAATACGGAGAACACAATTAAAAAGACAGATGGACTTAATTTAGCCAGTGACAATGTCTCAACAGAATTAAACAAAACACTTTTAGCATATTTTAAAGAACTGGTTTAGAATAATAAATAGGCATACAGGAATAACAATGATATGCAATAACAATAATGATAAAACAAATTATTATCAATACGAAAATAAAAAAATTAAGTTCAAAAATTGCATCCTACCTGATTAGCAAGTTGCACAGTAGCCTGCATTTGGCTGTGCCAACGTTCTTCTCATCTTAGTCCAATACAATATTAACCCTTGTAGACTTTTCACTATAGGCATGCTCTCTAACTTTTGTTTGACTTCAATGAAAAAGGGCTCCATCTTCGCAATAAACAGTAGCCCAAGGCTCCTCTCTCGCTCTCTCGTCAGCAGCAGGCGCATGCATGTAAGGCAGTGTGTAAGGCAGTGTGTAAGGCAGTGTGTAAGGCAGTGTGTAAGGCAGTGTGTAAGGCAGTGTGTAAGGCAGTGTGTAAGGCAGTGTGTAAGGCAGTGTGTAAGGAGTGAGAGAATGGTGCTGAAGCGCGAAATCGGGATGTGTGATAGGCAGCCCTGGACAATTTGGCTGGCTACGATTTTTATTTATCGTCTTTTAATTTATTTTAGCAGCCAAAAGCCTGCAATTACCAGCTAGCGGAAACCATGACACACACACACACTGTCAACCCACACTCACCAAACTACCCATGTGTGTGTTGTGGTGCTGGTCTTGTGGGTGTGGGTTTCAAATCAAATGTTATTTGTCACATGCGCCAAATACAACAGGTGTAGACCTTACTGTGAAATGCTTACTTACAAGCCCTTAACCAACAATGCAGTTTTAAGAAAAATAAGAGTTCAATGTAAATAGTCCAGGTAGCCATTTGATTAGCTGTTAAGTAGTCTTATGGCTTGTGGGTAGAAGCTGTTCAGAAGCCTTTTGGACCTAGACTTGGCGCTCTGGTACTGCTTGCCATGCGGTAGCAGCGAGAACACTCTATGACTAGGGTGGCTGGAGTCTTTGACAATTTTGAGGGCCTTCCTCTGACACCGCCTGGTATAGAGGTCCTGGATGGCAGGAAGCTTGGCCCCAGTGATGTACTGGGCCGTATGCACTACCCTCTGTAGTGCCTTGCGGTCGGAGGCCAAGCAGTTGCCATACCAGGCAGTGATGCAACCAGTCAGGATGCTCTCGATGGTGCAGCTGTAGAACCTTTTGAGGATCTTGAGGACCCATGCCAAATCTTTTCAGTCTCCTTAGGGGGAATAGGTTTTGTTGTGCCCTCTTCACGACTGTCTTGATGTGTTTGGACCATGATGTGGACACCAAGGAACTTGAAGCTCTCAACCTGCTCCACTACAGCCCCATCAATGAAAATGGGAGCGTGCTCGGCTCTCCTTTTCCTGTAGTCCACGATCATCTCCTTTTGTCTTGATCACGTTGAGGGAGAGGTTGTTGTACTGGCACCACACTTCCAGGTCTCTGACCTCCCTATAGGCTGTCTCATCGTTGTTGGTGATCAGGCCTACCGCCATTGTGTCGTCGGCAATCATGAGATACTCTACCTCAGGCGAGCAAAACCTTGAGACTTCCTTGATATTTGATTTCGCGCACCAGCTGTTATTGACAAGTAGGCACAGACCGCCACCCCTTGTCTTACCGGAGGCAGCTGTTCTTTCTTGCCAATGCTCGGAAAAACCAACCAACTGTATATTATTCATGTTGTCGTTCAGCCACGACTCGGGTAAACATAAGATATTACAGTTTTGAATGTCCCGTTGGTAGGATAGTCTTGAAAGGAGCTCATCCAGTTTATTCTCCAATGATTGCACGTTGGCCAATAGGACGGATGGTAGAGGCGGGTTACCCACTCGCCGAATAATTCTCACAAGGCACCCGGACCTGCGTCTACCTGTGTCTGCGTCTTCTCTTCACGCGAATGACGGGGATTTGGGCCTTGTCGGGTATCTGGAGTAAATCCTTCGCGTCCGACTCGTTAAAGAAAAAATATTTGTCCAGTTCGTGTTGAGTAATCGCTGTTCTGATATCCAGAAGCTCTTTTCAGTCATAAGAGACGGTAGCAGAAACATTATGTACAAAATAAGTTACAAATAACGCGAAAAAACAAATAGCACAATTTGTTAGGAGCCCATAAAACGGCAGCCATCTTCTCCGGCGCCATTATTGGGATTTTTGTGTGTGTGTGTGCTCCTCTCTAGTCTCAGTGCTTCCTGGACCTGCGCCCAGGAGGCGGGCTTTGCCACATCCTTGGCTCCGCCTACAAGTTCAAGACTGATCAGGGCTGGTGAGTGACAGATCTTATCCCCTATCTCTTATCTCCTAGCCCCTATATCCTACCTCATAGCCACCATCCCCTGTCTCCTATCTCCTCCCTCTAACAGGGCTGGTGAGTGTTACCTTTGGCAACGTCCTGTTTCGGTCCCTGCTTGGTAACCTGCATGGGTACTGTTCCTCAAATGTGTGCATATGACACAGAAAGCACTTCACTGAGGCCCTCCACCCTTTTTTCCATCTTCCCTCTCTTTCCCCTTTTCCCCCTTCTCTCTCCCCTGTTGTCCCTCTCTCCCTCCCCCAGGAGAAGGTTTGACCTACAGAACTCCTCTAGGACGGACCGGAACGTAGAGATGTTTACTACTCTGGAGAAGACCCTGGTCCAGAATAGCTGTCTGTCGAGGCCCGTGGTGTATGTGGACCAGGAGGTGGATCAGAACCTGAACAGCAGACTGGCTGACATCATCACCAAACACCAGGTGAGCGAGGAGGTGATGGAGAGCGAGAAGGGAAGATAGATGGAGAGCAGGGGGAGGGAGGAAGATTTATGTAATATTGCCATGGGTGCTGCTGTTTTCTCTCTTGGGCTGTTTTCTCTGTTGGGTAATGTAGTTCTGTCTCAGCTGATGGGTAATGTAGTTCTGTCTCAGCTGATTGGTAATGTGTTTCTTTGTCTGTCTCAGGGTTCGTTGACTGAGGACAGAACCCAAGCCTCTCACCACATCTACCCCTGTCCAGCCTTCACAGACCAAGGTCAGTGTGTGTGTGTGTGTGGGGTCATCACATATAATTGAATATTGTAACTAATTTAATAGGATCTTTGTGGGTCATAGCCTGTTGGCAGCTTTGACCCAAATTCACAGTTTTAAGTATTTTTGTGAGTTCTGTTCTGTTCTTAGTTTTTGACCGTTTTTTGTGTGTTCTCATTTCCAGATTGGGAGTGGGTGCGCCCTGTCATGCGTAAGGACAACAATGTGTTGGTGCACTGGGGCAGGCACCCTGACAGGTAACACACACACACACTAGGGTTGAATGGTGGGAACCCGGTTACCGAGATTTACCGGGATATACCGTCCAAAACCACTCCCTTTTCCCAGGTTAAATAACTGCGAGAAACCGGTAAATTATAATTATTTATATGAACAGCATGGCGTGAAATGGAACTGTTAAATTATATGTGATGTCTAAATCTGGCTTCTCTACGGCCTCTGCATGATGAATCATCAACTCTCAGGGTGGGGACAGACAGCCCATCTCAGAATGGGCAGCTGCAGAGTTCACTCGAATATTGTTGCTTTAAAACAGTGCACGCACGAGCACTCTCTCGCTGTCTTTCTCTCTCTCTCTCCATCAACTCCATTCAAATTGCATCCAAAATAGATAATCCTGTTCTAGATTGATATACATATATATAGCCCCATATATAGATGTCCTAGTCTACCTCTTTCAGGTAATACATTCTATGCAGTATTAGCCTTATATTTAGCTAATTAATGATTGGTTATGCCCACAAATGGCTCTGTCGTAGCCGGCTGCGACCGGGAGACCCATGGAGCGGCGCACAATTGGCCCAGCGTCGTCCAGGGTAGGGGAGGGAATGGCCGGCAGGGTTGTAACTCAGTTGGTATAGCATGGCGTTTGCAACGGCAGGGTTGTGGGTTCGATTCCCACGGGGGGCCAGTATGATAAAATAAATAAATAAAATAATGTATGCACTAACTGTAAGTCGCTCTGGATAAGAGTGTCTGCTAAATGAGTAAAATGTAAATAATAAGCTTCTAACTTATAGCCTCTGTCTCTTGCGCAATACGTATGCACCTGTGCTCTGCTGGCCTCTCTCCTTAAAAAACGCTCCGTAGCTCTTGGAGTCCCATGCAGGAAAAGCTAGACTAGAATACCTTGCTGGACATCATTTTTTTGTTGCATTTCTTATACCAATAGACTATTCGAACAGGGATTCGAGCTCTTGTTTGTGAATGTTAAATACAGCAGCCAAAATAACTCAGGGGTAGTCTGAAAGAAGAGCGAAGGTGCTATGGTGATAGGCTGTAGCATTCAGACCCATAACCATTCAATCTTCCTGAAGAGAAGTGAAAGCCTTCTGCATCTAATTCTAGTCCTATATTATTCAAGGATGTCATTAGAATGATGAAGATGAGGACAACCAAACCTATTTAATTTAACTGTTGAAATGGAGGAAGGAATGAAGCAACAATAGAGAAAGAGGAGGTAGGCTAATAACATTAGGGGAAATATTATGAAAGGTATATATGCGTCAGCCTACTAATTAGACAAATTGGCCCTATTATATTTCAAAATTAAAATCAAATTCGCTAGCCTATACTTGTAACTTTGTAGGCCGCATGTGCTGCACCAGAATCGCAAGTTCTCTTCTGCTTTATCATGGTTTGAACGATGTGCGTAATTCCAGTCCGTATAATACGGTACAGTTATACAGTCCACAGTCAAAAAGATTAGCCTACTGGAGCTAGTTTCATTTATTTACCCAAGAGAGCATATAGCTAGCTACATCTATGGGCTTTTATGTTTTTCTGTCGTGTGTAATGTGCAATAGCCTATATCATAGATGTATTGGATAATGGCACAATCATTTGGGCTTGGGCTCAAAATTCAAGCCTGATGCCTTTTTAATATAGGGCTCATAAAAATGTATTTAATGTATGGCTCATCAGGCTCAGGTTGCATCAGGCTTCAATTTTCAATCAAAGCTCTAATCAAATCCAGACATAGGCCTGTTTATATGCTTTATAATGCTTTTGAATGAATGCTTTTCCAGTTTTGGCGGAAAATACCAGGTTACCCGGGAGAAAAGTGATTTATTTTCGGGATGGAACATTTGTAAAATACCGGGAAAATATTCAACCCTAACACACGCACACACACCCTCCTTAATCATGTGTATGACTGTGTTTGTTTCCTGTAGCTACGATAGCTGGTTGTCCTCCAGTGACGTAGAGGGAGAGGTGCAGGAACCTCCACACACACACACACCTTGGAGGGTAAGAACAAACACACACACACACACACACACACACAGTTCTATGACTATTTCCCACAAATGATGAATACGTGTGTGTGTACAGGTGCACGCAGGCTGGGTGTTGGATACAGAGGTGTATAATGAGTGGATGAACGAAGAAGACTACCTAGTAGATGACAGAAAGGTTCCTCTCATCCTCCGCCGGAGAGTCCATGTCACAGACCAACAGGTGTGTGTGTGAGATCCAGTGGCTCTGGGCTGCTTGTGGTGTGTGTGTTGCCCTCTGTCCTCTGTCTTTTTTTTTTACAGAGGCCTGTGTGAGCCACTTTCTTAGTTGGTACATCTATCATCACTCCTCTCTCCCCCCTCTCTTCCTCCATCAGGACCGTAAGTTTACTCCAGTGAAGAAGAGAAGACGCTCCCCCTCACCTCCCTCTTCCGATGGCAAAAAGAAAGGAGGAAAGAAGAGGTAAGGTTTCTCTGTCTCCCTAGCTCCAGCCTTATTCTCTACCTATTGGCCCTCTCTCTCTAACCCTGACTTCTTCTCTCCCTAGTGGTGGGTCTAAGAGGCGTGGGCCGAAGGAGGAAGAGGAAGAGGTAGAGGAGGATCTGACTAAAGATATGGAGGATCCAACACCTGTCCCTAATATGGAAGAAATTATACTGCCTAAGAACGGTACACACACACACAAACACACACACACACACACACACAACAGATGTTGTTATTGACTTCTTGTGTCTCTCTGTCTGCAGTGAACCCGAAGAAGGACAGTGAGAATACTCCTGTCAAAGGAGGGATGATGACTGACCTGGGTGAGTGAGAGCGAGAGGGAGTGTGTGTTTGTCTCTTTGTGTATTTGTATTTATTAGGGATCCTCATTAGCTGTTACAAGGCAGCAGCTACTCTTCCTGGGGTCCAAACATATTAAAGCACTTACATTACATATAAAACAAAAGATAAAACAGTACATCATATAACATTATTACACCACTACATATCTACAATACAAAATGTTTAATACCACCATACAACAATATCACAATGTATGCATGTGTCTGTACCTTTTGTGTGTCTCTTCACAGTCCCCGCTGTTCCATCAGGTGTATTTTTACCTGTTTTTAAAATCTGATTTTACTGCTTGCATCAGTTACCTGATGTGGAATAGAGTTCCATGTAGTCGTGACTCTATGTAGTACTGTGCGCCTACCATAGTCTGTTCTGAACTTGGGGACTGTGAAGAGACCTCTGGTGGCATGTCTTGTGGGGTGGGTGTAGTTATGTAACTCATTCTTCTTTTCTTCAGATGAAATTGAGGATGACTCTCTGCTTCCTGGTGGAAGGGTAACAATACAATATAATTATTTTATTTATAGAATTCTTATGAGGAATTTAGTGTGTTTGTACCATACACACCGATATAACAATTGTGTGTGTGCAGGAGGATGAGGAGGGCAGAGAGGGGCTGCGTCTATCAGATGGAGAAGACAACATCACAGAACAAACTCACCACATCATCGTCCCATCCTACACCGCCTGGTTCAACTATAACTGGTGAGTACAAACACGTGTCACCCTCTCAAACACACAGGTACACACACACACACGTCATCCTCTCAAACACACAGGCACACACGTATTCAAAATGAGTGTCTGTTTTAAACCAAACTGTGTTTATATGTTCCAGTATTCACCAGATCGAGAAACGAGCTCTACCAGAGTTCTTTAACGGACAGAACAAGTCCAAATCTCCAGAGATGTGAGTAACAATTTCAGGTGTTGCTCAGGGTTCAGTGTTTGGACCCCTGCTGTTTACTTCAGACATGATTGTACCCCTAGGAGACATAATGAATAAATGAACACTGTGTGTGTGTAGATACCTGGCATACCGTAACTTCATGATTGACTCGTACCGGCTGAACCCCCAGGAGTACCTCAGCTCCACCTCCTGCAGACGGAACCTGACTGGAGACGTCTGCGCCGTCATGAGGTGTGCTATGAAGTTTAAACTACCACTTACTGTGTGTGTGTGTGTTGTGTAACAGTGTGTATTCTAACTCTGTACCTCTGTGTGTGTATTGTAACTGTGTGTGTAGGGTCCATGCGTTGTTGGAGCAGTGGGGGTTAGTGAACTACCAGGTGGATGCAGAAAGCAAACCTCTCCCTATGGGACCCCCTCCCACCCCTCACTTCAACACACTGGCTGATACACCCTCAGGACTGGCCCCGCTGCAGCACAGACCGCTACAGGTAACACACACACACACACACACACACACACACACACACATTTATGTATATATATAAAAGAACACTTACAGTGAAATTATTGAGGTACACATTGACAGCCGGTATGCTTGTTATGATCCTCTCAAATCTTTCCACCTCCATCCCTCTCTCTCCCCCTCCATCCCTCTCTCTCCCCCTCCAGGTGTCCTCCTCCCAGCAGATGTTGTTCTTCCCTGAGAGAAGTGTAGAGAAGCCCTCAGAATCTCAGAACTTTGGCCTCAGAACAGACCTGTATGCCAGGAAACACCCCAAGAGTAAAGGAGCCAGTTCAGGGAGGGATTGGACAGAACAGGAGACCCTCCTACTGTTGGAGGTGAGCCAATCATCTCTCAGCTTATCTTCCCTCTACTCAGTGATGTAGTCAAGTCACTAGTCTGAGTCATCACTTGTCGAGTCTCGAAAATCGTGACTTGATTCCGGGTCAAGTCTGACTCCTGGACTCGAGTACTACAACACTGTCCTATCAGAATGGTATTTTCCCATTTCAGACACTACCTGTTCTGGTCCCAGAATCCATATTTCAACAATTAGACTAATTTCAATGTTTCTATGGCAATGTAAAAAACAGAGGGTGAGGTACAAAACATTCCAACTTCCAAAGGAATCAGGTGGCCTAGGATTACCAAACTTTAGGTGGTACTACTGGGTCACACAATTGCAACCAATGATTACTTGGATAAAAAATTAATCTGAAAATAGAAAAAAATCTATGGTGGTGAATATGCAATAGCAGTAGGACCTTTTCTGGGAAAGAAGATAGACAGTGATGGTAAGAACCTGTAATCTAAGCATCTGATTTGGAATAAGTACAACGCAGTCTCCATCAGCCTATGGCCATATCATCCCTAACTGGTATTGCATATCTTACTGATTTCTCTCCATTGTCACTAGATTCAGGTTTTCAAAGGTGATCATTACTTCATTTGCAATATGTACACTAAGTCTATACCCCACCCATAGAAAAACACCTACAGTGGGGAAAAAAAGTATTTAGTCAGCCACCAATTGTGCAAGTTCTCCCACTTAAAAAGATGAGAGGCCTATAATTTTCATCATAGGTACACGTCAACTATGACAGACAAATTGAGATTTTTTTTCTCCAGAAAATCACATTGTAGGATTTTTAATGAATTTATTTGCAAATTATGGTGGAAAATAAGTATTTGGTCACCTACAAACAAGCAAGATTTCTGGCTCTCACAGACCTGTAACTTCTTCTTTAAGAGGCTCCTCTGTTCTCCACTCGTTACCTGTATTAATGGCACCTGTTTGAACTTGTTATCAGTATAAAAGACACCTGTCCACAACCTCAAACAGTCACACTCCAAACTCCACTATGGCCAAGACCAAAGAGCTGTCAAAGGACACCAGAAACAAAATTGTAGACCTGCACCAGGCTGGGAAGACAGAATCTGCAATAGGTAAGCAGCTTGGTTTTAAGAAATCAACTGTGGGAGCAATTATTAGGAAATGGAAGACATACAAGACCACTGATAATCTCCCTCGATCTGGGGCTCCACGCAAGATCTCACCCCGTGTGGTCAAAATGATCACAAGAACGGTGAGCAAAAATCGTGAGATTTTGTGAGATTTTGAGTGAAAACCTCCTTCCATCAGCAAGGGCATTGAAGATGAAACGTGGCTGGGTCTTTCAGCATGACAATGATCCCAAACACACCGCCCGGGCAACGAAGGAGTGGCTTCGTAAGAAGCATTTCAAGGTCCTGGAGTGGCCTAGCCAGTCTCCAGATCTCAACCCCATAGAAAATCTTTGGAGGGAGTTGAAAGTCCGTGTTGCCCAGCGACAGCCCCAAAACATCACTGCTCTAGAGGAGATCTGCATGGAGGAATGGGCCGAAATACCAGCAACAGTGTGTGAAAACCTTGTGAAGACTTACAGAAAACGTTTGACCTGTGTCATTGCCAACAAAGAGTATATAACAAAGTATTGAGAAACTTTTGTTATTGACCAAATACTTATTTTCCACCATAATTTGCAAATAAATTCATTAAAAATCCTACAATGTGATTTTCTGGATTTATTTTTCTCATTTTGTCTGTCATAGTTGACGTGTACCTATGATGAAAATTACAGGCCTCTCTCATCTTTTTAAGTGGGAGAACTTGCACAATTGGTGGCTGACTAAATACTTTTTTCCCCCACTGTAATACTTAGAAAAGGGCAAAGAAATGTATTTAATGGAAAAGATCATCCATAAAATTAAACTGCAAACAGATATATATGAAAAAAGATTTGTTCCTAAATATTGTTTTCTTTAGTTGTTTAATTGTATATTTATTTGGTTTGTTGTGTACTTGTTTGTATCTCAGAATACCAGAACCTTAATGATAACCATCATGTTTACTTCACAAACACTAATTATACTAGTGACTGCACATAGTACAGACGCAGTACTGATACTCACTCCGCAGTGGTTGGAAAAGGGTTTGGGCTGGACATGCAGCGACCCAGACCCTGCTGCTGTCGGAGATCACATATACTGACTCAAGGTAGTTGGGAATGGGTAGGGGAGCTGGACAATAATGATGTTTTCACTACCTCTATGACAAATTGCTATACTGTAAACTTATGCTTGAAAACTAATACACATTTTCAGTACTAGTCAAAAATGTGGACACACCTACTCACTAATTCCAAGGTTTTTCTTTATTTGTACTATTTTCTACATTGTAGAATAATAGTGAAGACATCAAAACTATGAAATAACACATATGGAATCATGTACTAACCAAAAAAGTGTTAACACGAATCAAAATATATTTGAGTTCTTCAAAGTAGCCACCCTTTGCCTAGATGACAGCTTTGCATACTCTTGGCATTCTCTCAACCAGCTTCATTCACCTGGAATGCATTTCAATTAACAGGTGTGCCTTCTTAAAAGTTAATTTGTGGAATTTATTTCCTTCTTAATGCATTTGAGACAATCAGTTGTGTTGTGACAAGGTAGGGGGGGTATACAGAAGATAGTCCTATTTGGTAAAATACCAAGTCCATGTTATGACAAGAACAGCTCAAATAAGCAAAGAGAAACGACAGTCCATCATTACTTTAAGACATGAAGGTCAGTCAATACGGAAAATTAAGAACTTTGAAAGTTTCTTCAAGTGCAGTCGCAAAACCCATCAAGCGCTATGATGAAACTGGCTCTCATGAGGACCGCCACAGGAAAGGAAGACCCAGAGTTACCGCTGCTGCAGAGGATAAGTTCATTAGAGTTAACTGCAGCTCAGATTGCAGCCCAAATAAATGCATCACAGAGTTCAAGTAACAGACACATCTCAACATCAACTGTTCAGAGGAGACTGCGTGAATCAGGCCTTCATGGTCGAATTGTTGCAAAGAAACCACTACTAAAAGGACACCAATAGGAAGAAGAGACTTGCTTGAGCCAAGGAACACGAGCAATGGACATTAGACCGGTGGAAATATGTGCTTTGGTCTGATGAGTCCAAATTTGAGATTTTTGGTTCCAACCGCCTTGTCTTTGTGAGACGCAGAGTAGGTGAATGGATGATCTCTGCATCTGTGGTTCTCACCGTGAAGCATGGAGGAGGAGGTGTGTGGGTGCTTTGCTGGTGACACTGTCTATGATTTATTTAGAATTCAAGGCACACCTTAACCAGCATGGCTACCACAGCATTCTGCAGCAATACGCCATCACATCTGGTTCGCGCTTAGTGGGACTATCATTTTTCAACAGGACAATGACCCAAAGTATACCTCCAGGCTGTGTAAGGGCTATTTGATCAAGGAGAGGGATGGAGTGCTGCATCAGATGACCTGGCCTCCACAATCACCCGACCTCAAGCCAATTGAGATGGTTTGGGATGAGTTGGACCGCAGAGTGAAGGAAAAGCAGCCAACAAGTGCTCAGCATATGTGGGAACTCCTTCAAGACTGTTGGAAAAGCATTCCTCATGAAGTTGGTTGAGAGAATGCCAAGAGTGTGCAAAGCTGTCATCAAGGCAAAGGGTGGCTACTCTATTTTGATTTGTTTAACACTTTCTTTTGGTTACTACATGATTCCATATGTGTTATTTCATAGTGTTGATGTCTTCACTATTATTCTACAATGTAGAAAATAGTAAAAATAAAGAAAACCCCTTGAATGAGTAGGTGTGTCCAAACATTTGACTGGTACTGTAAGTAAAAAAAGTTATCTGGCCAATAACATTATTTTCTCCCTCATGCTTATCCCTGTCTTATTCTCATCCTCTCCCTCCATCTCAGGCGTTAGAGGTCTATAGAGATGACTGGAACAAGGTGTCAGAACACGTGGGGTCTCGTACCCAGGACGAGTGCATCCTCCACTTCCTGCGCCTGCCAATAGAAGACCCTTATCTGGAGGACTCCGCCTCCTCTCTTGGCCCATTGGCCTACCAGCCCGTTCCCTTCAGCCAATCAGAGAATCCGGTGATGAGCACCGTGGCGTTCTTGGCGTCCGTGGTCGATCCCCGAGTCGCCTCCGCTGCCGCCAAGGCTGCCCTGGGTATGTGTTTGTGTGTGTTTGTTTTACTCCGTGTGTGTGTACGCGCGTTTGTGTTAACCCTGTCTCTGTCTCTCTGTAGAGGAGTTTTGTCGTGTGCGTGAGGAAGCTGACAAGGTTCTGGAGTTCCCTGCCCTCAATGAGGCTGAGAAGGCAGGTAGGAGTCTGAAACACGGCATATATATATATATATTACACACACACACACTCCTCAACCCTCAAACACTGCAGTAGAGAATCCTTCCATCACTCGCTCTCTCGCTCTCTCTCTCTCTCCCCCTCCCTCTCCTCTAGATGTGATGGATGGTGAGAAGATGGAGACTGATTCTGGCTCCCAGCAGCCTCTGCAGGTGAGACCAGAAGTGACCTGTGGGGTCAGAGGAAGTGAGACAAGAAGTTACACTCTGGTGTTTCTGAGAATCTGATTGTCAGTGGGTGATGATTCATTGTGTGTGTGTGTTCCAGGCGGATAGACGGAAGGTTCTAGAGCCCAGTGGAGGCGAGAGATCAGTAGAGGGAGAACGAGAGAAGAGAGAGAATGCTGAAATGACAGTCACAGAGGAGAGAGACGGCGATAGCGGAGGGAACCGCAAGACAGGTGTGTGTGTATCTCATTCATATTGTTACAGACAAGATGGTGTGTGAGATGATGTATGTTATAGAAGATCTCCTTCTATCTCTCTTTTAGACCGAGGGGAGAAGGATGAGATTGTGGGGCGATGGAGGGAAGGAGAGCGGGATGAAGGGAGGAGACTAGCAGAGCTGGAGTTGGTAGATGGGACCGTTACCACGGCAGCAGCTGCTGCCCTGGGTGCCGCCGCTACTAAGGCTAAGGTAAACCCCGCCCACGACCCTCAAACCACCCTATCGCTGCCCACTTACCCCACCCATCAGCCAATCCCTGTCTACTGCCCATTAAACTCTTTTTCTTTCTACTGGCCTGTCACTACAGCCATAACTTAGGACCTAGCCAATCAAATCCCCCCCACTCTCTCTTCCCCCTCCCCTTTTATGTGATCCATTTATTTTTATTTTTAAGTTGAAACTTATTTGATAACTATTAGAGAACTATCTCTCTCACTCACACACTGAGTATACCAAACATTGGGAATACCTTCCTAATATTGAGTTTGCCCTCAGAACAGCCTCAATTCGTCGGGGCATGGACTCGACAAGGTGTCGAATACGTTCCACAGGGATGCTGGCCCATGTTGACTCCAATGCTTCCCACAGTTGTCAAGTTGGCTGGATGTCTTTTGGGTGGTGGACCATTCTTAATACACACAGGAAACTGTTGAGTGTGAAAAACCCAGCAGCATTGCAGTTCTTGATACAAACCGGTGCACCTGGCACCTACTACCATACCCTGTGCAAAGGCACTTAAATATTTTGTCTTGCCCATTCACCCTCTGAATGGCACACATACACAATCCATGTTTCAATTGTCTCTCTTAAAAATCATTCATTAACCTGTGTCCTGCCCTTCATCTACACTCATTTAAGTTGATTTGACAAGTGACATCAATAAGGGATCATTGCTTTTACCTGGTCAGTCTGTCATGGAAAGAAATGTTTTGTATAGGGCCACCTGATTGTCGCAGTGGTCTAAGGCACTGCATCGCAGTGCTAGCTGTGCCACTAGAGATCCTGGTTCGAGTCCAGGCTCTGTCGCAGCCGGCCGTGCCGTGGGAGACCCATGGGGCGGCGCATAATTGGCCCAGCGTCGTCCAGGTTAGGGGAGGGTTTGGCCGGCAGGGATGTTCTTGTCCCATCGCGCACTAGCACGCACTGTGGCGGGCCGGGCGCAGTGCACGCTGACTCAGTCGCTAGGTGTACGGTGTTTCCTCCGACACATTGGTGCGGCTGGCTTCTGGGTTATGCGGGCACTGTGTCAAGAAGCAGTGCGGCTCGGTTGGGTTGTGTTTCGGAGGACGCACGACTCTCGACCTTCGCCTCTCCCGTGTCCGTACGGGGGTTGCAGCGATGGGACAAAGACTGTAACTACCAATTGGATACCACGAAATTGGGGAGAAAAAGGGGGTAAAATTCCTGCAAAGAAAAATAATATATATTTTTGGAAATGTTTTGTGTTCTCAGTGTACAGCATGTGGATACAGTAATTCTCTCTCTTGCCCTCCTCTCTCTCTCTCTAGCACCTAGCAGCGGTAGAGGAGCGGAAGATCAAGTCTCTAGTGGCTCTGCTGGTGGAGACTCAGATGAAGAAGCTGGAGATCAAACTGAGACACTTTGAGGAGCTGGAGACCATCATGGACCGAGAGAAAGAGGCTGTGAGTATACAGAGCTAGATCTAGCCTATTGGGATCTAGTTTGGGGGATCTACTAAACATTAATTTGGGTATTTCATAATGGTTCCTTCTCAATGTAATGTTTGTGTGTGACCCTCTCCCTCTCTTCCCCTGCCCCTCTCTCACTGTGTGTGTAGTTGGAGCAACAGCGTCAGCAGCTGTTGTCAGAGCGACAGAGTTTCCACTCTGAGCAGCTGAAACACGCAGAGATGAAGATTATCCAGCAGAGAGGGCAGCAAGCACCATGCACTCTACAACACACAGGTCTGTAGGCATGCACGCACATCAGCACGCGCATACACACACGTTGTAACATCCATCTCTCACCTCTCCTTTAGGCCAGTCCATGCCCAGCCAGATGATGCCTACTGGGGGAAACTCTCTCACCATGGCCCCCCGACACCCTGGAGCTCCCAACGGCATGTGTGAGTACCCTCACCTCTGACCCCTGACCTCTAACTCCAACCTCACACTGCCCCAAACATGCCCTTACCTCTGGAAAATGTGCACAAAAAAATGTAAACATATTGAGCGTGTTTACAATGTATTCGGGAAAGTATTCAGACTTTTTCCACATTTTGTTACGTTACAGCCATATTCTAAAATGGATTAAATAGTTAATTTTTTATTCTCATCAATCTACACACAATACCCAATTATGACAAAGCAAAAACAGGTTTTTAGAAATGTTTGCTAATTTATAAAAAATAAACTGAAATATCATATTCACATAAGTATTCAGACCCTTTACTCAGTACTTTGTTGAAGCACCTTTGGCAGCGATTACAGCCTCGAGTCTTCTTGGGTATGACGCTACAAGCTTGGCACACCTGTATTTGGGGAGTTTCTCCCATTCTCCTCTGCAGATCCTCTCAAGCTCTGTCAGGTTGGAAGGGCAGCGTTGCTACACATCTATTTTCCGGTCTCTCCAGAGATGTTCAATCGGGTTCAAGTCCGGGCTTTGGGTGGGCCACTCAAGGACATTCAGAGACTTGTCCCAAAACCACTCCTGCGTTGTCTTGGCTGTGTGCTTAGGGTTGTTGTCCTGTTGGAAGGTGAACCTTCGCCCCAGTCTGAGAGCACTGGAGCAGGTTTTCATCAAGGATCTCTCTGTACTTTTCTCTGTTCAGCTTTCCCTCGATCCTGACTAGTCTCCCAGTCCCTGCCTCTGAAAGAAATCTCCACAGCATGATGCTGCCACCACCATGCTACACCGTAGGGATGGTGCCAGGTTTCCTCCAGACGTGACGCTTGGCATTCAGGCCAAAGAGTTAAATCTTGGTTTCGTCAGACCAGAGAATCTTGTTTCTCATGGTCTGAGAGTCCTTTAGGTGCCTTTTGGCAAACTCCAAGTGGGCTGTCATGTGCCTTTTACTGAGGAGTAGCTTCCATCTGGCCACTCTACCATAAAGGCCTGATTGGTGGAATGCTGCAGAGATGGTTGTCCTTCTGGTAGGTTCTCCCATCTCCACAGAGGAACTGGAGCTCTGTCAGAGTGACCATCGGGTTCTTGATCACCTCCCTGACCAAAGCCCTTATCCCCCGATTGCTCAGTTTGACCGGGCGGCCAGCTCTAGGAACAGTCTTGGTGGTTCCAAACGTCTTCCATTTTAAGAATTATGGAGGCCACTGTGTTCTTCGGGACCTTCAATCTTGCAGAAATGTTTTGGTACCCTTCCCCAGATCTGTGCCTCGACACAATCCTGTCTCAGAGCTCTACGGACAATTCCTTCGACCTCATGGCTTGGTTTTTGACATGCACAGTTAACTGTGTGACGTTATATAGACAGGTGTGTGCCTTTCCAAATCATGTCCAATCAATTGAATTTACCACAGGTGAACTCCAATCAACAGGATGCACCTGAGCTCAATTTCGAGTCTCATAGCAAAGGGTCTGAATACTTATGTAAATAAGGTATCTGTTTTTTATTTGTAATACATTTGCTAACATTTCTAAAAACCTGTTTTTGCTTTGTCATTATGGGGTATTGTGTGTAGATTGATGAAGAAAAAATATTTTCCAAATGCACTGTATGTTGACTTAGTAATGCAGACAAAAGTTGACGCTTGAAGTTTGGGGAGGTGTATCTGCCACAGCCAAACGTCGTTGTGGTTTTCCAACAGCAAGCCCCAGATCAACATGGCAGTGTCAACATAGCTGCCATTATTTATAAAATATTTTCTTTATAAGGTCAAAATAAACTTGTCTCTACCCCCAGTATCACAAACTAAAAACATAACGTGTACAATTAATTGGTTAGAGAAATGTCACAAATATTACATTCATTTGTATCCACTGTGGCTTTTGAATCTCAGCAAAGTTGGTTCCTGTTTTAGTCACAGCTTTGGTCAAGCAAAAACACCTTAATTGACTATAGTGCCTTCCACAATGCAAGCAATGGCTACATGTCCTTTGATCTTATGGAGTTTGTAAAGTTCATGCAGTTGACATCAAATCACATTTTATCTGTCACATGCGCCGAATACAACAGGTGTAGGTAGACCTTAAAGTGAAATTAAGAAAGAATACAAAAAAAACACACAGAAAAATACAGTATAAAATAATACGAAATAAAAGTAACAAATAGTTAAAGAGCAGCAGTAAAAATAACAATAGCGCGGCTATAAACAGGGGGTACCAGTTAGTCTAGGTAATTGAGGTAATCTGTACATGTAGGTAGAGTTATTAAAGTGACTATGCATAGATAATAGAGAGTAGCAGCAGCATAAAAGTCAATGCAAATAGTCTGGGTAGCCATTTGATTAGATGTTCTGGAGGCTTATGGCTTGGGGGTAGAAGCTGTTTAGAAGCCTCTTGGACCTAGACTTGGCGCTCCGGTACCGCTTGCCGTGCGGTAGCAGAGAGAACAGTCTATGACTAGGGTGGCTGGAGTCTTTGACAATTTTTAGGGCCTTCCTCTGACACCGCCTGGTATAGAGGTCCTGGATGGCAGGAAGCTTGGCCCCAGTGATGTACTGGGCCGTATGCACTACCGTCTGTAGTGCCTTGCGGTCGGAGGCCGAGCAGTTGCCATACCAGGCAGTGATGCAACCAGTCAGGATGCTCTCGATGGTGCAGCTGTAGAACCTTTTGAGGATCTGAGGACCCATGCCAAATCTTTTCAGTCTCCTTAGGGGGAATAGGTTTTGTTGTGCCCTCTTCACAACTGTCTTGGTGTGCTTGGACCATGTTAGTTTGGTGATGTGGACACCAAGGAACTTGAAGCTCTCAACCTGCTCCACTACAGCCCCGTCGATGAGAATGGGGGTGTGCTCGGTCCTCTTCTTTTTCCTGTAGTCCACAATCATCTCCTTTGTCTTGATCATGTTGAGGGAGAGGTTGTTGTCCTGGTACCACACTTCCAGGTCTCTGACCTCCTCCCTATAGGCTGTCTTGTCGTTGTCGGTGATCAGGCCTACCACTGTTGTCATCAGCAAACTTAATGATGGTGTTGGAATCGTGCCTGGCCATGCAGTCATGAGTGAACAGGGAATACAGGAGGGGACTGAGCACGCACCCCTGAGGGGCCCCCGTGTTGAGGATCAGCGTGGCGGATGTGTTGTTACCTACCCTTACCACCTGGGGGCGGCCCGTCAGGAAGTCCAGGATCCAGTTGCAGAGGGAGGTGTTTAGTCCCAGGGTCCTTAGCTTAGTGATGAGCTTTGAGGGCACTATGGTGTTGAACGCTGAGCTGTAGTCAATGAATAGCATTCTCACATAGGTGTTCCTTTTGTCCAGGTGTGAAAGGGCAGTGTGGAGTGCTATAGAGATTACATCATCTTTGGATCTGTTGGGGCGGTATGCAAATTGAGGTGGGTCTAGGGTTTCTAGGATAATGGTGTTGGTGTGAGCTATGACCAGCCTTCCAAAGCACTTCATGGCAACAGACGTGAGTGCCAAGGGTCGGTAGTCATTTAGACAGGTTACCTTAGTGTTCTTGGGCAAAGGGACTATGGTGGTCTGCTTGAAACATGTTGGTATGACAGACTCAGACAGGGAGAGGTTGAAAATGTCAGTGAAGACACTTGCCAGTTGGTCAGCGCATGCTCGGAGTACACGTCCTGGTAATCCATCTGGCCCTGCGGCCTTGTGAATGTTGACCTGTTTAAAGGTCTATCTCACATCGGCTACGGAGAGTGTGATCACACAGTCGACCGGAACAGCTGATGCTCTCATGCATGTTTCAGTGTTACTTGCCTTGAAGCGAGCATAGAAGTAATTTAGCTCGTCTGGTAGGCTCGTGTCACTGGGCAGCTCGCGGCTGTGCTTCCCTTTTGTAGTCTGTAATAGTTTGCAAGCCCTGCCACATCTGATGAGCATCGGAGCCGGTGTAGTACGATTCGATCTTAGTCCTGTATTGACGCTTTGCCTGTTTGATGGTTCGTCGGCGGGCATAGCAGGATTTCTTATAAGCTTCCGGGTTAGAGTCCCACTCCTTGAAAGCGGCGGCTCTACCCTTTAGCTCAGTGCGGATGTTGCCTGGAATCCATGGCTTCTGGTTGGGGTATGTACGTACAGTCACTGTGGGGATGACGTCATCATCGATGCACTTATTGATGAAGCCAGTGACTGATGTGATGTACTCCTCAATGCCATCGGAAGAATCCCGAAACATATTCCAGTCTGTGCTAGAAAAACAGTCCTATAGCTTAGCATCTGCTTCATCTGACTAGGAGTGCCGCCTCTGGATGAGCGTTTTCCTGTTTGCTTATGGCCGTATACAGTTCATTGAGTGCGGTCTTAGTGCCAGCATCGGTTTGTGGTGGTAAATTAACAGCTACGAAGAATATAGATAGTGTGGTCTACAGCTTATCATGAGATACTCTACCTCAGGCGAGCAAAACCTAGAGACTTCCTTAGATATCGTGCACCAGCTGTTGTTTACAAATATACATAGACCGCCACCCCTTGTCTTACCAGAGGCTGCTGTTCTATCCTGCCGATACAGTGTATAACCCGCCAGCTGTATGTTATTCATGTCTTCGTTAAGCCACGACTCGGAGAAACATAAGATATTAGTTTTTAATGTCCTGTTGGTAGGATATTCGTGCCTGTAGTTTGTCCACTTTATTATCAAGTGATTGTAAGTTGGCCAATAGTATCGATGGCAAAGGCAGATTAGCCACTCGTCGCCGGCTCCTTACCAAGCACCCCGATCTTCTTCCGCGATATCTCCTTTTCTTTCTTTCTACTGCGAATGACTGGGATGAGGGCTCTGTCGGGTGACAGGAGCAAATCCCTCTCGTCCGACTCATTAAAGAAAAATTATTAGTCCAGTTCAAGGTGAGTAATCGCTGTTCTGATGTCCAGAAGCTCTTTTCGGTCATAAGAGACGGTAGCAGCAACATTATGTACAAAATAAGTTACAAACAATGAGAAAAAACACACAAAATAGCACAGTTGGTTAAGAGTCCATAAAACTGCAGCCATCCCCTCCGGCGCCATCTTCTGCATGTAGGCGCAAGTCTGACAATTTGTATCCACATAATGCAACACACTTTTTGAAAGGCGGTGACCAACGCTGTTAATTAACTGCATAAAACTGATCCACTGGAACGCACCCACTCATGTATTTTCTTCTTCTCTTCTGTCAGACCCACCAGCACAGCCTGATGGGATAGCTCCGACCCAGCCGGGTCTTCCAACCACAGCCATACACAGCCGGGGAGCAGAAACATGAGACACACACACCTTGACCCCAGTCACACACACTCCAGGTCTCTTACGAATACACACAGTACATATTTTAAATACTTTATTTGGATCCACAGTAAGACATTATGTCAAGGTCATACAAATGCTTGGACAGGCGGTCATGGAAGCCAAATCTAATCTTCACATTGGACAGGTTCTCATGTGACTGTTTACTGTCATTTTGATGTCATGTCATTTAATCATTGTTACACACACACTTGCTGTATGCTTTATTGACCAGTGCTGAAGAGTAAACTCATTAAGTGTTTTATATGAAACTATCGCTCTGTGTATGTGTCCTTTGTAGTGTGTGTATGTGTTCAGAGTTGAATGATGTTGGACGCTATACACTCTATTTTACAGAACATTGACATCACACCCCTCAGATACAGTACTGGAGTGGATACTGACCAACAAGTATTAAAAAAAATACAGCACCATACTCTAACTAGCAAAACATTGGACCTTAACGGTACTAGTGGCTAATTTGGGGATGTTAAGGCTAACTACAGCCACTGCTCTCAAAGGTGATGGAGAACATCACAGTCATCTTGAGTCTGATATCTGAAGGTGTGAGTGTTTACAGGGAAAGTATTATAGGTTGGTTTCTTTCATTGACTGTAGAGAGTTTGATAGGACCAGAACCACAGTACAGTATAGCAGACCTACTGCACCGGCGCAGCACCTCACCCTCATGATGGCCTTTCATAGAAACGGTCATTCTCATATCCCTTGTTCTTCTGTCATCGATCCCTCCCTCTTTTCCCTCCCCTCCCTCTCTCCCTCCCAGACATGTAGTTTAATGGATTTCAAAGTCAATCAAGGAGGATGAGGGATTAATAAATCAAATTGCCACACATTGGAATTTTATTTACCTTTTTATTAGGGTATGTTTACATTTATTTTGACAGACAAGGGGAAAAAATAGAAAAGGACAATATAAGCAGGTGATACTGAATTTTTTCCAGCTAATAAACTGCTTGATTCATTGGTCCACTCTATCCGTTGTGGGCAGACATGTGCATTGAAATTGAAGTCCTATTTATATTTTAGTCATTTAGCAGAAGCGCTTATCCAGAGCGACTTACAGGAGCAGTTAGGGTTAAGTGCCTTGCTCAAGAGCACAGACAATTTCCATTTACAACTCATTGTAAAAACCTTCTAATGAACAGAGCAGTAAAGATGGATACAGTATGTTTAATAAAGCAGTCATAGTTTGATTGTAGTCGATTTACCGAGTTAATCAACCCCTGGCTCTTCGTCAGTCTTTAGTCATGTCAAGACATGCTGCTGAGGTTTAAGCCGCCTTCTGTTTCTCTGTTAGAATATAAAACAGTACCATCCCAATCAGTAGGGTTTTCTATTGCATCAACAGTGTGATTCAAAGCAAAGGGATTCTTGAATTTATAGGCCAATATGGACAGCATTCATTTCTCAGCATATGATGACCATAATCTTCCCTTGTTTTGATCAGGACCAAAAAGTGTAGGACAAATCACACATAAAACCATTGGACACCCCCATCATTGATGTAGGCGTTTCTGTGCAGACATATTAATGCAAGAATTATCTTCACAACTTTTTACAAAATGCATTGTATCTGTCATTGGATTCATTCTAGCCTTAGACTCACCATAATGCCCTTTTGGCAACATAGTATGTTCCGATTCCTACAACAACAAATTCCAATAATGAAGAGGGCACCACTTGATGCTGTCAGCGCAAGGGAAATTTCCATTAATCATTTTCAATTACATCATTAATTTTGACAGGGTCACAGTGATGGAGCGGGAAATGGTGACAAAGACAATTCCACTACTCACTATTCTCTTGTTTGATAATCAGTATTTGAGTATGTATTTTGTAGATAGGTGCTCAGTTCAGACTCCACAGGTAATGAATCACTCCACCGAACACCTTTTACTAGTTTAACCTAATGATAATCACCTGGGAGTGCCAGTGTTGGTTAGACTGTCAAGTGGTCTAGGTTATGAAATAGGCAAAGATCACACACATGCATGGACGCCCTGCATCGCACAGCACCCTGGTGATAATTTAACTTTCAATGATCTTGTTATTCTGTCTCCTCTCCCTTCCCTCCCTCCGTTTACACCCAGCCTAAACTTCTACCCCATGTGTGTACAACAATGTGAATATTTCCTAATGCTTTTTCAGTTTTTTTATAGAATTATTCAAATGGTATTTTAAAAAAGTAACGTTGACAGTGGTGGAAAAAGTACCCAATTGCCATACTTGAGTAAAAGTAAAGAGAGCTTAATAAAAAATGACTCAAGTAAAAGTAAGTCACCTGGTAAAATACTACTTGAGTAAAAGTCAAAGTATTTGATTTGAAATATACTTAAGTATCAAAAATTAAATGTAATTGAAAAAATATACTTAAGTATCAAAAGTAAAAGTATAAATCATTTCAAATTGCTTTTAAGCAAACCAAACGGCACAATTGTCTTGTTTTTTACGGATAGCCAGGAGCATGCTCCTGTTTGAGCTACAGTATCTGTTGGTTTTGACCCATGGAGTTGCTGGACTGATGTCAAGTCAGTTTGGCTTGGCTGTTAGCTAGCTGGCTATATTATCATTTGAACGATGCATCAATACAGCACCGACATTCCATTGATTAGAGCAACACAGAGCCATATAGAGTTTGTCCTAAATGTATGGCTCTGTTGCTCTTATCAATGAAATGTTACACCTATTCTGTAATATTTCCAGTCGTTTCAACAAATGAAATATTTGAATTTGACTCCCATCACATGCATAACTTGAGATGAATACAATAACCAGTTTGGTTCATGTACTCCATGAAGCAAACAACAATAACAAGTTGTTTGCTTCATGGAGTACACCCCCTGCAACTTGGTTGTATCCAGTTGAAACTTTTCGAAGGTTCAGAAATCGACCGAGTTTCATGTCAACACTGCTGTCAGTGCTGCACAGCACAACCCGCGGCCGCGATCAGGGTTGACAGAATAGAGACTAGCCCAACATATGTGTACAAATTATTGTACACAAATTATTGTACATGGTTTAGCAGTCAAATGTAAATTAATTGTACCCAAACATCTCCCTGACCAGTTTCAACTGAAATTGTTCCACATGAGCTGCGCTATCTAGCAAGTTTGTTGCTAGCTTGGTTAGCTCGTTACAAAAAAAAGCTAGTAGTCTTTATGATAAAAATTAGGCATTGGAATTCTTAGTTCTTGAATTGACTGAAGTGAAATGGTATTGAAACTCTGAAAACAACGAGGTCAAATCATGACGACAGTGATCTTCAGGTCGGAAAGTCGGAGCTCTAGAAAGAGGCCGAGTTCCGGAGTGGGAATTCCGAGTTGGATGACTGTTCAAATAGATTTTTCCCAGTCCGTTCAGTTGTTTTGAATCAGCATAGGTATCATAATCAGTCACTTTCTGTTGTGATGTCACTGGAAGAGGGATTGATTTACAGGAAACTGGGCCCATTTCTTTCAAATGTCTTGTTCACACACACACACAGCACTACTGCACCGCACCCTAGTGATTATTGTCTTCTGTCTTCTGTCTCCTCTCCTCCACCTCCCTTAATTTAGACCCATCCTATACTGCTGCTCCTTGGTGGAGAAACAAGGAAAATAAAGTTTTGAATACCATTTTGAATACTAATATAAAATGCCTCCTTCATTCCCTTTGATGGAAATACTTTCTGGATAGTTTTAAAGGAAAGTAATAGGCCTACTCATTCCTTCTTTCCTTTCATTTTTGATGGAAATAGTTTTCTGTAAGCTAGATGTAAGGGAAAAATATGTTTCTGTTTGAATGAAAGACGTTTTAAAGAAATTGTCTAGTTCAGGGGTCACCACTTGGTGGTCCACAGGCTGAATCCTGTTAGCATATTCTTACACAAGCATCAAGATGTTGCTATCATATTCATTGGTTTGCAGAACAAAGTTAGTGGTGGACATTTACGCAATTGTTACCCGGAAGAAAATGGGGGAGGGTCATGCTTTTTCAATTTCAGTCATGGGGAGGGTTTAGTATTTTTTTTTATGAGTCCAGGGGAAGTAATCGTTTTAAATGTCATATTGCTCAGTGTTTGATAATTAGTTGCTTATTAGATAGATGTGTGCCCGATGCTACCCCTCATCCCTGATTCTCTGCTGGGCTTGCAATATCAAGTGCGCCTAGTGTGGTCTTAATCAAATGATCCATAGCCTATACTATAGGCTATATGCCTAGGCATTACGAAGAGCATGCTTGGAGATGTACAGGGTGAAGTTATATTTCTAAGAAAATGTATGTCCTTCCAGAGTTTCTGCGCTGCTGGGAAGGTGTACAGAATATACAACTAGGCTATACTGCATTACACACTGCATCATGAGCCCTGGCCTGCCCTGCTCTTGCTAATGTAAACCCTGTTGTGGTGCCTAACCAATGGCTGCACTGTGTACGGTGGCACTTCATTATTTGTCCCCAAAATGCTATATCTGTGCGAGTGGACAAGGCCTACTGATGTCCTGTTCAGTTTGAGAGGGAGAGCGTGAAGATGAGGAGGACCGGAGGTAAGCTTGCTACTGCTAGAATTGATTTTAATAAGAACTATGTTTCATTGCCCATAATTAAGGCATTTATCAGAGTTATTGACCTCACAATAAGCCATATTAAAGTAATTCACATAATTTACATTATTATGAAGCGGCAGCCGCAGAGATGGACAGCGCATGGGTGCTGAAAGTAGGCTAATTCGAGAAGGGCTAATTCATTTAAACATTCATTTTAATTTGACTTTAGGCTACTAACAACAAGATGGCTTTGTGTTGGAGCCTATTTCTTCCTATTTAAGAAATAAAAGGTAGGCCTACCTGTTTCACAGATAAAATTAGTCTACTGTCAATAGATTTTGTCAGCCAATTCCTTCAGTCCCCATGCATATCTCAGTGTCAGTGAAGGGATTGGTTAAAACCAGGGCAGAAATGACTGAAAGCATAGGCCTACCTCTATATTTTTTGTAGCTGTCTATTTACCACCACAAACTGATGCTGGCACTAAGACCGCACTCAATGAGCTGTATAAGTCCATAATCAAACAAGAAAATGCTCACCCATATGCGGTGCTCCTAGTGGCTGGGGATTTGAATGCAGGGAAACTGAAATCCATTTTACCTAATTTCTACCA